GAACTGATGAATTGTTTGGTTTTGTTTTGCAAGCTCCCAGCTCCAATCCAGCTCATCCCCACCTGTCCCCACCTTTCCCCGCCTTTCCCCACCTTGAACCGTGTGTCTCGTCCCCTCTATGCGCCTCAAGGTCCTCTTTCTGACGGTGGGGTGCGGCAGCTTCAGTGACGAGAGAATGAACTCGGTGCAAGCTGCTGTGGCTCACTGCAAGGCCCGTGAGTGTCATGCATGCACTCTGTGCAAGCTGCCTTGCATTCTGCCATGCCGCTACTCTCCGGCCGTCAGCCCTGAACGCTACTTTGTCAGCTGTTCATTTTCCAGCACTCCATTTGTTTTCCATGTTATCCTCCCAACCCGTGTGCTCCACATCATCCCACCAATCTGCGTGCTCCACGTAATTACACCCACCCGCCGTTGTCCGTCATCCCACCAACCCGTGTGCTCCACGTCAGATGGCCTAGCTGGCGTGGTGTCAGAAGTGAAAACCCTCCTTGCTGACTCAGCCACGATCCGATCGGTGAAGGACGCGGGTTTGCTGCTCTTCTCCTATGGCACCACCAAGTGAGTGCATCTTTTCGTGGCCCATGCCCATGCGGCTGTGAGGTAAAGTGCATATGCATAATGAAGTGTGAGGGCCTTCTGCTCTTCTCCCAGAACACCACCAAGTGAGCGCACCTTTTCGTGGCCCATGCTCTGTGTAACTGTCTCTCACTCCACTCCAAGCACAGTGCACTCCATGCACAGAGACACTATGTCTCTGTATAACTGTGCACTCCATGCACAGAGACACTATGTCTCTGTATATCTGTGCACTCAATGCACTCGTCATAGTCCCTGTGTATTATTGGTAGCGCGTACGATGACGGGCGGGGCCCTGCTGCTCTTCTCCTATGGCACCACCAAGTGAGTGCACCTGGTGACCTGTGCGCATGTAACGGCCCTTGGCTATTTCTAAGAGTGCATCTGGTGAATTAAAGCGACGGGCAACTTTTGGCAGTGTTGGGTTCAGAAGTTTTTTTTTTGAACCAGGCAAACCAGCGCGAAAGTGTTGGCTGGCGAAAACCAGGATTTCGTGCAGACACTTTTCATCTGCAGTAACAGTTCGCCAGGGTTCTGGGTTTTGGGTGGCAAATGTGCACCGTCGCTTTAAGCGGGCCTGTTACTCGTATTGTTATTATTCCAGGAGCATCTCGTAAGGGGCGCATAGCCTGACTTTTTAGTTTGCTCCAAAGATTTTCAAAGTACAGCTGCTGAAGTAGCATTACATGGGATCCGATTCTGCCCAGACGTGCCATGAAATGCATGGTTAGTCGCTGCGCAATAGGTTGCATGAGCACCACTTCACAACTCAACACCTCCCATCTTCCATGCGATGTGCGCATTACATGTTTCATGTTGTGGTTGCAGTGATGACGTGGATGCAGCACACTTCCAGCAGTACCATGGGGTGGATGGCATCATTGTTGATGACGTGGCGGGCATGGCGAATCACGTGCTGAATGTTACTCCGGAGGATCTTCAACCACCATTTGGTAAATATGGGGTATGATGCATTGCAGATGGCATACGCTCATGTGTGCCTCAGTGCAAATGCTGCCTTGCTAGTACTGGTTGGTTTGGAAAAAAAAATTACGTCAAAGCCTCTGGTTGCAATTTGTGACCTAGTTGCTCCCAAGTGTTTGATTGTGTACATGCAAGGGTGAAACATGCCCACAAGGTGGTTTGAGCTGCTCAAGTTTACTTGTAAGCTTAGCTGGTGTTTTGCATTGCATGTGTTTGGTTCAAGAATGGTAAAAACCACGGTACCAGTCTCGAGGAGGAAAGGGGCGCCCAAAATGGCAGCTTGCCAACAACGGAGGAAAATTCGCTAGATTCTGCTGCGATACACGGGGGTTACGTGTCCTTGTAGTTTGATATCTCGGATCCGCAATTGCGATCCAACAGCGAGCCTGCGACAAGCGGACCTCCCAATGACAGCTGGACAGCGGACGCTCCCGTAGCTCCCCCCCGCTTCTCAGCAGGGGGCACAGGCACAGTGAGAGGAAGCAACGGCAGGACAGAGAGGTGCAGCACAGCACGGACATCTCACGCGCGGGTGAGCGGGGAGCGGAGGGGACCAACGGTTGGATCGAATGGCATGTGAAGGAAAGTCACAGATCTTGCCAGATCACTGCAGTGTCCCTTTTCAACTATTTTTGGATCCCCACCTCAGGCCTACTTCTAGAAGTGTGCGGTGGATCTCAAATCAAGAAAGTTCGATCTTTGAACAACCGGGAACCGCAATCTAACGCTTAGTAACGTTTTGAAGGTGTGGTCTACCACCTGTTACCTTACCCTTCTTCGCTCGGAACGGAACTTCTTGTTCCAAACGCCCCTGTGAACCCTAATGTATCTCGCCCTTTATCTCGATTATGCATTCGTCTGACCTGAAGTGTTTAGGAGTGAACGAACGGACAGCACTGATCGACGGCACTTCAGTGCACGCGGATTGGTTGATAATAGCCGCAACGGCTGTCACAGTATGATACGGTGTGTTTCGGACATGGAGATCTGATCGTTAGATACAGTTCAGTATCACCGCAGTGCATTCGTCTTTCAAGGAAGCTGAGTTTCATGAGTATGGTTCGCACAGGTTACGCCGTACAACCATTGGGTGCACTCAGCGGAGCGCAGCAAGGGCGAGCAAGGTTGCAACAAGACTGTGCGCGACGACCTCGTTCACTTTCATCTTCCCATTCTGTATCTACGAAAGTTAAGTTTCCATTATTACCACTACCGAGCACTTTTGGACGTCGAGTCGTCTGCCACTACCTGAGCTTCAGACCCTGCTCGTGCAGAATTTACTCAGCAGCTTCAACGGAACAATTGTTTTTACCTGATAGGGCGTCGGGCCTGCCAGGCGTCATACGAACAAGCGGACCTCGTCATGATTTCAAATGAGGCCTCCAAATACATACTGGACGAGACAAGAGCCGCACAAGAGACTCACACAACGCAGCTGGTCCGGGAGCATTGCTCGCACCAAATGAACGACCAAGGGGACGCCGGGTATGGTACTTGCGACGGTTATGGTGACGCGCGCAGCGTTTCTGATGCCTCTCTAGCTGCTTCAGCATATGGGGAGTTGGAGATTCTTGCTGCAAGAAGAGCCGATATCTTGGAGCAGGGTCAGAGCTTTACTACAGTGACTCTGGAGCCACAGATGCAGTTGGGCAAAGCAGAGTTCACTGGTGGAAGCTCGTTTCCCATGGAACCAATACTACAGAGCATTACAAGACAGAATGTTGCAGCCGTTGGCAAGCGCTGTGATGCAGGACCAAGCTGGGCTGAATATTTTAGGAGTAAGGGGCAAGTGGGGCTAGCCATACTGTCTGTTGGACAGCGTCAGGCTCCGGATTTCGCAAATAACAGCATGGACGCATTGGTTGCCAACCTTTGTGAATCAAAGGAAGGGTTTGCTGCGTGTCATCAAGAACTGGATCCTAGAGCCATCATTCCAGACCTGAATGAGCCAGCTGGTGAAGTGGTCCACATGTTGCATACCCAGTCTCCAGCTCTTTTGGACGACAATTGCTCCATTGGGTACCCATCTGCATCCATTCATGTTGATCCTACTGACCTTGAGATCTTGTGCTCCATTGACGTGCTTTGGGTGTAGCGCGGGGAGAAGCGGCAGCAAGCTTTATTATCTAAATTAGCATCGACAAGTGAATATGCCTGGCAAATGTATATGTATATGATATACATGGACGTTTATAAACTGTTATGTCAGAGAATAATTTCCAGGTGCAATGCTTTCTATAAGCAGGAAATCTGTAGCCTCAAGAATGAGAATGTAGTAAGGAAGGAAATGATTAAAGTGGACTATCACAAGGCGGAGATAGAGCTCATATTTCCCACAATCGTAAATATGTGGCTCACCCGTCATCCACGTCAGCGACCGGATATACTTTTCGTAAATCCCTTTCCGATGTTAAAAAAGACACGGGTGCGAACGGTCTATTGGCACATAATCCCAACACGTGTTTTCTCGACCTAATAAAAACCTTTAAACCCGACACGTGTTTTCTCTTGTAGAGTGCGTTTGGCGATGCCGAACGGGACGCAGAACACAAGGTAAGTTTCTTAGCCGCTCGAGTGGGGGAAAAAACCGTCAGGCTGTCAGCGTGAATTTAACAGTCCCGTAGTAGTTTCGGGTGTTTTAGCCGGAATATTTTATGGTGTACCTCTCAAGGATCCCTTTATGCAATGAAACTATTTTGCCCATCCGAAACAGCAATCCACCGTCGTCCAATCCTGTCCCTCCACCTCGCTGCTGCGGAAACTCGGACACACTCCCTTGATTCTCTGTTCTAGATTCTAGAAGAGATCACTGCCTGCTTCCCTGTCCTAAATCACTCCCCTGTTATCTGTTCTGGTGACTCCTCAGTAAGGAAGGTTAGGGCGACAGCTAAGTAAATTCGTGCGATTCTTCTGACCGCCTGTCTCTTAGCACGCACAGGCGAGCCATGGCTGCGCATTTGCTCGCTTCTGCGTGCGCTGACCTCCGAACGGGTCCCGCAGCTGCTCTCCGGCCGTCAGCTCCGAACACTACTTATTCCCTCTCCTCTAAGCCCGTGAATCAGCGTCGCCGGGCCAGCTTCGATGGCGTTAACAATAGCAGCGCGAGCAAGAATAGCAGCTTCTATAAGGGAGCCTCTAGAATGTCGCTCACACTGCCTTCTCAGGCGGTCCCAGAGGCCGCTCCGAGCGTTCCCGCTGCTCCTAGCACCCCTGTCTGCCTGCAAACCCCGTCTTCTTCGAATTCTTCGAATCGTTCCGCCGGCCCTAAGTCGGCAGGAGCGAAGGCAGGTAGATCTGGAACGGCGACGTCTGCGCTAGGAGGCATGGGGGGAATGCTGGGGGGGTTGTTCGGCGGAGGGGACCCCGCGGAGAAGACACGTCAGCAGTACGCGGACCGCGTGGCGGACGTGAATAAGCTCGAGCCGGTGATGCAGAAGATGACGGACGACCAGTTGCGCGCCATGACCGTTGACCTCAAGAAACGCGTCGCGGCGGGCGAATCGCTGGACAGCGCTCTGCCTGTAAGTCCAATCTATCAGGTTTTAGGCTAAAATCAATAAATCTGTCGCCTCAGAAATCAGCGCGCTGCATCTAAGTCCAATTACCTGGTTTTAGGTTATTTTCTTAATAATTTTAATCATAGTTCAAGAATCGAGGCGCAAGTTTCACAACGTAGAGTGTATTAGATGTGAGAAAGGTGCGAAGATGACTTGTATTCTCTAGATTCTTTCGCTCGTGAAAGAAAGCCTCAAGAAGCAGCAGTTGCGGTCGCTGTAGAGTACCGCGTGTCTGGCCCGCTTTCGTGCCAGCCAGTCTTCTCTAATAGCACGTTCACCCTAACGGCGTCATCGTATAATTACGGTCGTTACAATAAAAAGTACGTTGAAGGAACGACGAGGATTGTTCGAGGATGGAACGGAGTTCGCCGCAGCAGCGAAGTCGTCTCAAGATTAATTCGTTCTGGTTACCTAGGACGATCGCAGCCTGTAGATTCCGCGAAATGCGCGTTGTCAGGAACGCAAGGCAGAACGTCGATCGTTGTGTTTTAACAAGCCACGCACTATATACTCAGCCTGTCGGACCAGCTTTGCGACTGGCGCTGCCGGTCGTCGCGGATTGGTTTAATTCGTTTGCGAAGGCAATGCCCGACCTGTCTTTGGCATCGGTATTTGTTATGCGATTTACTAAGTTCTGACAAAGCTGACCCTCGTGTTGATTTGGTACTTTATATACTAATGATTTTCGGGTTTGTCTCTTTCGCTGCCTGCCTGCCTGCCTCTCTGTTCTGCAGGAGGCGTTTGCCGTGGTGCGTGAAGCTTCCAAACGCGTTCTCGGCCTCCGCCCTTTCGACGTGCAGCTGATTGGTAAGTCCATTGTGCCGGGATAGAGGCCCATTGGGCTGGGTCTGATTGACTGGATATAGCCTCTCAAAGTTTTTGCTGTTTTCTTCCCACAAATCCTTCCCACACCCTCCCTGCACCCCTTTCACATTTCTCTCCGGCCCCATCCAACCCAGCCAGACCGTGCTGCTGCCACCCGTCTCAACGTCCCTTCTCTTTCTCAGGGTGTTGTTACCCCTCCCCTCCGCGTGCCCCCTCCCTCTCCGCGTGCCCCCTCCCTCTCCTCGTGCCCCCTCCCTCTCCGCGTTCCCCCTTCCGTTCCGCGTCCGGTCTCCCCCAGGCGGCATGGTGCTGCACAAGGGGCAGATCGCGGAGATGCGGACGGGGGAGGGCTAGACGCTGGTGGCGGTGCTGCCATTTACCCCAACGCACCCTTATTCCCTTCCCTCTCACTACCCCACTCCCCACTCCCTCCCCCACTCCCCCCCGCCCCCTCCCCCCTCCCCCCCCAGGCGGCATGGTGCTGCACAAGGGGCAGATCGCGGAGATGCGGACGGGGGAGGGCAAGACGCTGGTGGCGGTGCTGCCGGCGTACCTGAACGCGCTCACAGGCAGGGGCGTGCACGTCGTCACCGTCAACGACTACCTCGCTAGGAGAGACGCCGAGTGGGTGGGGCAGGTTCACAAGTTCCTCGGGCTCTCCGTCGGCCTTATCCAACGCAAGTGTGACTGTAATGAGTGGGAGTGACTGTAGGAGGCGCAGGGGTGTGCACGTGGTCACAGTCAACAACTACCTCGCCCGGCGCGACGCTGAGTGGGTGGGGCAGGTTCACAAGTTCCTGGGGCTCTCCGTCGGCCTTATTCAACTTGAGTTGTGGGACTGTAACGAGTGAGATTGTATCGAGTGGTAAGTGTGCACGTGGTGACAGTCAACGACTATCTCGCCCGCCGTAATGCGGAGTGGGTGGGGTAGGTTCACAAGTTCCTGGGACTTTCCGTCGGCCTTATTCAGCGTGAGTGGGACAGTTATGGTTAGGGGTTACTGGATGGAACGAGTGTGACTGCAAGTCTGTAACGAGCTGGTGTGAGTGTATGAGGTACAGGGGAGGGAGTTGAGTGCACGTGGTAACTGTCATTAATCATCTCGCCACGCGAGCACGACACCAAGCGGGTGGGGTATGTGCACAAGCTACGCCTACGCGTGTGACGTGATGTGTGTGATGTATCATGTATGTGACCAACCGGGAGCTATATCAGGTTCAGCTCCCACTTTTCGACCTTCCTCCTTCATGAATCACAACCACCCCTCTCCCCCCGTCCCCTGCCCCCCTCCCCACTTTTGTCCTTCTCCCCCCCGTCTGGTCGTTGTAGAGGGCATGGATGCGCAGCAGAGGAGGGAGGGCATTGCATGCATGCGATGTGACTAACAGCGAGCTCGGGCTCACCTTCCCGTTTTTCGACTAAGTCCCTTCTTGTTGCCTCACAACCACACCCCTCCCCCTTCTCCCGCTTCTCCCCCTTCCCCCTTCCACCTTTCCCCTCCCAACACCCGTCTGGTCATGGCAGAGGGCATGGACGCGCAGCAGAGGAGGGAGAGCTACGCGTGTGATGTGACGTACGTGACCAACAGCGAGCTGGGGTTTGACTTCCTCCGCGATAACCTCGCCACCGTGAGCGCCACGCGTCCCTTGGCTGCTCTGCCTCTCGCACCTTCCCTCTCCCCCCTCCCTCCTCCCTCCACCCTCCTCCCTCCATGACAATTGCCTCTGTGAGCTCCATGCCTGCTTTGCTTCTCATCATCTCGGGGCCGTGTCCCCTGTTGTCACCTCTTTCCATGTCCTCCCACCCCTTGCACAACACACAACCCAGACCAAGGACGAGCTGGTCCTGCCTGACTTCCACTGCTGTGTGATCGACGAGGTCGACTCCATCCTCGTCCTCACCCCCCTGACCTTTGCCCCCTCCCTTTTCTCCCCTTTCCTTCCCCCCTTCCTCATCCCCTTTATAACGCGCTTCAGACCAAGGACGAGCTGGTTCTGCCGGACTTCCACTACTGTGTGATCGACGAGGTCGACTCCATCCTAATCGACGAGGCGCGCATGCCGCTCATCATCTCGGGGCCATGTTCCCCCCGTGTCCCACCGTGTTCCCTCATTCCATGTTCCCCCCTCCCTGTGTCGACAACCCAACCCAACCCAACCCAACCCAACCCAACCCAACCAGACCAAGGATGAGTTGGTCCTCCCTGACTTCCACTACTGTGTGATCGACGAGGTCGACTCCATCCTCATCGACGAGGCACGCACGCCGCTCATCATCTCGGGTCCCGCGGAGAAGCCCAGCGAGCGCTACTACAAGGCTGCTAAGCTGGCCGGGGCGTTCGTACGAGACGTGCATTACACGGTAAGTGGGGGTGAAGGGTAGGGGGAGGGGCTCTGTGTGTGTGGGCTAGGAGGGGGCACGCCGCTCATCATCTCGGGGCCGGCGGAGAAGCCTAGCGAGCGCTACTACAAGGCTGCTAAGCTGGCCGGGGCGTTCGTTCGGGACGTGCACTCCACAGTAAGTGGGGGTGAGGGGGAGGGGAGACTTCCGCCAAAGCCATTCCCCCTGAGAGTGAGAGGGGGCACGCCATCTCGGGCCCAGCGGAGAAGCCCAGCGAGCGTTACTACAAGGCTGCTAACCTCGCTGGAGCGTTCGTGTGCGATGTGCACTACATGGTGGGTGGGAGGCTGTGGGTTGCGTGGGTTGTGCGTGAGGGGAGGGGAAGGGGAGAAGCCCACCTCCCACCCAGCGAAACTTGCTCTCCTAATGCCCTCTCACCACCCACCTCCGCTGTGATCAACTCTGCTGTGTTCCCCATGCCAGGTGGACGAGAAGCAGAAGGCAGTGCTGCTCACCGAAGAGGGCTACGAGGAGGCAGAGGTGCTGTTGGAAGTGAGCGACCTGTACGACCCAAACCCCTCTCCTCGCCCACCCACCCCTCCTTCCTGCAATCATCTCGTTGTTCCCCTCCGTAGGTGGACGAGAAGCAGAAGGCAGTACTCCTCACAGAGGAGAGCTACGAGGAGGCTGAGGTGCTGTTGGGAGTGAGCGACCTGTACGACCCCAATTCCCTCTCCCCTCCTTTTCCTCCTGTTCCCAACTTCAGGTGGATGAGAAGCAGAAAGCCGTACTGCTGACTGAGGAAGGGTATGAGGAAGCAGAGACGCTGCTGGGAGTGAGCGACCTGCTTTTCCAATCACCCCTTTCTCATCCTCCTTGCAATCCGCACCTCCCGCTTGCTGAAATTGCACTCCTCACCCAAACCACTCCAGGTGGATGAGAAGCAGAAAGCCGTACTGCTGACAGAAGAGGGCTACGAGGAAGCAGAGACGCTGCTGGGAGTGAGCGACCTGCTTTTCCAATCACCCCTTTCTCATCCTCCTTGCAATCCGCACCTCCCGCTTGCTGAAATTGCACTCCTCACCCAAACCACTCCAGGTGGATGAGAAGCAGAAAGCCGTACTGCTGACAGAAGAGGGCTACGAGGAAGCAGAGACGCTGCTGGGAGTGAGCGACCTGTTCAACCCGCACCACTTCTCTCCCACTTTGTCCCTGCTTAACCCATGGCAGGTGGACGAGAAGCAGAAGGCGGTACTCCTCACAGAGGAAGGCTACGAGGAGGCGGAGGTGCTGCTGGGGGTGAGCGACCTGTACGACCCGCGGGAGCAGTGGGCGTCGTATGTGATCAACGCTATCAAGGCCAAGGAGCTGTTCCTGAGGGATGTGCAGTATATTGTGAAGGGCGGCGGCATCTTGATTGTTGATGAGTTCACTGGACGCATCATGGAGGTGTGTGTGCGGTGACAGTGGGGGGAGGGGAGGATAGGGATGAAGGAAGGAGGATGCGGAAGGTGAGGTCGGTAGTGGGGAGGATGGGGGGGGGAGCAGTGGGCGTTGTAGGTGATCAGCGCTATTGAATTGAAGCCAAGGAGCTGTTTCTGAGGGACGTGCAGTACATACATCGTGAAGGGCGGAGGAATCCTTATTGTGGACGAGTTTACTGGGCGTATCATGGAGGTGCGTTGGGGGATAAGGGGTAGTGCTAGGAAGGAGAGGAGGTGCTGGGCTGGTTGCAGCAGTGGGCGTCGTATGTGATCAACGCCATCAAGGCCAAGGAGATCTTTCTGAGGAATCACTTTTGAGAATGCTCAAAAGGAGCTGTTTCTGAGGGATGTTCAGTGTACTGTCAAGGGAGGAGGGATTCTCATCTGATTGTTGATGAATTCACTGGACGCATCATGGAGGTTAGTGCCCATCCATGCCTCAACTCTCTTGTGCTCTCCTTGTGCTCTTGCTGTGCCTTCCTGTGCTCTGTATTTTCTCCCAGGGTCGGCGGTGGAGTGAGGGGTTGCATCAGGCGGTGGAGGCAAAGGAGGGACTCACCATTCAGAACGAGACGGTCACACTTGCGTCCATCAGTTACCAGAACTTCTTCCTGCAGGTATGGCAGTTATGGTCTAGGAGGTCTCCTGTTGCCTCTATAGAGCAGACCTCCTTTCACCTGCACCCATCACACATCCTGAACCCATTGCACCACACACATCTCTTCCTTCCCGGTTGACCACCTCAGCGCCCTCCCCTCTTTCCTCACCCCCTCCTCTCTAATCTCCCCTCTCCTCCCCTCCCCACTCTCCCCTCTCCTCTCTCCTCTCGCCCCCTCCCCTCCCCACTCCCTCATTCCCTCCCCCACCTCTCCCCTGTCCCCTTCCCCCGCTCTCCTCCCTTCCGTGCCCTGCAGTACCCCAAGCTGTGCGGCATGACAGGCACGGCAGCAACAGAGGCGGCTGAGTTCACGAGCATCTACAAGCTCACACGCCCCGCACTCATCCCCTTTCCGCTCCTCCATCGCCCTCCCCAATCCCCCCTGCTTTCATGCCCTGCCCTGCAGTACCCCAAGCTGTGCGGCATGACAGGCACAGCGGCCACAGAGGCGGCGGAATTCACGAGCATCTACAAGCTCACCGTCACTGAGATCCCCACCAACCGCCCCGCTGGCCGCAAGGTGTGAACGAGGAATATAGAGTCTTGGAGGAACATGCAGGCGTGGAGGAACATGCAGGCTTGGATGCTACTTTTGAGAACTTTCAAAAGTAACACCAATGCTTGGATGCAAGGATTCTCGTGTATAGGGTAGTTGTACGTGCATTGTTGGATAATGAAGTTATAACCAAACCACTCACCATGTTCTGTGCTCCTGTCTATCTTTTCACCATTCCCCCTGGCACGCTCCCTCCGTCTCTCCCCCCTCTCCCTTTCCTCTTTCCCCTTTTTTGTCTGAACAGGACGAGTCAGACGTGGTCTTCAGGGCAGCGGACGGCAACTGGCGGGGTGGATGGTTGTGTTGTGTCTGACACTTTCCCTTCCGCCCACCCCACCCCCTCTTCTCTTCCCAACAGGACGAGTCAGACGTGGTCTTCAGGGCAGCGGACGGCAACTGGCGGGGTGGATGGTTGTGTTGTGTCTGACACTTTCCCTTCCGCCCACCCCACCCCCTCTTCTCTTCCCAACAGGACGAGTCAGACGTGGTCTTCAGGGCAGCGGACGGCAACTGGCGGGGTGGATGGTTGTGTTGTGTCTGACACTTTCCCTTCCGCCCACCCCACCCCCTCTTCTCTTCCCAACAGGACGAGTCAGACGTGGTCTTCAGGGCAGCGGACGGCAACTGGCGGGGTGGATGGTTGTGTTGTGTCTGACACTTTCCCTTCCGCCCACCCCACCCCTCTTCTCTTCCCAACAGGACGAGTCAGACGTGGTCTTCAGGGCAGCGGACGGCAACTGGCGGGGTGGATGGTTGTGTTGTGTCTGACACTTTCCCTTCCGCCCACCCCACCCCCTCTTCTCTTCCCAACAGGACGAGTCAGACGTGGTCTTCAGGGCGGCGGACGGCAAGTGGCGGGAGCTCCCACGCCCACTCACCGAATCTCTTGCCCCTCTCTGAATCCCAATCTCCCTTTCCCCAATCCCAACTCCTCGCCTCCTCCCAACAGGACGAGTCAGACGTGGTGTTTAGGGCAGCGGACGGCAAGTGGAGGGCGGTGGTGGTGGAGGTGGCACGTATGAACAAAATGGGCCGTCCGGTGCTGGTGGGCACGACCAGTGTGGAGCTGAGTGAGGGGCTGTCGGCGCGCCTCAGGGAGGCGGGGGTGAAGCACCAGGTGCTCAACGCCAAGCCTGAGAACGTCGAGAGGGAAGCAGAGATCGTCGCACAGAGTGGCCGTCTGGGCGCCGGTGAGTGCTAGGGTGTCTTTTGCGTCGAATTAAAGGTCACCTCGGCTGGCTGGGTGGCACTGATGAGGTGAGTGGTCGGTTCGGTGGGTTTCATCGACCCCTGTGGTCCCACCTTTTTGCTCCAGCCACCAAAGCAGAAGGGGCAAATCTGTGGGGCTCGAAATGGTCAAGGTGAGCAATCTCGTCCTTCGTTGCATCACACCACACCACTGCACAGCACATCACAGCACAGCACAGCACAGCACAGCACAGCACAGCACAGCACAGCACAGCACAGCACAGCACAGCACAGCACAGCACAGCACAGCACAGCACAGCACAGCACAGCACAGCACAGCACAGCACACCACACCACACCACTGCACAGCACATCACAGCACAGCACAGCACAGCACAGCACAGCACAGCACAGCACAGCACAGCACAGCACAGCACAGCACAGCACAGCACAGCACAGCACAGCACAGCACAGCACAGCACAGCACATGACAGCACCGCACACCACATCACAGCACCGCACACCACACCACACCACACCACACCACCGCACAGCACAGCACAGCACAGCACAGCACAGCACAGCACAGCACACCACAGCACAGCACAGCACAGCACACCACCGCACAGCACAGCACAGCACAGCACAGCACAGCACAGCACAGCACAGCACAGCACAGCACAGCACAGCACAGCACAGCACACCACCGCACAGCACAGCACAGCACAGCACAGCACACCCTCCCTCCCGCTCGTATGGATGGACTCAACACCTGTTCCTCTTTCTTATGCGTTCCTGTTCCCCATGCGTGCAGTGACCATTGCAACAAACATGGCGGGCCGAGGAACGGACATTCTGCTGGGAGGCAACGCCGAGTTCATGGCTCGCCTCAAGCTGAGGGAGATGCTCATGCCCAGGTGCGCATGGGGTCCGGGAGAATTCGTATCTGTCCAGGTGTGGGTGGGGACTGAGGGAGGCGGTAACTTCTCAACTGGTAGTTGGCCAGGTGCAGGTAGGCACTGGGGGAGGCGGTGACTGGATTCTGCTGGGAGGCAATGCGGAGTTCATGGCTCGCCTCAAGCTGAGGGAGATGCTCATGCCCAGGTGCGGGTAGTGACTGGGGCGGGCGTGTGGGGGTGGTGACTCGTTCAGCTTCTCATTCTCCCTCGCCCGCACTCTCTTCTCCCACCCTCGCCCCCCTTGCAGAGTGGCGCAGGCGAGCGACAACGAGATTGCGTTTGAGGTCAAGAGGAAGGTCCCTGTGAAGAAGTCCTGGGCGGTGGGTGGCAAAGGAAATGGTTTATGGATTGTGGGAGGGGGTGAGGGGGTTTGTGTGCAGGAGTGGGTGGTATATGCTCCTTGCTCCTGATTTTGTGCATCTCCCTGTTTCTGTCCCAAGCCCATTCCCATCCCCATGACCATACCCCATGGATTGTGGGAGGGGGTGAGGGGGGTTGTGTGCAGGAGTGGGTGGTATATGCTCCTTGCTTCTGATCTTGTGCATCTCCCCACCCCTTTACCCCTACCTTTTCCCCCACTCCCCGTGTGCCTCTCCCTCTTTCTGTCCCAAGCCCATTCCCATCCCCATCCCCATACCCACCCTCTAATGCATCTAATCCAGCTTCCTCTCGCTTGCCTTCGCTTCTGTCCGCACATATTCCGTCTCTCTCACTCTGCTCCGTTCTTATTCCTCCCACTCCGTTCCCTCTACCCTCCCCCCCTCCAACCATTCCCAACTCCCCCCCCCACCCATTCCCCCTCTCATTCCCACCCCTCCCCTCTCTCCTTCTCACCCCCTCCCTCCCACTCCCGTCTCGTCCCTCCGCCCTCATCCCTCCCTCCATTCCCACCACCCTCCTCAACCACCCCCCCCCCCCCCCCCCCCCCCCCCCCACCACCACCACCCTCCTCAACCCTCCCCGCCTCCCCCCTCCCCCCCCCCCCCCCCCCTGCAGGTCAACCCGGAGCTCTACCCCTGCCAGCTGTCGGACGCCACGTCAGCGCTGCTGACGTCAGCAGTGGAGGCAGCAGTGGCGGCGTGGGGCGCCAACTCACTGCCAGCTCTGGAGGCCGAGGACAGGCTGGCATTCGCTTGCGAGAAGGTGGGTGTGTTTGTCTTGTCTGCCCCACCTCACTCACCAACTCGTTACCGGCTCTCGAGGCCGAGGACAGGCTGGCGTTCGCGTGTGAGAAGGTGAGAGAGACCTAGATAGGTTGTTTCCTCTCTTACTCTGGGTAACCTCGTCTTCTCCTCCTCGCTGCCGGCTCTGTAGTCGGAGGACAGGCTGGCATTTGCGTGTCAGAAGGTGAGTGCATTCTGACAGGCAGGCATTTGTCTCGTCCCTTTGCTCACCTGTGCCGGCTCTCGAGGCAGGGGACAGGCTGGCATTCGCATGTGAGAAGGTGGGTGTATTTTGACAGGCAATTGCTGCTCCTTCACACCTCACATGCCAACTCGCTACCTGCTCTCTAGGCAGAGGACAGATTGGCGTGCGCATTTGAGAAGGTGAATGCACTCTGATAGGTGCAATACAATACAGCACTGTTCCTCCTTTACCCCTGGCCTTCTCCCTCTCCCTCTCCCGCTCCCTCTCCCTCCCTCCTTCCCTGCAGGGCCCCACCAGGGATCCAGTGATTGCAGCTCTGCGACCCTCTTTTCGGGCAACGGATGACGAGTACACACGAGACCCTCTGTGTTCACACAGGCCAAAAGCAGGTGGTCATTGCTGCTCGTGCCCACTCTTCTCTCACCCTCTTTGTGTTTGTGTTCTCCTGTGCGTGTTTTTGTGTGCAGGGCCCCACGAGTGATCCAGTGATTGCAGCCCTCAGGGCAGCCTTTCAAGCGATGGATGATGAGTACCGCGTGTTTACGGAGGCCGAGAAGCAGAAGGTCATTGCTGCCGGCGGGCTGCATGTCATCGGCACAGAGAGGCATGAGTCGCGCCGTATCGACAACCAGGTGAGGGTTCTGCTGCGTGTGAGCATGCAATGCATGCACTGTGCATGCATTCACTCATTCATGGGTGTGTGTGTGCCGTGCTGCTGGCGGGCTGCATGCCATCGGCACGGAGAGGCACGAGTCGCGGCGCATTGGCAACCTGGTGAGGGGTCTGCCGCGTGTGAACATGCAATGCATGCACTGTGCATGCGTGCATTCATTTATTCATTCATGGTGCCTAGATCATTGCTGCTGGCGGGCTGCATGTCATCGGCACTGAGAGGCACAAGTCGCGGCGCATTGGCAACCAGGTGAGGGCATATTCGAGGGTATTATTATTATATATATATATGTATAGATTGATGGGATGCATCGGTACGTAAGCACCCATTCGCCACGCCTTTGGCACGGATAGGCGCGAATTTCCTGCTGCATGAACCACAAGCTGGAACCATCTGCTGCATGGTATGGTAAAAATCATCTCAGGAGAGTGAGGGACTCAAATCAAAGGTAGGACCAGGCTTTAGTCTGCATGCTTACGTGGTAGCCGCACCCACCTTCCCTCTCCTCCTACCCACCTATCATCCCCCTGCCCTCCCGTCCTGCTCCTCTCCCACCCCTCCCCGCCTCTCTCCCTCACACTTCTCCCCCTCCGCCCCCCTGTGCGCACATTGCAGTTGCGCGGACGGTCAGGGCGGCAGGGCGACCCTGGCAGTTCGCGTTTCTTCCTCTCCCTCGAAGACAACATCTTCCGCATCTTCGGTGGAGATCGCATCCAGGTGTGCAGTGCGGTGCAGAGAGGTTCCGAGTGATGTAGGAGGTGTAGGTAGGTGTGGAGTGGTGTGTGAGGGGGCGGTCAGGGCGGCAGGGCGACACTGGCAGTTCCCGTTTCTTCCTCTCCCTCAAAGACAACTGCCGAATCTTCGTTGGCGACCGTATCCAGTTGTGCAGTTCGGTGGAGAGTGGTGTGTGAGCAATTGAGGCACAGATTGTTGTAGCGTAGCCGTGCGGTGAAGGGTGGTTTCTTGCGGTTCTAAAGTTTAGGGGGCGATAGTGTCAAGGCGAGGAGCGGTGGAGAGGTGTAGGTTAGGCGCGGAAAGCTGGTGTGGTGTGCCGAGCAGAGCAGTGGTGCGGAGTGATGAGAGGTCTCCTTAGTTTGTTGTGCAGAGAGCTTCTGTGTGTTTGCAGCTAACTAGTTAGTTCAATCACATCAATGGAGGCATGTCCCTCAGGCCCTCATGTCATCTAATCATGCTACTCCACTCCCCTTGCTCCCGGATTTTTCCCCACACCACAGGGACTGATGAAGGCGTTCCGAGTGGAGGACCTGCCGATCGAGTCCAAGATGCTCACAAAGGCGCTGGACGAGGCGCAGAGGAAGGTGGAGAACTACTTCTTTGATATCCGCAAGCAGCTGTTCGAATACGACCAGGTGGGGTGTGGTGCGGTGCGGTGCGGTGCGGGTCGTAGTGTGTGCACTGATTATGATCCAGTCTGTGCTAGAGGGTGCGCAGAGGAAGGTGGAGAACTACTTTTTTCACATCCGCAAGCAGCTGTTTGAAAAGGAATAAGATGCGGCATCGGGCCTTTTGAGGCGCCTCAAAAAGAATAAGGTTCCTAACTCATTGCACCCCTCGGCGTGTGATTAATAAGTCGATTTTTGAGTAAAGGGGCACAATGTGTTACATTACTCGAAAATCGAGATTCCTGACTCATTGTGCCCCTCTGCGCAGCCTTAGCCTCCCTTCTCTCCCCCCTCTCTCTCTGGGGTGCTGAACTGCCAGCGCAACTGCATATACGTGGAGAAGAGGAGGGCGGGGTGGAGAGGAGAGGAGAGGAGAGGGGAGGAGAGGAGAGGGGAGGAGAGGAGATGAGAGGAGAGGAGAGGAGAGGAGAGGAGAGGAGAGGAGAGGAGAGGAATTTTTGACTTTGTGTCCCTCCGTTTACCTGCTTCCTCCCCCCTCCACCCACCACGTCTTTCTCTCAGGATGTGTATGTGGAGAGGAGGAGGGCACTGGTGGCGGAGAGGAGAGGAGAGGAGCGTTGACTCTTTGTGCCCCTCCCGTTACCCTTTTCTCTTCCCCCTCTCCAGGTGCTAAACAGCCAGCGTGACCGCGTGTATGCGGAGAGGAGGAGGGCACTGGTGGCGGAGAGCTTGGAGGGCCAGATGATAGAGTATGCCGAGCTCACTATGGATGACATCCTTGAGGTGAGTGAGTCTCTCAGGGTAGGCTGAGAGCCTGGAGGGCGCGATGATAGAGCATGCTGAGCTCACTATGGATGACATTCTTGGGGTGAGTGGGGCAGTGCTGGCCTTTTGTGGGTGGGGCTTGGTTCCTCTGTCTGTCCTTGAGTCGGCAATGCCGCTGGCCGGTGGCAGAGAGCCTGGAGGCTATGTTGCACCTGACGCCCAGCCAGGGCAGCGTCCAGCGTCCGGACGGCCACGTCTGGACGCTGGACGCGTCAAACATGTTTGACGCTGGACGTTCGGGAAAAAAAAACTTTTCGGGCAGCCCGGAAAATTTTTGTTTCTTCCGCACGAAATTGACTCGTTGTCATTGCGACCAAAATCGAGATGAAATCGATTTCGACCTACAAAAACGCAACCCTTTTTTTTTTTTCCCCCCTCACACATTTGGACCCATCCCCATCTAGTTCTCCCAACCAGGTCGACCCCCAACTCAACCAGAGAGCCAGGTCCAAGTCGACATTAGAGAGATCTGTTTCTCTCGACATTGCCTAGCATACCTATCCCTACAATCCGCCAGTTATGCTACTTAGGCTTTGTAGTGTGAATTTAGGGTTAAGGAAATTAAGTTACAATGTCATCTCCTAGTCCCACCGGTCAATCTGGTAGTGGCTCCACACCTTCTGCAGGTGGTGTGGAGGGAAAACGCAATTACGACGAAATGCATCTTAACCCCTATGTAGCCTTATTAGGCATGTATTTTACTCCTGCCCGGGAAAAGTTTTGCCCTGCCCGGACTAGCGTCAAGAGGGCGTCCAGGGCAGAGCAACCCGGGCGTCCAGCGTCTGGACGCCCCGTCCTGACGCCAGCTTCAAAAACGCTGGACGCGTCAGGTGCAACATAGCCTGGAGGCCCAGATGATAGAGTATGCTGAGCTCACTATGAATGACATACTTGAGGTGAGTGGGGTATGCATGCAGGGAAATTTTTTAGGCGCCTCAACATTCAACTCATTGGTATGCATGCAGGAAGAATGATGCTGGTGGAGGGATGGGCGTGGAGGGGGCAATGGTGGACGATGTCGTTCCCTCGATCATTTTTTCTCACGATAATGCAGAGTGCCCACTCTTGTTCCCTCCCCCCCTCTTTCTCACTCACCCTCTCCTGAATTTCCTCGCCGTATTTCCTTCTCTCCCCTCCACCGTCCCTTTTTCTGTCAGGCCAACGTTGACGCCACAAAGCCCAAGGAGGAGTGGAACCTCGAGGCCCTGGCAGCCAAGGTCATGCAGTAATTTCTGTCCATCTCCGTCCAACCCTCTCTGTCGCTCCTTCCCTTCTCCCTCATTCACTGTCCACTCTTCAGGCCAACATTGACGCATCGAAGCCCAAGGAGGAGTGGAACCTCGAGGCCCTGGCAGCCAAGGTCAAGCAGTACTGCTACCTGCTCTCCGACCTCTCTCCTGAGACCCTTGCTCCCCACGCCGACTCCATTGACAGCCTGAGGGAGTACCTCAGGAAGCGCGGAAGGGAGGTTTACTACCAGAAGCGGGTGAGTATAATCAATCAATCAATCAATAGGTGCGAGGAGGGAGGTAGAAGGTAGCCAAGGTCAAGCAGTACTGCTACCTGCTCTCCGACCTCTCCCCCGAGACCCTCGCTCCCCACGCTGACTCCATTGACAGTCTGAGGGAGTACCTCAGGAAGCGCGGAAGGGAGGTTTACTACCAGAAGCGGGTGAGTATAATCAATCAATCAATCAATAGGTGCGAGGAGGGAGGTAGAAGGTAGCCAAGGTTAAGCAGTACTGCTACCTGCTCGCTGACCTCTCCCCCGAGACCCTCGCTCCCCACGCCGACTCCATTGACAGCCTGAGGGAGTGGCTGAGGAAGCGCGGGCAAGAGGTGTAATACCAGAAGCGGGTGAGGGCCCAACTTGGTAGGTTTGAGGTTTGGTAGAAGCAGGAGCGGAGAGGGCACCGCAGCAACCGGCCAAAGGAACTCCTCTCCTCGCTCACAAACGCCTTGTGTCTGTCCTTTCGCTCGTGTGCTTCTCCCCCCTATGCCTTTCTCTTACATGCACCCAGGAGGAGGTGGAGAAGATAGTTCCAGGGCTGATGAGGGACGCGGAGCGCTGCTTCGTCACGGCAGGTCACGGCACCTACTTTGTGGTCGTGCCGAAGTAGGTGCCGTCTACCTTCGCAGACGGACAATCTCTGGAAGGAGCACCTGCAGGCACCAAGTTCCCACTTCCACCGCCGGTTTCCTCTCCCCCCTTCTTTGATTACAGGAGGAGGTTGAGAAAATCGTTCCCGGGCTGATGATTACAGGACGTTCCCGGGCTGATGAAGGACGCAGAGCGTTATTTCGTGCTGTCCCAGACGGACAACCTGTGGAAGGAGCACCTGCAGGCGCTCAAGTTTGCACAGCAGGCGGTGGGCCTGCGCGGGTACGCACAGAAGGACCCGCTGATCGAGTACAAGCTGGAGGGGTACAACCTGTTCCTCTCCATGATGGCGCAGATCCGCCGCAATGTCATCTACTCCGTCTACCAGGTGGGTTACTTGTCGTCGACTTGGTGTATCAGGTGCGTTGCATGTGATATGGGATGTGTAACAGGTGTGTTACATGTCTTCTGGCTCGCGTACTAGGTGGATTACGTTGCGCCTGGTCAGTGTGCTGTGTGAGTTGCATTATCAGCACCCCCTCATTGAGTACAAGCTGGAGGGGTACAACCTGTTCCTCTCCATGATGGCGCAGATCCGCCGCAACGTCATCTACTCCGTCTACCAGGTGCGCGGGTTACGTGTCATCTACTCGGTGTACCAGGTGGGTTGCGTGTCATCTGGGATGTGTACTAGGTGGATTACATGCTATCTGGTTTAGGTGCCAAGTGAATTTCACCGTCGCGCTTGTCCCTTTGGTGATTCCTTGCCACCGCTTACCTGAGTGGTTTTTCTGATATTCTCTTCACGTGCCACATCGGTGTCATGTCATTGCGATTGTGACTTCTGATTTCGAGTCGACTCAAAAACTTGAGATTTTCTTCACATGCCACATCCGTGTCATGGCATTTCTGGTTGTGACTTCTCTCCGGTTCTGCCTGACAAAGTGTGGCTGTTACTCTCTTTGTGCTGGCTGCAGTTCAAGCCTGTTATGGCGAAGCAACCTGATATAGCCAATGTGGCTAATGGTGGTGCTACTGCTGCTGCAGCAGCAGCAGTCCCTGCTGCGACTGAAGCATCCTCCCAAGCATCAGAGTCGACAGAAACAGCCGCAACAGCAGCAGCCGGAGCAACAGCAGCAGCCGGAGCAACAGAAGCAGCAGGATCAGCAGAAGCAGCAGCAGAAGCAGAAGTAGCAGAAGCAAAATCGGAGGGAGAGAGTGGGGTTGCAGCTGCAACAAATGCAGGAGCAGCACCTACAGGAGGGAGGGGTGGGCGGAGGGGTGGACAGAAAGGTCGTCAGCGTGCAGGGAAAAAGGTTGCTGCTAGGTCTAAGAGCTCATAAACAAAGCTAACTGAAGTCGTTCTGGCGAGTGCGTTTTGTTGTGTGCTTTCCCTTAAGTACCGGTGAATATAATCTCAGTGCCCTATAGGTTGTGTGTACGCATCACTCGCCTAACAGTAACAACAATGTTGTTTGAACAAGCTGTCACTTGCGACTTCTATGATATTCCTGACGCCGTGGTTATGGGTTACAGTATTGGTGTACCCCATCCATTTATATCGCGATTTCGAGTCAGTGTCAGCGTCATCCAAGCCGTGGTCGCCGGGATCACCCGAGCCCCAACCGGAGGGCGCGCCAATTGAAATTCTGAACCGAGATTGCCCTTCATTCTGACCAGGCTTCACACGCACAGTTGACGAGATCCCTTATTGGCTGTTAGGCACGTGGGTGACTCCTCCGCTGCCCAAATACCAATCTCGACTCGACTTTGAGGATGCCCCTCCAATCACGGTGAAATTGCATCCTGGCTCTAAACTCGTTTTGGTGAAAAAATGTACTGTACCCGAAAAGGTTTATTTTCTGCGCTGGTGGCAGTTCACACAAAAGGTACCTCCTCACAAATCAAGGCACCGTTCCTCACCCCACATGACCCAACATGGAGAACAAAATTATAGCACATTCAGCCCGTCCGAGAAATTCCTATCGGTGCTCTTCTCATCAACGTGTCGCACAAAATCCGAAAAAGCGCAACGATAGTGGGGTGCCTGTGTTGTTCGCCGCCGGTGATTGCGGGAAGCCGCGTCAGCAAAGCGTCACACCCCTCGTGTCTATTGCTGAATTTCTGCAACCCCCCTCACCTCACCTCAACCCCCCTTGCTCCCCTTCCCCCCTTCTCTCCATTTCAAGCTCTCTGGGTTGTGGGGAGAATCCTGGGGAGAGCTCTCTGTCTGTGCAGATCAGCGTGAAACTGAGAATTTAGACATCGCCAGAATCTGTGTGCGTTTCCCCGCTGAGAAGTGGCTTCAGGCTCCCAGTAGCCTACTAAGTTTTGAATGCTGTCCGTCCTTCCTTCAAACTTCGCTTGAGTTTGAGCTGTTCGCCTGCAGCCATGGATCCGTCTGCCATGGAGCTTCAGGAGTTTTACCACGGTGCGGCCTGCCAATTCGAGTCGAAGCGTAGTCCGTTGTTCGAGGCCGGACAGATTTGGGACGTCGGTGCCGCAGTGCTAGGAGGTTTCGTTCCAGGAGTAGTTCTCGTGAAATGTGTAGCTGTCGCTGGGGCTCTCACATTCTCGTCATGGTGTGCCGCGATTGTAGTAACAGCCGCTGCACTCCAACGGATACACAGTGAGTGGCCGTTCCTCATCCACCAGTTTCCTACTTCTAACGTATCTCGTTTCCGGGCCTGCTTTTGTGAATCAGTAACTCTTAAGTTACATTCTACCTGTCGTCGGTCTGTTTCGGAAGTTCATTGTTGCTTCGTGATGATATGGCTCTTAACCGCGCCTTCTGCTGTTTCATGCAGGCTCCACCATGCCAGACGACATGGATGGCTTCTCCCGTTGAGTTTCGTGGGTGAAGAGAGATATACTTCCTGCACTGACCTACTAACCTCTTAACATTCCTCCCGAGATGCCATCTCGTTATACGCCGCTGGAGCGATGGCATTGCTCCGCGAGCCAAATTCTGTAACATTTGTTTAAGTGTTCATAATACATCGAAGCGTCAAAGGGACTCGCTTGTAATATATCCAAGCATTTAAAGCTTTTGTATACATTTGAAAGAGGGAGGTTCAAAACTTTTGAAATTTGAAATATTGGTAACTCGATTACCGCTAGTTTACTCGCTGAACAAGGGAGGGAGATCCCCCCAACACCCAGCACTCCCTGGTGATTCAATACTTTTGGATTGACAAAAGTATACGAAATCCAGCCTATGTGAGATCTAGGCCACCACGCTCTTCTGCCAGCATGATACGTAGCTAAGCACATCGACTCAACAGCCAGCGCAAATTCTGCAAATTTGCGTCACAAACCTAAATGCGTGGGGCAGTTTCATGTAATTATACGGATAAACCAACGTCAGTGGTTCCCTTTCACGCGGCGATCCCGCGGGACCTCCTCTCACGGCCTCGCCTCGTCGTCCGTCGTGTCGCCTCACGACGCTGCCTCCTCACGCCACCGTGAACGCGCACGATTCGTCTCAAACTGCCGAACACGCACGATCACAGTCGCGGCCCGATCGCGACTGCCTCGCTACCACGTTTCCGCACTAGCCCCAGCAGCCGCACTTGAGTGCGCGAACGACTGCAGAAACGGGAGCTTCCAACCCCTTCCCGCCTCCTCGTCTTCCTTCTCGCCATCCCAATTCGCGTTCTCGCCTCCCCGTTTCCCCTTTCCAATCCCCAGGACCCCTTCCGGTCACCCCGTTTTCCCGCCTCCCCCCCTTCCCAATTCCTCTCCGTTTCCCCTTCCCGCCTCTCCGTTTCCCCTTCCCGCTCCCCCGTTTTTCCCCTTCCCGCCTCTTTTCCCCCCTTCCCGTCACCCCGTTTCCCCATCCCGCTCCCCGTTACCCCTCCCCGCCTCCTCAATTCCCCTTCCCGCCTCCCCGTTTCCCCCATCGCGCTCCCCGTTACCCCCCTTCCCGCCTCCTCATTTCTCCTTCCCGCCTCCCCAATTCTCCTTGGGGCCATCCCGTTTCCCCTTTGCGTCTCCCCATTACCCCTCCCGCCTCCCCGTTTCCCCTTCCCGCTCCCCATTACCCCTTCCCGCCTTCCCGTTAGCCCTTCCCGCCTCCCCAATTCCCGTTCCCGCCTCCCCTTCCCCCTTCCCGCTCCCGATTTCCCTTCCCGCCTCCCCGTTTCCCCGTCCCGTTCCCGTTTCCCCTTCCCGCCTTCCCGTTTCCCCGTCCCGCTCCTCGTTTCCTCTTCCCGCTCCCCGTTTCCCCTTCTCACCACCCCGTTTCCCCATCCCGATCCCCGTTACCCCTCCCCGCCTCCTCAATTCCCCTTCCGCCTCCCGTTTCCCCTTCCCGCCTCCCCAATTCCCCTTCCCGCCTCCCCGTTTTCCCCTCCCTGTCTCCCCATTACCCCTCCCCCCTTCCTCCCTCTCGTTTACCCCCCTTCCCCCTCTCATTTCCCCCCCTTCTCCTCCTTTTCTTTCCCGCTTCCCCCCATCCCCTTCCCTGCTTCCCCCCATCCCCTTCCCTGCTTCCCCCCATCCCCTTCCCTGCTTCCCCCCATCCCCTTCCCTGCTTCCCCCCATCCCCTTCCCTGCTTCCCCCCATCCCCTTCCCTGCTTCCCCCCATCCCCTTCCCTGCTTCCCCCCATCCCCTTCCCTGCTTCCCCCCATCCCCTTCCCTGCTTCCCCCCATCCCCTTCCCTGCTTCCCCCCATCCCCTTCCCTGCTTCCCCCCATCCCCTTCCCTGCTTCCCCCCATCCCCTTCCCTGCTTCCCCCCATCCCCTTCCCTGCTTCCCCCCATCCCCTTCCCTGCTTCCCCCCATCCCCTTCCCTGCTTCCCCCCATCCCCTTCCCTGCTTCCCCCCATCCCCTTCCCTGCTTCCCCCCATCCCCTTCCCTGCTTCCCCCCATCCCCTTCCCTGCTTCCCCCCATCCCCTTCCCTGCTTCCCCCCATCCCCTTCCCTGCTTCCCCCCATCCCCTTCCCTGCTTCCCCCCATCCCCTCCCCCCTGCTTCCCCCATCCCATCCCCTTCCCTGCTTCCCCCCATCCCCTTCCCTCCCATCCCCTTCTCCCATCCCATTCCCTTGCTCCCTCTGTTTCCCCTTGCTCACTCTGTCTCGCCCTTCTCACACTCTTCCGCCTCCTCTTTTTCCACCTTGCTCACTATATTCCCCGCTACTCACTCTCTTTCCCCCTGCTCACTATCTTCCCACCAGCTCGCTCTCTTCCCCCCCCATCACTTTGTTTAGGGTTGCTCACTCTGTTTCACCCTTGCTCACTCTGTTTCACCCTTGCTCCCTCTGTTTCACCCTTGCTCCCTCTTCACTCTCTCTCTCTCTCTCTCTCTCTCTCTCTCTCTCTCTCTCTCTCTCTCTCTCTCTCTCTCTCTCTCTCTCTCTCTCTCTCTCTCTCTCTCTGTTTTACCCTTGCTCGCTCTGTTTCACCAGTGCTCCCTCCCCCCCTTCTCTTCTCACTCTCGTCCCCCTTGCTCACTCTCTTCTCTTCTGCTCACTCTGTTTCCCACTGCTTCCTCTCTTCCCCCCGTCTCACCATATCCCCCAATGCAGGGTACATGTGCCAAGCACCAGATGTTGTGGCTTTACCCTGGTATATTGATTGCAGTGTAGCAGACAAAACCGGGAAGCAACATAACATTCCCCCCAGATTTGTTATTATATAAAAATGAGTTATTCCCCTTGTACCGTACAAATAGTACTAGTATAATGGTTGTTGGACCCCTAAGTAGTGGTCATGTGTATGACTGCTTTGAAGCAGATAATGCTGTATCATAAAAAATATCCAATACATGGCATGTCTATATGTCGTTTAGTATCAAACAGCCAACACATCACAACCACATGCAGAGAAGACCTGCGCGAACACAAACCAGGAAGTCAGATGTGACGTGGGTGAAGTAGCAGGGAAGCAAGCATCCGAAAGAATGACAGCTGAGAAATGATGAAGGGAGGAATGTAAAAATGAAGAAAGGAGGATCGGAGGAAGGATGGAAGCGAGGAATGCAATGGGGGAGGGAGGTAGTGATGATGGGGAGAAGGGAGGTAGGGAGGACATGGGGGAGAGAAGCATAAGGGAGGGGAGGAAGAGAGGCTGGGGAGGAAAGTGGGGATGATAAAGGGTGATAAGCAGCAGGAGGGGAAATGAAGGGGAGGAGTGGGGGAAGTGATAAGCAGCAGGGGGGGAAAATGAAGGGGAGCAGTGGGGGAAGTGATAAGCAGCAGGAGGGGTAATGAAGGGGAGGAGTGGGGAAAGTGATAAGGAGCAGGGGGGGGAAATGACGGGGAGCAGTGGGGGGAGTGATAAGCAGCAAGAGGGGAAATGAAGGGGAGGAGTGTGTTAGAATCTAGAGACAAGAATAATGCATTGATCAAGAGTTGGGTACATAAGCTAACCCTAACATTGGGTTGTACCCCATATGGGCTACCCCACTAGCAGCCTACACAAACACAATATGCATAGTTTGACACACCCCCATAGGCAAAGTGGGGGAGAACAAGGGGTCACAAGACCAGTCAAGAGAAACAAAACAAGCTCAGGGTGGATCACAACGTCACCACACACACTGAGCACAAGCAAAGGGCCACAAGGCCTGTCCACATGCAGAGGTATATATGCAACAAACAAAGTACAGTGATCACTACCTAACAAGAGCAAGCATGCAGGTATATATATATATAAAGATCACAGTACAGGCAGAGTCTACAGCAAGTGTGGAAACGTAGGCACAAGGCCCAACAAGGTACAAAAGCGCTGATGATCACCAGACGGAAGTGCCTTGGTGAATATATCAGCAGTGTTGGCTCGAGTGGCCACGTGTGCAAGACGAAGCTGACCACGCTGCTGCAACTCTCGAGCCAAGAAGTAACGCAGAGCGATGTGCTTCGTTCTGTGCTCCAGTCTGTGCTCCTCACACAAGGCAATGGCTGCCTTGTTGTCAACGTACAGAACTGGAGGAGAACGAGGTCGCTCTCCCAGGTCGGTCAGCAGGTACGTGAGCCAGCGCAGCTCCTGAGCAGCCATGGCGGTGGCGTAGATCTCAGCCTCACAACTGGAGCTGAGAACAGAAGACGAGCGAGTAGAACGCCACGAAACAGAGCCAGAGCCGAGGCTGAAAGTGTAACCCTGTGACGACCGCTGTGTAGCCTGGTCGTCAACCCAAGACGCGTCTGAGTGCCCAGTGAGGACCACCTCTCGCCGTCCTCCAAGCACGAGCCCCATGCCCGATGTACTGCACAAGTAGCGCAGTACCCTCTTCGCAGCATCCCAGTGCACCTTTCGGTGCCGACCAGGAGCCACGTAGCGGGCCAAAAGGCCAAGAGGGTACGCAAGGTCAGGACGAGTGCAAGTCATCAAGTACATGAGGCAGCCTACTAGCTCTGGGTAAGGACCACTCGGCTCTACGGACTCGTCCGAAGGTGGAGCTGAGAGCGAGTGACCTGTAGCCAGAGGAGTGGACTGTGCCGAGGACCAGGTGAAGCCGAAGCGCTGAAGGACCTGCTGCACCATGTGTGACTGAGTCAGAGTGATGGTGCGACGTGCTCTGTCCCGGGTGATCTGCAAGCCAAGGTAGCTGCGCAGCTCACCCAGATCTGTGCACGTGTGTCTCTTCTGCAGCTCCGACTTCACCAGGGCGAGAGCCTCAGTGTCAGCAGTGGCAAAGACCAAGTCGTCGACGTACACGAGGATGTAGAACGGCGGCAGCGAAGTGTCGGTGCGCAGAAACAGTGACGGGTCAGCTGTGGAGGGCGCAAACCCGAGAGCCGCAAGCGTAGTCCTCAGTGTGTCGTGCCACTCACGAGGCGCCTGACGGAGACCGTAGACTGGCCGCCGGAGGCTCCACTGGGTACCAGGAGGGAACGACCCAGTGAAGCCAGGTGGGCGGCGCAGCCAGATCTCCTCGTGCAGGCTGCCCTGCAAGAAAGCTGTGCTGAAGTCAAGTGAGTGAAGCTCGTAGTCACGCTGGGCGGCAACGTGCAGCAGTACCCGAAGAGTGGTCATCTTCGGGGTGGGGGAGAAGGTCTGGAAGAAGTCAACCCCCTCTCGCTGACTGAAGCCTCGAGCAACGTAACGTGCCTTGAAGACAGGCGGAGAACCAGGCGGCCGCTTCACCCTGAAAATCCACATGCCACTGACGATGTTCGCCCCAGGAGGGGGAACGTCGTCGACGTAGGTGCCTGTGGACTTCCAGGATGCCATCTCTGCGTCCATGGCTGTCTGCCACTGAGAGGAATAGGGACCCGCGACCGCCTCAGCGTACGAGCGCGGGGTGGGGATGTCTAGTGCATCCGGGTCTCCCTCAGGGGCAAGCAGCATGGTCACGAGATGAGGCGCAGCGGCTGCAAGACACTCAAGGTCCTCGTGCCTGTCCTCAAGGACGTCCGTGCTAAGAGCACACTCACCCCCGACGGACGGAGGACAGACAGACTCAGACTCAGCGACAAGACTAGTAGCGTAGTCTAGACGACAGGCAGCCGCAAAGTCAACAAGCTCAGCAACCAAAGCAGTCGCAGCAGCAGACTCAAACGAGGGGTCAGTGACAACAGTGGCGAGCAGACGCGTGACAGTAGGGTGCTCAGCACGAAACCGGTCAGACTCAGGGTCCGGAACGTGAGGCAAGGAAGACGCAGGAGGAGACGGCAGAGAAACAGACTGCGGAACAGAGGAAGGACGACGGACGACAAGGTGTGCGGTGGGGACAGGCGGCGAACGCGGACACGGAACACGACGACCGGTACGACTAGGACGAACAGGCGAGACAGGACGCGACGCAGGCTCACGACGCTCAGCAAGACTACCCGTCTGCTCAGTGTAAGGAGAAGGAGCAGGCAGCGGAGAGCCAGGCTGTAACGGAAGACCAGTAGACGACGGGAGAGTAAGAACCTGACGAAGAACAGAGTCAGGCAGCGGCAGAGACGACGGAGACGGCGGAGCGAAGAACAGTCGTGGCGGCGCAGCTGCACCAGTACCGGCAGCTCCAGCAGCTCCTGCAGCAGAACCGACACCTCCAGGCCCAGGGTCTCCAACCCCAGTGCCTCCAGCAGCAGCACCCCCAGAACCAGTACCTCCAGTCCCAGGGTCTCCAGCCTCCACGTCTCCAGCAGCAGCACCCCCAGAACCAGCACCACCAGTCCCAGGGTCTCCAGCCTCCACGTCTCCAGCAGCAGCACCCCCAGAACCAGCACCTCCAGTCCCAGGGTCTCCAGCCTCGGTGTCTCCAGCAGCAGCACCTCCAGACGCAGCACCCTCAGCCCCAGCAGCTCCAGTACCTCCAGTACGAGCAGCTCCGGGACCAGCGACTCCAGCACCTCCAGTAGAAACAGTACCAGCACCACTCCTAGCTCCAGGGACGGCAGCAGAAGTACCTCCAGCAGTAGAGCCCCGGGCTCCAGCAGCGCGACCCTGACGGTGACCGTACCAGTCGTGCAGCTGCTGCGAGGTGAGAGGCACACGTGGACGAAGGCGGCTACTCCAAGGAGACCGCGCAACAGCAGACTCTGAACCCTCAGCGCCAGCACCCTCAGCAGCTCCAGCGCCACCAGCACCAGGACCTCCAGCAGCTCCAGAACCTCCAGCGCTAGCACCCTCAGCAGCCCCAGAACCACCAGCTCCAGCACCTCCAGACCCCTCACACGCAGGCTCAGCACCTCCAGGCTCGACACCCTCAAGCTCCGCACCCCCAGGCTCCTCACCCCCAGGCTCAGCACCCCCAGACTCAGCACCCCCAGAAGTAGCACCCCGAGCAGGACCACCCCCAGCAGGACCTGAGTCACCAGTGACCTCAACCAGCGCAGGGAAGGGAGGAGGGTCTACCTGAGACACACCTGAGGGAGCAGGACCTGGAGCGGGGAGAGGGTCGACCTGGGGAGCACCTGGAGCGAGGAAGAGCGGCGGGGGAGGGAGAGGGGCAGTGCGGTAGGGGAAGAGACGGTAAAAGGGAACCGACTCATCGAACGTGACGTCCTGAGACGCAAAGACACGGCGCGAGGTGGGGTGGTAAAACTGCCAACCAGGCGCGTCAGGGACAAAGCCAAGGAAGACACAGGGAACTGCACGGGCGGAGAGCTTGTCCGCGGTGGTATCGCGGACAAAGGCACGAGCACCCCAGACCCGGAAACACGACGCATCGCCAACCTTCCCCGTCCACAGCAGTGTGGGCGAGGTCTCCGGCAAGGAGACACGGGGCCAGAGGTTGAGCTGATGCGTGGCGTACCGGACCGCAAACGGCCACAGAAAATGGGGGGCAGCCACATGGATCATGGAGGTACGAGCGACCTCCATGACTAAGCCAATGCGGCGCTCAGCAACCCCATTCTGCTGCGGAGAGTCCGGAAGCGTGAACGACTGGGTGATGCCGTGCTCCGCACAGAAGGCCGCCAAGAGGTCGGAGGAGAACTCACCACCTCTGTCAGAGTGCAGACGCAGGACGGGAAACTCCGTCCCGAACCGCTCGCGGAGCTGGAGACGGGCAGCGCGGATCCAAGGGATCAAAACAGCAGGGACCTCCCCCTTGCTGCGCAGGGGAAAGACCGTGGTGTAACGCGTGTAGTCGTCAACAACCAGCAGGAAGTACCGCTCGTGGCCCTGTCCACGGACGCGGGCTGGGCCCCACACGTCCAGGTGGAGAGTCTGCAGGGGAGCCTCTGTGGGAGGGAACGAGGAGGAGTGAGGAGCGGCGCGCTGCCGCCCCTCGACGCAAGGAATGCAGGGCGGCGCAAGCGAGGGAGGCAGGGCAGGCAAAGACCTGGGCAGACCAGAAACCAGGAAGCGAGAGTGCATGCCACGAAGGCGCTGCACCGAGGGGTGACCAAGGCGGTGGTGCCACAGGAGGGTCTGGTGCGACAAAGCGCGACACTCGCAGGGGGCCGTCGGCTGACCGGACGCAGACGCAGACGCAGACGCAGACGCAGCTACCTGAGCGGACGCAGTGGTCAGGGTGTACAGACTCGAGCCAGGCGCACGGGAAAACGTGGCCAGGTGTCGGCCGGTCCGAGCACACGTGCAGTGAGTCACCCGCTGACTCGCAGGAGTGAACTGGTGCACCCCCTGATCCTGGAGGTCAGCTCCACTCACCAAGTTCGTAGAGAACGAGGGGAGGTAAAGACCTGACAGCAAGCCAGACGGGGCGGCCGGACACGGCAGAACCGTGGAGTAGTGGGCAAGGACTGGACCCCCAGAGGGGTCCGCCAGGGAGACTGCAACCGGCCGACTAAGCGGCGTGAGTGTGGTGCAGTCGCGAAAGAAGGAGCGGGAAGCACCTGAGTCAAGCGTGAAGGTGTACAAGGCCGCAGCAGGCGCAGAACTAGAGAGAGCAGACCCACCAGCACCTGGAGCAGGAGACGTACCGGCACCTAGAGCAGCAGCCTCACCAGCACCCAGAGGAGGAGACGCACGAGCACCTAGGGCAGCAGCCTCACCAGTACCGGGAGCAGCAGGTGCTATACCAGGGTCAGGCGGGACGCACAGGTAACAGGCACGGTCAACACTAGTAGGCAATGCATACATGGCAGTGAGAATAGCATCATAGTCAGGAGCAAAGATATCTACCCTCTGTCCAAGCAGCTCCAGCCAGTCGGGGAGCTCAGCCTCGTCGCCAAACACTGTACGCCAGTCGTCGCTCAGACGGGCGAAGCAGCGGGACTGTGTGTGACCAAGCGTCCCGCAAGGCTGACCAACCCGAGCACCTGTGCGAATGACGTACTGGCAGCGAACTGTACGCGTAGACCTGCTAAACTGAGCGTACCACTCGTGGAGCTCACGGGACGTAAGTGTCTCGCGAGGACGCCGCTGCAGCTGCAGCTGGCCACTGCTAGAGGCCCCCAACTGACCAGCTCCAGGGCGACAGCTACGACGGCTACCGCGACAGCCCCAACTAGTATACCACTCACTAAGCTGCTGGGGCATGAGAGACTCGCGTGAGCGTCGCTGGAGCTGCATCTGGTCCCTTGCTAATAGCTAGTAGCAGCAGCAGCTCGGGCAGGGCAGGCGCGGCAGGCCGGCAGACAGGCAGGCAGGCTGACAGGCAGGCAGGCAGGCAGGCAGGCCAGCAGGCAGGCAGGCAAGCCGACAGGCAGACAGGCCGGCAGGCAGGCAGGCAGGCTGGCAGGCAGGCAGGCAGGCAGGCAGGCCAGCAGGCAGGCAGGCAGGCAGGCCGACAGGCAGACAGGCCGGCAGGCAGGCAGGCAGGCAGGCAGGCTGGCAGGCAGGCAGGCAGGCAGGCAGGCCAGCAGGCAGGCAGGCAGGCAGGCAGGCAGGCAGTCAGGCAGGCAGGCAGGCAGGCAGGAGGGGAGGGGGAGCAGTTGTAATAAGGGATAAGCAGCAGGAGGGGACATGAAGGGGAGCAGTGGGAGTAGTGATAAGCAGCAGGGGGGGGAAATGAGGGCGAGAAGGGGTAATAGGAAGTGGATGCGCTAAGTGGGAAGGCGCGCAGCGGGTGCGGTGCTAAGCGGGAGAGGGTGTCGGCGACACGCGGGAACGGCGCGCAGGTGGCGAGGCGCTACGCGGGACCGGCGCGCAGCGGGTGATTTGTTGCGCGGGAGGGGCGCGCAGCGGGTGCGGAGCTAAGCGGGAGAGGCGCGCAGCGGGTGCGGAGCTAAGCGGGGGAGGCGCGCAGCGGGTCAGGCGCTAAGCGGGGGAGGCGCGCAGCGAGTGATACTCTGCGCGGCATGGCGCGCAGAGGGCGAGGCGCTAAGCCTCGCGAGGCTCCATAGCGGGAAACCAGCGCAGTGGGTGAGGCGCTAAGTGGGAAATGCCTACCGAGCGGGTGTAGAGAGTGGCGGCGTGGCGAACGGCGAATGGAATCACCAGATTCGCTCGTCGACCCCTAATTATCAATCCCTGGGTGGAGATGCATCCCGTCGAGGCGCCCTTGACAGGGCTTAGAAAAGCCAGACGAAATTGCTGAACACGACGCGCTCGATGAATGCAGGGCCTTTCCGTCTTCGAGTCGGATTGATGCACGGCGCTACGGTGGAAGTAGCTGGCGGGCAAGTTAGATGGTCCTTTTCCGACCGTACAAGCCTATAATGTACCTAAACTCATCTCACCCGTTCCGTAACTGGGCGGTTTTGATGCTCCGCATATTATGTTGCTGCGCCCCGGTTCCTCTATCTGTGCGCAGCCTACGTTATTAGACGCTTAGCATGCTTCGGAATAGAAGCGTGAGTGGAATTGGTTTTGGGTGACGGGATTTTACCGTGGTAGGAACTCCTCAGGGGTGCAATTTTTCGCCAAGCCTCTCGCCAACCTCCGTTGTTTCGTTCTGGCGAATTGAACCCTGGCAACTGTACAACCCTAAACAGTAGTTGCAAATGTATACAAAAGCTTTAATGCGATGTTTTATTCCAATGGAGTAATCTTACTGAGCAAATTTGTGGAGGGGGACTGGAAAGGCCAGAGAGGCAGGAGGGGATGTTGGGGCTCTGGAGCATCACCACACCTATGCCTGTGCTGGTAGTCAAAGCTGCTGTAAACATTCTCAGGGAATCTAAACATACCACACACATACAGCGGTGTGGATGTCACGACCTGCACCCAGTGCGTAAGACATTAGCTGCACATTGTCTATCGTGCGCAACATAATGCGTGCAATCTCAGCAAGATCAGCAGTGGAAAAATCATTATCAATGGTCATTGCTCTTTAATCTTTAGAGGTGATTTACAGTGGCGAAATTGTAAAACTGTAGGGGGGTCCTGCACGTCCGCGCGACGATAAGGTTACCCGTCTTACACTCAAGATGAAAGCGCAGCGACAATGTATGCATATGCACGAAAGTTTGATAGGCGAGCTTGCGCCCCGCATAGACCGAAATGCCTGCCTAGTGTGAGAACAGACCTTGTGCTGCAACTGTCCTTGTACTGTAATCACCATGGGGCGAGGCTTGTTCCTGCTCAAATAAGGCAGTTTCTTCTGCCTCTCTTCACAAACCCTCAATGGAGAAGCTTCCTTGAAGGTTGATGGAGAGTATAAGCTTGACCCTGGCCTTGTTTAGCGTGTGAGCATAAGATGACATGCCACCAGCTGGCATTAGGAGCCCGTTTTTATTTATTGCTTTCTGTTGCAGCACGAACCAGGAGGAAGTCCACCATTTCTTCAGTTCCCCACTCTGCAAGCACAAACAGAAAGCAACAGCATGAATGAGAGGAGGACCACAACCCATGTTGTGAAAGATTACGTGATGGAAGGGACAGATCCAGCATATAAATGCATCCAGGTTCTTCTATATTTACTTGCACCTGATTTGCAATCAGTGCATACTTCAACACAAACCTCTTTCCAACATTTCACCCATGGAACCATTGCATCTTGCTTTTGAATCACATCAACACAACCTTCAAGTCCAGAATCAGAGCAACTTCCACTTCCAGCAAGCAAAACGTCCCCATATCACAACCGACACATCCAAACCCAAACTCAGCATTACATTTCGAATCAACCCATTCTGTGCCTCATCCATCGACCATTCATTGACCATTCGATCATTGTCATTAGCACGTAAGCATAGTAGGAATATTCCGCGAAATTATACAACACTCCATACTCACCTTGCTTCTCCAGGGAATCTTGATGCCACTTTATTGCCACCTCAATGCCACCTCAATTCAATGCCACCTCACTGCCTCTTCAATGCCACCTCAATGCCACCTCAATGCCATTCCCACGCTATTCCAGTGACACCTCTCTTGCGCACCTTGAGCACACTCGAGAGCGTTTTTCTTGTCATCGCTGGTGGCATACAGGTTACCTCAAACACTAGCATCAGCGTCAAGGCCACCCCAATGCCACCTCAATGCAACCCCAGTGCAACCCAATACCACCTTGCGTGCGCACCTTGAGCATACTCGAGGGCATTCCCCTTGTCATCGCTGGTGGCGTACAGGTCAGCCCCAGCGTCCAATAGCATGCGAGCAACATCCAAGTTGCCCTTCAGGCATGCAAACTGAAGAGAGGGAAGGGCAGAAGAAAAACTTGATCTCAGTAGACTCAAAAAGAATACAACCAACGTGTAAGTTTCCCTTCAAATATGAGAACTGCGAGAGGGAAGGGCAGAAGCGATATCGCAATGGGCGTTGGGTGGGTGGGTGGTTGATTTCTAGGCGCAGTACAGACAGCTTTTTTTGAGCATTTTAAAAAGCGACTCAGAATTGGTGTTTGCTGATTCTTCGGCACATTACAGATAGCTGGAACCTGGAGGAGAGGAGAGGGGAGGGAGGGCATGACCAACGAGGGGTCCTTGTTATGGCAAGGTAGATCAAGGAAGAAAGGACAGCAATTGCACTATAGAACAAAACCGCAGGGAGCAAGAAGGCTGATAGCTTCAGTTCAGGAATGCCAATTTGACACAATAAATGTCATGAATTGTTCTCTCAGACCCCAGGATTATCTATCTGCGGGTCTCCCAAACCTGCAGCGGAGTATTTCCGGTGTTATTCCGAGCCTCAGTGTCAGCTCCGGCAGCCAGAAGCACCTGGACGACCTCGGGATGCTCGTAGAAAGCTGCCAGGTGCAACGCTGTAGATGGGCAGGGGGTGGGGAGAGGGGGGAAACCGGGGGTTGGGGTTTGAGTCAACTCAAAAGTAGCCAGAAGCACCTGGACGACCTCTGGGTGCTCGTAGAAAGCCGCCAGGTGCAACGCTGCAGGGGAGGGGGAGAGGGGGGAGCGGGGGGGGGAGGGAGGGGAGGTTTGAGTCAACTCAAAAGTAGCCAGAAGCACCTGGACGACCTCTGGTTGCTCATAGAAAGCCGCCAGGTGCAGCGCTGCAGTTTGGTGGGGGAGGCGTAAATTGCCATGGAAGATCACATGATCAACACAGAATGATTCGCCATAAAAGGATGATATATAATGGAAGTTTTTGTGTGACTGATAGTAAAACGTGCTCGATTGTCGAATGATCAGGCGCCAGACAGCTTGTCCATGCAATGCACTCCCATACCTGTTGAAGCTCATGCTTTGTAATGATTACAAACCTGTACTCTCAGCTCAGCGTGTTCCCTGGTGTTACCAGCTGTACTCTCGTGTTACCAGCCTGCACTCGCGTCCTTGCTGGCCTGTACTCGCGTGTTACCAGCAGCCTGTACTCAAATGTTACTAGCATGTACGCAACTGTTGCTATCCTGTACAAATAAATAGCATTATCTTCGATTCCTAGGGTTACCTGTCCAGCCGGATCGTTCGGGGCTAGGAAGATTAATGTCGACACCTCCGCCTGCCAGAAGCTGCTTCACCGCAGCCACGTCACCCTCCTTAGCCGCGTCTTTAATCGCCTCGTTCACGTCCCCGACAGAAGCAGACGCGATAATAAAAGTACCTGCTTTCGCCGCGGCTACTCTGCGTCCGTACGGCGAGCCTGCTAGTCGCTGCGATCGCAGGGAGCGAGAAACACACGTGCACGAACGACCAGAGAACGTCGTCGAGTGTGTGAAAGAAGATGCGTGGTGAGGAGATGGAAAATGTTGCTGGCTGCTTGTGGCTCGCGATTGGCACGCGGCGACGCGAATCACGAAAGTTGCTTGCGTGGACGAGAGGGCGACCAGAGAAACAGCAGGAGCCGCCATTGTGCTATTGATTCTGTAGAAAAGGAGGGTGAAAATGAAATGCATCAACCCGATCAAGCTGCATGTAATTTGTTGAGTATTACCCCGTTTATAACAGACCACTTGATTGTTCACAAGCCTTTGTTGCAATGCAGGAAGGCGTTATACGACATTACATATGCAACAGAAGTTCCCTGGTGTTCGCCCGCTCATTTCACACGTGCGGAACTGCTCTCTCAAAATGGTCGAGACTGGATCCATACCACAAAAACTGTCCACAGGAAACCAAATTCAATGTTTTATCATATTAGTTTTATGTGCGGTTTTTATGGCATTGGACGTTGGGTAGAATAGTTATAGAAGCTTTCCGGGCAGAGCCCTGCCCGGTTCCAGCCACATTCTTCGTGGAAACCGACTTTCTGGTAACGGACCTGTACGGTTTCATGCCGCCCCTCAAGTCTCGCCGGGCTCTTGGGTTTGTCCGACGCGGTGATGATGATGTGCAAGGTTGATGACCGGAAAGTCGTTCTGTACCGCTCGAGATTCCTCTGAAAGCACATCGGACCGATTAAACTTGAACACGTTTCGTATGTTGTACGTTGCAACCGCATTCCATCCAACCCGCAGCCCCGATTCATTCCTCGCTGCCTTGGAAACAGGGCCTAAGTTATCAGGGCAATTACCCTGTTTTGACTGAAATTATAGGGTGTTTTTTCTAGGAGCCCTGATTTTCACAAGGTTTTTTTCGGACCAGCACGTAAAACTGAAGGGTGATTTTTGAGTCAGCTCGGATCTCTCCGGGGAGTTCTCAAGGGGACCCGTATAATTTTAGCAGACATGTTCTCCCCGACCTGCCTTGCATTCCTCTCGGTCTCCCTCTAAACACACGTTGGGCCAATTTTAGTGAATTTCCTAACCACTCTCTCCTTGTTGGCCTCCATGTGTCTGATTGCCCCGTTCTACGTCGACATGGCTTAGAAGGAGAGAGTGTCTGATTGCCCTGTTCTCCCGATGTACTCTTCCTCATCGTATTTTTTTCTAAGTCTACAAAAAGTATCTCGCTCACCCCTCCAGAGCCACTCCATCTCCAATCTCCCCAGCCCTCGCGCAACCCACTGTGAGTTTCCCGCGAAATTCTGGTAATGCATGTTTTCAGGCCTTTTCTGGCTCGAACCCGGATTCGTCAAGGTTTTTTTCCCGCTGGCTCGGATTTTACAGGGTCTTTTTCACAGGGGCCCGGATCGTCCGAGCTAGCAAAAATCCTAGCAATAGCCCTGCTTGGAAACTCCGTACAGCAGGGTTGCTGGGTGAGCGCGAGGTGATGGTGGAGCTTCTTTGGTTTGTCCTGGTCGCCTTGCCTTCGGAGCAACACAGCAGGACATCGGACTAGCCACATATGAATATATTTGGAGGGCTTGGATCATTCCTCAGGTAGAGGTTGATAAGAAAGGGCTGATGGAAATGCCATCCAAGGCCGTGCGACAATCACGAACGATGCGATCCTAGATATTGTCGATGCGAATGGAGAGGAATTAAATATCCTCCCTGTGATCCTACTAGTTATGGACGAATTATGGGTGGAGTCGCCACGCGCGGATAACGACAACCCTAACAACCCCGATTTCCATTCCGCTCCACTATACCTACAGAACAATGACCAATCCTCCCAACAGCACCAACAAAACCATGGCGGAGCATTTACTAGCGGGGACGACGGGTACGATGACTCGCTTCAGTCTCCCACAATGCCCGCTGGATGCGCCGTTAATTTCCTTAGATCATCCAATCAAAGTCGTCAGCGCTCTGGCAGCGTGCGGCAGCGCGTGTGGAACAAGGTCCAACGCGCCACGTCACTTTCCGCCATGGATTTTCAGACCTTCGTTCGCTCGCTCTCGCAGGACCCGAAACCCGCGCATTCATTCAAGCCGTCCGGCGGCGGGGAAGGCGGAGAGGCGCGCGGAGGCGCGCAGCAGGTGCGCGGCGGAGAGGCTGCTGGCGCAGCAGCACAGACGGCGCAAGATTCGTTCTTTACCAGGCTGGAAGTCCCTGCGGATAGAGACTTCTCCGCGGCGGCAAGCCCCGTAGCTCCCGCCGATGCTTCCCACGCGGGGCTCTCGCGCGGGAGCGCCGGTAGCCGTTCCGCGGGTGTCGGATCACACTGGGGTCTGGCGCGGTCCGCGTCAGACGCGCTCCATCAGATGTTCGGGGCCTCCGCGGGTGCTGCAGGGGGAAGCGCTGCGGGTGGCGGGGGGTTAAACGCTGCGGACGGCGGGAGGGAATCAGGGGAAGGCAGTGGGGGAAGTCAGCGGGGAGCAGCGGGGAGGAACCACGGGGCTGGCGGAAAGGGGAGCGGAGGTTCCGCTGGGAGAAGCGCAAGTTGTGGGGGAAGTGTTTTTCTACCACTGAACCACACTCCCAACCAGACTCCAAACCGAAATCTCCAGGGACCGTCATATTCGCGCCAGCGGAGCTTTTCCGCCAGTGGCGCAGCTTTTTCCGCCATATCTTCCGCCAGCCCTTCCGCCAGCCCCTACGCTAGCCCTTACGCGGGTCCTTACTCTGGTCCTGCAGCTGCCGCGGCCGCCTCTACCTCCTCTCCCTCCCCCTACGGCGGAGGGCTTGGGGGTTCAGGCGGAGGGCTGGGCCCTTCAGGCGGAAAGGGCGCAAGTTCTGCGGGGGCGAAGGCAGGGCCTCCGTTGCCTTTATCGAGGTCCGCTATAGCGAGGTTTAGGCTTCCGCGGATGGCGTCAGAGAGCGGGCGGAGGCACAGGGCGTGGCAGGCAGACCTGGAAGAGGACGATGGGGAGCCGCTGGAGGCGGAGGTGGTACCTGATCCGGTGGGATCCAATTTGGCGGGATCTGGGGCAGGTGTATCTGGGACTGATGGGTTGAATTACTGTGGGGGGGATTCTGGTGGAGGGAGTTTTGATGTGGGGAGTTTCGGAGCAGGGGGTAGATACGGTGCGGGGCAGAGGGGTGGGGGAGGGAGGTCAGGGTCAGAAGGAGGCGCGGATGGTTTCAAGAGTCAGTCAAACCGGTCAATGCAGTCAATGCGGTTCGGATCCTGGTCAGAGAGGCCAAGGGCGTATTCTCTGAGTCAGACGAGCATGGATGGATACCTAAGGGTAACCGGCACCAGTAGCCCTGCTCTTTCCACTGCCACTGCCGCTGCTGCTGCTGCTGCTGCTGCTGGCATGTCTTTAGGGGGTGGTGCTGCTGCTTGTGCTGCTGCGGGCGGCTTTCGGGAGCTTACCAATGGAGCCCTTCACGCATCTGGGGCTGAACAGGCGGGCGCAGAAGTCAATGGGGCCACAGCAAATACTCAGCAGGCGCAGCTACAGCAGCAGCCGCAGCAGCAGCAGCAGCCACAGCAGCAGCAGCAGCAGCAGCACAGGCACAGGCCCTCTGCAGTGCAACAAGCTCAGACGCTCAGGTTCTCGTGATTGATCTGGGAAAGGAGTGGCAGCAGCAGCAGCAGCAGCAACAACAGCACAAGCGCACAGCAAAGCACAGGTGCTCAGCCGCAGGCGCTGGCAGGCAGATCTCAGCCGTCCATGCAGCAGGAAGCCGGCGCATCTCAGCCGTCCGTGCAGCAGGCTGCCGGCGGATCTCGGCCGTCCACGGGCACAGGCTCGCGGGCGTCTGCCGTGGCGTATGTGAGCAAGTTTGAGGAGTACAGGCGACGACTGGCAGAGCAGCAGCAGCAGCTACAGCAGCAGCATGGGGTGGGGGTGGGGCCAGGGCAGGTGGGAAGACACCGAGGTGGTGGTGGTAGGGGAGTGCCCAGAAGTGCTTCTCATGACCCTTTTACGGATAGGTCATGGCAAGGGCGAGGAGACGAGAGCTCAGCCGCTGCTGGTGCTGGTACGGATCGCGCTGGTGCTAGTGTGGTTCTTACTGGTGCTGGCACAGGCTTTACAGGAAATGGCTTTGACGATGCTGGCCTTGGTGTGTCCCGTGCGGTTGCTGGGGGCGGTGGGAGTTGCAGGGTTGACGGGGGTGGTGGGGATATTGGGAATGGCGAAGGGAGTATGGGTGAGCGGCAGGGGTATGGCACTTACAGGGGCTCGCCTGCAGCAGCAAGGGGAGGAGCAGCAGCAGGAGGGGGACGAGCGGGCGGCAGGGTGGGTGGCAGGGCGGGTAGCAGGGCGGGCGGCAGGAGGGGCGGCAGGGCGGGCGGGGCGTTTATGATGAGATCGGCATCGCTCGGCAACGCTGGGGATTTTATGGGGCAGCTGGAGGGTGATGACGTGGACGCTGACGTGGATGGAGAACTAGCTGACTCAGATGGGGGCTTAGCTGGGGGTGTGGAGGCTGGGGTAGGTGAGAGGAGTACGGGCAGCACAGGGAGTGATACCACAGGTTCTGTAGGGCCTACGGGTGCTGGTTCTTCTGCGTTAGCAGCCGGGGTAAGCAGTGATCGGATGGGCGGCCGAGGTAGGGGTAGGGGTCGGGGTAGCGGTGCTGCTTCTGCTGCTGCTGCTGGTCGAGCCTCAGGCTCTCCGTCTGCCACTCTCTCACTCCGGAACTATGAGAAGTTCCGACCCTCATCAGCAGCAGCAGCAGGAGGAGCAGCAGCTGAACCATCCTCCTCTTCAGTGCAGTTTCTCTCAGGATCAGGAGAGGATGGGGAGGAGGAGGAAGATGAGGGTTTGGCGCCTGTAGCTACAACTGCCAACGCCCCAGGTGGCTCTAGACGAGCTGGTTATGGGAGTAGCAGCGGTCGTGGTGGTGGTGGTGGCCCTGGGCGTGGACGGGGTAACCCTAACTCTACCCTGGGTAACCCTAACTCTACCCTGGGTAACCGCCGACTGCTGCGGCGGCACACTGACGACCCAACACAGCTGAACCGCGTCCAGACGCCCGATGTCCTCTCGTCCTTTCCTGCTGTGCCATCCCGCCTTGGCCCGGGAAACCTTCACCGTACCTCGTCTTCAGCTTGCCAACGCCCTTCCTCCGCCGCCCAGCGACCTTCAGCTGCCGCCCAGCAGTCTTCTTCTGCCGCCCAGCAGTCTTCTTCTGCCGCCCAGCGGCCCTCCTCTGCCGCCCAGCGGCCCTCCTCTGCCGCCCAGCGGTCCTCCTCTGCCGCCCAGCGGCCCTCCTCTGCCGCCCAGCGGTCCTCTCTGTCGTCTTCTGGCCGGCAACAGCAGTTTAGAGACCAAGGACCGATGCAACAGCAGGGGGAAATGCAGGGGCAGGCACAGGGGCAGATGGTTGAGCAGATGCATTATCAAGGGCAGATGCAGCTACAAGGGCAGGGGATGGGGCAGGAACAGGATCATTTGCAGCAGCATGGGCAGATGCAAAAGCAGGGGCAGGTGCAGCAGCAACAGGGGCAGATGCAGCAACAGCAGGGGCAGATTCAGCAGCAGGGGCTGATGTGGCAGCCGCAGGGGCAGGTGCAGCAGCCACAGCAGCAGCAGCAGCAGCAGCAGGGGCAGCAGCAGCGACAGGGGAAAATGCAGCAGCAGCAGGTTCAGATGCAGCAACAGGGGCAGATGCAGCAGCAGCACGGGCAGGTGCAGCAGCAGCAGCAGGCACAGATGCAGCAGCAACAGGGGCAAGCAAGAGGGCAACGGCTCAACCCTTCCTCTCCACATGCCTCCAGCTCTCTCGTTCAACAACAGCCAGACCCTTCCTCTCCTTCCGAAAGTATCAATCAGAGACAAGAAGAGCAGCTTTCGCGGCCCTCCACCTCGTCCTCTGCCTCTCCCTCTTCCCCAATTCACCCGGGGCTGGTTGCGCCACCCTCTCGCCGGGCCCTCTCAGGGCCTCTGCAGGCTCCTTCTGCTGCCCGCCGCGCTGCCTCTACCCTCCCTGCTCATCCGATGCAAGAGGAGCACGTTCCCCGGCCCTCCTCCCCCTTCTCTCCCTCCTCTCCCTCCTCCTCGTCCTCCTCCCCGCTTCGGCCGGGTCTAGATGCGCCTCCCAAGCGCCGCGCCTTCTCCGGCCCTCTGCAGGCCCCTCGTGCTCGTCGCGCTGCTGCTTCCACCCTCCCTTCTGCGAATGCTCTCGCTGCTAACTCCAGCAGCTTTGGAAGCAGCAGCAGCACTGGCAGCATCAGTAACAGCAGCAGCAGCAACACTAGCAGTAGCAGCAGCAGCTACAACAGTAGCACTATCGGCACGGGCAGCAGCAACTCTAGCAGCAGCAGCAGCAGTTACAGGGCACAGAGGCCGGGCCCAGTGGCATGCCCGCCTCGTGCGTCTCCTAATCACCTCTTCAACCAGTACAGCCCCAAAAGCGAGGTTCTAAGCCCTCACAGCCAGGCTTTAAGCCCTCACAACCACACTGCAATCTGCTCCCCCTCTGCCAGGAGCCCTCGTGCCGGCCTTCCCCCTCCTCCTACCCCTCCCTTGCGCTCTCCGTCTGCTCGTTCTCCTCTTTCTCCTCTCTCGTCTCACCTTGCTTGCGAGAAGTTGGCCACACAGCGCCAAGAGCAGAGGCCCCCACTGTCGCCACTGTCACCACAGCCGCAGCAGCAGCAGCAGCCGCAGCCACAGCAGCAGCAGGGGCAGCAGCAGGGGCAGCAGCAGCAGCAGGGGCAGCAGCAGGAGCAGCAGCAGCAGCAGTGGCAGCAGCAGGGGCAGGGGCAGCAGTGGCAGCAGCCTACCTCACCTCACAACATGGCCATACAGCATGCTTCCCGCTCCAGCTCTGTTCAAGCATTGGTGCAGCATGCACCTGCTAGCCCTTCCCAGGGCGTGTATGGGCGGTCTTTTGAAATGCAGCAAGTGCCTACCCAAGCTCCCCTGCACTCTTTCCACTCTCAGCACACGACACTCACCCACTCCCCCCATTCGCCCCTTCATTCTCCCCGTGCGCCCATGCACCCCCCACACGCGCCTATGCAGTCCCCTCATTCGCCCATGCCCTCCCCACGTGCTGCCCCACTCTCCCCCCATGCGCCCATGCACTCCCCCCATGCGCCCATGCACTCCCCACATGCTGCCCCTCACTCCCCACATGCTGCCCCTCACTCCCCCCATGCGCCCATGCACTCCCCCCATGCGCCCATGCACTCCCCACATGCTGCCCCTCACTCTCCCCACGCTCCTATGAACTCCCCCCATGCGCCCATGCACTCCCCTCATGCTGCCCCACTCTCCCCCCACCCTCCTTCGCACTCCCCCCACAGTCTCACCCATGCCCCCCATTCCCCTCTACGATCCCCCACACAGGGACTGCATGCCCCCCATTCCCCCCTTCACTCTCCCCATGCGCACTCCCCTTCCCACCCCATAGTCTCCCCCCACTCCCCCATGCGCTCTCCCCACTCTGACCCTCCATATAACCAGCAACCGCCTCTCTCCCCCACATTCGTTTCCCCTAATTCCTTCAATCCAAAGGCTTGGGAAGTCCCCGAGGCTGGCCAGCCAGTTTGGAATCTTGGTGCGGCAGAGGAGAGCACACCCACACCTGCATTGAGCAGTGGAAGCGAGAGTGTTGTGACTGTATTGGACTGTGACAGTGGCGACATGTTCTCATTTGAGCAGGAGAGGCAGGAGGTGCCTGGTGGGGGGGTGAGCGTGCGTGCACGGGAGGTGATGCGGGTCCATGCTGAGGAAGAGGAGAGCGATGGGGATCAACAGTGGCTGCAGCGGCAAAAGCAGCAGCAACAGCAGCTGCAGCAGCAACTTCAACTGCAACAGCAACAACAACTGCAACAACAACAACAAGAACAGAGACAGCAATTGCAATGGAATCAGCAACTGCAACAGCAACAGCAGCTGCAGCAGCAACAGCAGATCCAGCAGCAGAAACATCAAGAGCAGCTGCAGCAGTTTTCCCTCTTTACCTCCTCCACAGAGCCATTCCTTCCCACCTCTAACGCACTGTTCTATCCACCTTCTAACCAAACCCCCCAAACCTTCCAAACCCCCCAAAGCCAGTCACAGAACCTACACCCTGAAACCACCACACATCTCTCCCCTCCTCCTTCCTACGGCCCCACAAACCCCTCCCTTCCCTCCCATACCTCACACAACCGCTTTGCAAACCCACACAGTGGCGCGCACACCTCTGACCCCACCGCATCTCCTCAGGACTCGTTGCCTCGCATGCACACCAACCCTCTGCACTACAGACGGCCCTACAACACCCATCTGCCCCGCCGCCCACCCCGCCCCGTCCCTCCTCAGTCTAGAAACGCACTGGCTGGTGGTGGAGGGGGGTTTGCCTCAGCCAGACTTGGGAGTGGTAGCGCCCAGGCGGGTGCTTTGGTCGGTCGCAGCACTTTCACTGTTGACTTCTGATGATGTTTGATGGCTTACGCTGATTTTGTGTCAACACACCCGTTATTTATTACACGAACAGATCCCAGCAGCCCCTCCCAAGGACTTGCTGCCTCGCATGCGCACCAACCCTCTGCACTGCATACAGACGGCCGTACAACTTCCACCTGCCTGCCACCACCCCTCGCCCCGTCCCACATCAGTCTAGAAGCGCGCTGCTGGCTGCAGCACTTCTGGGGGTGGTGGTGGTTACTGCAGCCGGATGATTGTAACATTTTCATTGTTGACTTTGACTTGGCTTGGAAAGGTTCCCTACTTAAACTCCGGGTAAAATTGCCACGCAAATGGCCTGAGTGTTGTTGCTGTGATGTTTCACTTCAAAGGTCTATCGGCTGTTAATTTATTATTCTGCTGTTGTTGCTGTGATGTTTCACTTAGAAGGTCTATCGGTTGTTAATTTATTATTCTGCTGCTGATTCTTCTTATGACCGCAACAATGGTAAACGACATTTCTAAACGTCAAAACCACTGTAGATGGATTGTGCAATTTTGGAAAGAACGGGTCGGCCTGTTTCGGCAATCCCGAGACCAAAAGTACCCGTTTGCTGACGTCATTCATTGTGACAGTCACAGCGCAAATTCTAGTCTAGCGTCTGACAAACATTTGGAAGAAGAGTAGACGCGTACTGTACTTCATCATCGAGTGCAGCGAGGTCTTCGCGAGCTTACGACGAGCCGCCTTGTTCGGGGCTCTATGAAGAAAATTTCGATCCAGTGTCAATTTCACGCAGGCGAATCAAGGAGAATTCGGATGGCTCGAGGCGACGTTCGTTTCGAGGAGACTCGCTGTCGCCCGTCCTTTCCGTCCTTACGTAGACGGTCTCAGTCGGAAATGGACGACCACGATCTTCTCGGGTTCTCAGTGTCTCGTTTCGAGACGTTCAGTTGATCTGGTTTCTTGCGACAGCTGGAAGAAAACAACGTTCGAGGCCGCCTCACGCGGTGTGCTGCTCTAGCACGCAATGCACGCAATGGCATTGGCAAACGAGAAGGCACTACCAGGCTGGATTACGGTGGCTTACGGGTTGATAAATCATTAAATTGTCGGGAACATCACTGCATCCAGAGGAATGTCCTAATCTCGCTTGGACAGGAACGGAGAGAGATCCTTTCGAGATTACCGCTTTACGCCTCATTAAGTGGTGCAAAAAAAGGCTGGATTCACGGTCCTGGAATAAGAGGTTCCGTCACGGCCTCGGGGTCGAGTCGCTTCGGCATAGACCATAGTGCTCTGTAACGCCGAGAGCAGCCCGATACGCCTTGTGCATCAGCGGCATTGTACAAAGTCTCCTGATTCGCAGAGAGCAGCTCGATACACCTTCTGCATAGTGGGCTATGACTGCCGCTGGCGTCTCAAGTGTTTACGGAGTAGCAGCAGGCACCACAAAGGTGTGCTTGCTTGATAATCGCGAGGCTGCTCCGTACTCGTGGCGTATACAACCACGAGTACAATCAAGCAACAATCCTCGTTTTCAGGCTGTTCGATTCAAGGCACAAGCATCGCATGCCGTGTGTCTCAACCTTGGCAGCTCCACAGGCATGTCCACCAGTTTTAAGGCGCCTCAAAAGTCACCTGGCGGCTCTATAGGCCTGTCCACCAGACCCTGTGAAGGTCGCTTGAACAGCAACTGTAGGAGCGGTTGCAGTAGCAGCAGATCCAAAGGAGCAATGGCGTCTGCTGCTCCTGTTGCCAACCACAGCAGCAGGGGTGTCGCCGCTTCTGCATCTTCTGCTGCTCCTGCTGCTGCTGCGGATGGCAAGAGCACAGGGGGACCAGCAGTGTCAGAGGCAGTCATTGTGGGTGGAGGATTGGCGGGCCTGGCATTGGCTATCGGCCTCCGGAACCTTGGGATTGACGCGCAGGTGAGCGAGCTGGGATTTCAAACAGCATTGAGGTGGATTGGCCCGCCTCGCATTGGCTATCGGCCTCCAAAACATTGGGATTGACGCGCAGGTGAGGGAGCTGGAATTTCAAATAGCACAGCTTATCTGGTTACTCATGGGTTTACTCTACTCTTCTGCTGTTACGGCAGCAGTGTTACTGTCCCAGCACCCCTGCTACTGTGCAAACTCCACTGCCACGTGTCATACAAGGGGCTATCATACGAGTATCGTCCCATGCTTTCAATGACGTACCATGCCATTCCACCCCACGTCACACTATGCCATGCCACGCTGCTTGCCATAGAGCACACCTCAAAAGCACGCCCGTTTTCAAATCTTGCTTGCAGGTGTACGAGGCACGCAAGGAGGTGGGAGGAGGGGAGGGCACCATCATCTCTCTCTTCCCCAACGGGCTCAGGGCGCTCAACAGAATCGACCCTGCCATTGTGCCCCAGGCATGTGACTCGTTTTGTAGTTCTGACCTGGTGCGTCGGCCGTGATGCATGGGATGATGAGTAGCAGTTGCATGCATACCTCCTCTGCGTCTTCCCCAGTGGGCTCAGGGTGCTGAACCGCATCGACCATGCCATTGTGCCCCAGGCACGTCATGTTATGCTGATGCCTGCAGGCTGCAGCGTGCAATAGTAACGTAGGGACTGCATGTGACTTTTGAGACGTCTCAGAAGTTGTCTGCAGGCTGCAGCATGCAGTAGTAACAGAAGGACTGCATGTGACTTTTGAGACGTCTCAGAAGTTGTCTGCAGGCTGCAGCATGCAGTAGTAACAGAAGGACTGCATGTGCAATGCGATGTTTGATTGCATGTGAGAATGTTCAATTCCTGAGCATAGCCAATCTCACCACTCTCCGCCTCTCCTCCATTCCTCATTCTCCTTAGCTGATTCATACTCCTCGGATTGACAAACCCCACCAGTTTCCTCCTCTCGCCTGCGGGTGAAGTCATCGCTCCATGAGGACACAGTGCCACCATGACCGCGCACTTTCGCCTGACCATGCTCCGTTCCTCAGCTCAACAATGCGCTTAATGTTCTCTCCATTCAACTACAGTGCGCTCCGTCAGGCTACAGTGCCACCATGACTGCCCGTTTCGGCCTGCCCATGCTCTCCATCCGCTGGCGGGACGTGCTCGATGTGCTGCGCGGAATTCAACACCCTTTCATTCCCTTCCCTTCTCCCCTCCAGCAACCGCTTCCCTCCTCTTCATCTCCTGCCCTCCCCTCCGCTTACTCCACAGCTGATTCCTCTGGGAGTGACAGACCCGGCCAGCTTCCTCCTCTCGCCTTCAGGAGACATGATTGCCCCATGGGGCTACAGTGCCACCATGACTGCCCGCTTCAGCCTGCCCATGCTCTCCATCCGCTGGCGCGACGTGCTCGATGTGCTGCGCGGAACTCAACACCCTCTTCTTTCCTACCTTTCTCCCCTCCAGCAACTGCTCCCCTCCTTTTCATCTCCTGCCGTCCCCTCCGCTCCCTCCATTCCCTTCTCCAGCTGATTCCCCTGGGAGTCACAGACCCTGCCAGCTTCCTCCTCTCACCTTCAGGTGACATTATAGCCCCATGGGGCTACAGTGCCACCATGACTGCTCGTTTTGGCCTGCCCATGCTCTCCATCCGCTGGCGCGATGTGCTCGACGTGTTGCATGGAATTCAACACCTCCTTTTTTTCGTTCCTTTCTTCCGTCCAGCAACCTCTTCCCTCCGCTTCATCTCCCTCCCTGCCCTCCTCCAGCTGATCCCTCTGGGAGTGACCGATCCAGCAAGTTTCCTCCTATCCCCTTCCGGTGAAGTCCTAGCCCCATGGGGCTACAGTGCCACCATGACTGCCCGCTTCGGCCTGCCCATGCTCTCTATCCGCTGGCGCAACGTGCTAGACGTGCTGCGCGGAATGCTGCCAAACGACGCCGTCCACACCGGCCACCGGCTCGTGAAGGTCACGCAGAGGGAGGAGGCTGGAAGGAACGGGGAGGTGTCTGGTGCGGTGGAGCGGGATGGCGTGGCGGAGGGGGAAGGCATGGTGGAGTGCTTTTTCAGTACTGTTTCGTGTGGCAACGAGCATCTCGTGCGCGTGGAGGTGGGTTCTGAGGGGTGGGGCGTGGTGCGGGAACAAAGGAAAGGGTAGAGGAGGCGTGGGGAATGGGTGAGGAGGCTTGTAATGGCGAAGCATAAGCGCATGGCGGATATCCATAGGCGTGAAATGAAGCGCAATGTCAGGAATCAAACTACTTGGGGACTTTCCTCTCTCTTGGCCACTCCAACCCTTCGCAAAGCACTTCCTCTGCTCTGCTCTGCACTACCACTTTCCACTGCATGTCACCCCTCCCTTTCTTTTGACACCCCTCCCTTTCTTTTGACACCCCTCCCTTTCTTTTGACACCCCTCCCTTTCTTTTGACACCCCTCCCTTTCTTTTGACACCCCTCCCTTTCTTTTGACACCCCTCCCTTTCTTTTGACACCCCTCCCTTTCTTTTGACACCCCTCCCTTTCTTTTGACACCCCTCCCTTTCTTTTGACACCCCTCCCTTTCTTTCGCCTCTTACCTGCCAGACACAAAGGCAGACGCTCTTTCTGCCATCCCCTCTCTCTTTCGGTGTGGTACCACTCTCCACCACACTTCACCGCACAATTCTATTCCTGTATCCCCTCTTCGCCATACCCCGCCGCTGCAGGGGGCAGACGGCATGCACTCGTGCTCCATGCCCCAGCCCCCCTTGTGATACCGCATTCCGCCGTATCTCACCCCTCTTTCACCCCCCACCCGCCAGACCCCGCTGCTGCTGGGGGCAGACGGCATTCACTCGGAGGCACGGAAGCAGCTGCTGGGGGAGGGAGTGAGTCCGCGGGACAACGGCAGAACCATCTGGAGAGCCATCATCGACAGCAGCCTCTGCCCTCACCCCGTATGTGTCCCTCTGCCCGCATCCAGTACGAGCCCCTTTGCTTCTTCCCCACTTCTATCCAATATGAGCTGTCTTGATTTCCATTGCCCTTCTGTTCCTTCCCCACCTCCTCCTTCCTTCACCACTCTCTTCCTTCGCCTCTCTCAGTTCTTGTCCCTAGTCTTCCTGCGTCGGCTCCTCAAGCTACAATTTGTCTTGGCCATGGTGGGCCCCCCTTAATCTTCTCGGTTCGATAGACTTTCTAACGTCTTGTTCGTTGCTATCTTCTAGCCCCTCAGGCGATTCTTCTCTCGCCGGCATGACAATGATGTCGTGTGGGCATCCATGCAGCCTTCTCCGAGGTTCCTTCATGGAAACGCAGAGTAGCCATGCTACCAAATGAGCGAACCTTGGGAAAGGCTGCACGGAGGCCCACACGACGACACCTTCATGCCGGCGAGAAAAGAGTCGTTTATAAGGCCAAAAGATAGCAACGAGCAGGTCGTCAGAAAGTCTATCGAAGCGAGAAGACTCCATGGTATATCAGGTGCTAGAAACGATCGCTTAGATGTGATCATCTCAGATGCCGCTGCATATAGGCTCTATTGGGCGTTCGTAAATCTCTCCCTTCTCTTTCTCTCACCCCCTCCTCCTCCTGCCCTCCCATCCCTCAGCTTCTCAAGCCCCGTCATATCCTGGCCATGGTGGGACCTGGTCGCACAGCAACCATTTCTGATGCCGCAGCAGGGAGGCTCTACTGGGCGTTCACGCTCGTTGATTCCGCCGATCCGACGGTCAGCAGCGCGCGGTCCAGCAGAAGGGAGGAGGCACGGGAGAAGATTCTTCAGGCGTTTAAGGGGTGGGATGTGGTGGAGCAGCTGGTCAAGGCCACTCCCCCCGACCTCATTCTCGAACGCCGCGTGCTCGACCTCCCGCCCCTGCCCTTCTGGGTCCACGGGAGGATGGCTCTCCTCGGAGGTATGTCACTCCTGGGAGGTACTGTACTCGTGGGAGGTACTGCTGGGGTGGTGGCATGTGGAGTTCTTACGATGATGGATAGTAGCCGAATGGGGGTTTGTACAAAAGATGTTCCCCATCTGCTTGCAGGTTTGTACGATACAAGCTGCAAGCCTGCCTGCCACGTGTCGTAAGTCTCAATCTTGGAATAGACATCTGCTGGTGCTGGTGAAAAATCTTCTCTGGCACTTGCCTGTTCCAGACAGAGTGCAGATGTCTCTGCCTTCCGTTCATCACCTGCTGCCTTCAACGCATTCCCCTTTGGTCTCTACCCTGTGCCCGTCCCGTCTGCTCTCTCTGCCCTCCTCTCTGTCCAGATGCGGCGCACGCAGTAACGCCAGCGCTGGGCCAGGGCGCCAATCTCCGTTTGCTCATATTTTGCTTCATGTACCTGCTCTGCGCTCCCTTCTGCCCACCTGTCTGTCCAGATGCGGCGCATGCAGTGACACCTGCGTTGGGGCAGGGGGCCAATCTGGCGTTTGAGGATGCGGCTCAGCTGGTGGAGTGCCTCCGGGCGCTACCCCATGCCAGATGGGTTCTCAGGTGGGTTGCCAGGTGGGTTGTCAGGTGAAATGTCAGGTGGGTGCGTTCTTTTGTTGAAGTGTGCTGGATTGCAGGTGATTCGGCGCTTTTCAGATTCTGTTTTTTCAAACCCTACACTACTCCCTCCCGCCCCATACACTCCTCTTCTCCTTCCTTTTTCCCTTCCAATCTGAGCAGTTAAGGTCTTACAAACTTTTCGAGTGCCAGTGTGTGTAAAGTAAACCCAACATACACCACGCCTCCCCCCTCTGCTCCCCTGTTACCTCCTATGCAGCGATGCGCTACACTCCTTTCAGTCCATCCGCATGCCGCGCGTGCAAGCAGTGGTCTCACAGAACGTTGCCTCCTCCAAGAAGATATACGAGGATAAAGACGAAGAGGGCACAGAGAGGGAGAGCAGCAACGGCATGAGCACTGAAGCAACAGCAGGCACAACAACTGCAGGAGAGGGAGGAGTTAAGGGAGGAAAGGGAGGAGGCGGAGGAGAGGGAGGAGGAGAGGGGTCCGAGTTCTACGATTACCTGTACTCATATGACACAGTTCCTCTTGATGTTTCCCTGGGTCTTGTAGGGTCTTGAGTGGTCTTGGAGGGTTCTTAGAGGGGTTTGAGTTTTACGATTACCTGTACTCATGTGACACAGTTCCTCTTGAGGGGTCTTGAGTGGTATTTGGGTTCTTCTTGAGCGTTCTTGAGTGGTCTTGACTTTTACGGGATTACAGTATTATGTGAACTCATATGACAGGTTTTCTCGAGGGCTCTCGACGGTTCTTGATTGAAATTTCTTCTGAGAGTTCTACGGCGCCTCAACTTTAGGCTTGATCGTCATGATAACTTGAACTTGTACCGTCATCGCCCGGATATAAGACATATGGGTCTTATCCGATATCAGTTCAAAAACTGGCTGTTTATATTGTAAAAGGAAGGTAATGGGTATCTTATAAATCTTAAAAAACGGGAAACTAAGACATACGATTTCTCACATACTACTGTATAAACTCCCACAAACCAGTCTTCCACACAGAAACCAATGCTCGGACGACTCCACCATTTCTGGATACGCTGCATCACGAGAAAAATCTGCTGACGCAGCATGTGACTCAGATACACCATCATCTGAGTCATCGTGTAAATGAATTCGCGGTCGCTCAGGCGAAAACGTACATGATATGCCCTGATTCGAGATGAAGTTTTTATATTTCGTTTACAAGACATACATGTCTTATCCCATATCGGTAATATGGTCTCATATAAAAGGAAGTTCTGTTTATAAGAAAACACCCGTATTAAAGACACCCATGTCTTCAATTCAACACTATCTTCTATCCGGGTGATGACGGTATGATACACATCCCCTTGTTGGTTCATCTCAACAGTTCCTCTTAACACCACTGTTGAGTCAAGGGTTGCACTGCACCCCCCTTAGCCCATATTTGGCATCACCAAGACAGCAATACTGGTAGGAGATTGGGGAAATGAAAGAGGAACATTTAAAAATATAAATATTTATACGACTACTGTAGAATTATTGCATAACACTAGCAATACAAAGTTCCTCCTCCCTGGCGACAATGTCATAACCATAAATATTATCGTCAGGATCACGCGCCTCTTGTGCCGCTGACACTACCGTTGCTTCCACGTCTTTTAAGATCGGCGGCGCTGCACCCGCCTTGCTTGCATCGCGGTAACCCGCTTCTTTCACATACCCTCCTGCTTTCTTCTCATTCTTGCCTTTCTTGTCATAGAGCTTATTTGCTTCGGCGACGTTCCGTGAAGTCACCGCTTGCACCCGTGGCATGCGGATGGATTGGAAGGAGCGAAGGGCGTCGCTGGAAGGGATGGAAAGGAGAGGGAGAGAAGGGGAGAGGAGGCGTCATTTTGGGATTCAAATCTCAGATGCCTGATACCAGGGTTGAAGGAGGAAGGGTGAGACAGTAGTAATGGAGAAGGATGGTGGACTATTGCGAGGGAGTGAAGAGGGCGGAGTAGGGAAGACGGGGGAAAGAGAAAGGGAAACAAAAAAAAAAGAGAATACACTATGGTCCAACGCAGGGAGCAAGGGAAAAGTATCACCTAAAGCGGAAATAAAAGGCATGCCAACATACCACCCAGCATTGTGTCATAAACAACCTGGCATGCCATGACGCATGCATGGCATGACATCCTACCAGACCTGCTAACACCCCATCGGACCTGCATGACATCCTATCAAACCTGCCCGGCATGCCATCACATGACCAGATGCACTGAGTAACAGCCGGCAACATGTAATGTAAGGGAGCCCATCTTTCACAATTAAACTACCCATATCTGGTTATCACAACACCTAACATGCCAATACACCAACCTGACAACCCACCTGAGATCACACCTGACATGGGATTGCGTACACCTGACAACCCACCTGGCATGTGAGTGCACCCGGAGGCACTCCACCAGCTGAGCCGCATCCTCAAACGCCAGATTGGCTCCCTGCCCCGTCACTGGCGTCACTGCATGCGCCGCATCTGGACAGACGTGGGCAGCAGAAGGGAGCGCAGAGGAGGTACATGAAGCAACACATGAGCAAAAGGAGAATGGCGCTCTGGCCCAGTGCTGATGTCACGATTTTTTAGGCTCCTCAAAAGTCGCTCTGACCCAGTGCTGATGTCACGGTTTTTGAGGTGTGTAGGAAATACTATTACGATTGACTGTGGATGGCAGCAGAATGGAAGCAGCAGAATGGCGGCAACATATTAACGATTCCCTGTCATTGGATTCTACGTCTGGGTGGTCGCACCAGCATATGCTGAATTCAGAAGCAAGAACCACGCAGGCACTTCTTATTAGTTTGTAAAACCATGTTCTGGTCACATATACAGTGGATTGCAAAGTGGGCTTTCTGCTTCTAGTATGTACCACCCTTGTGATATACTCCATACACAATGACAGCAACTTCACACGTGTACTAACACGCCAGGCGAACCTCCCAGGACAGCCAGCCATACCTCCAAGGAGAGCCGTCCTCCCGTGGACCCAGAAGGGCAGGGGCGGGAGGTCGAGCACGCGGCGTTCGAGAATGAGGTCGGGGGGAGTGGCCTTCACCAGCTGCTCCACCGCATCCCACCCCTCAAAAGCCCGCAAGATCTTTTCCCGCGCCTCCTCCCCCCCGCTGGACCGTGCGCTGCTGACCGTCGGATCGGCGGAATCGACGAGCGTGAGTGCCCAGTAGAGCTTGCCTAATCCACCGTCGATGATGGCTGCTGTGCGGCCGAGGCTGAGTGTAACAAGCATGTGATTTGGCAGGATCAAGAAGGGAGTGTGAGTGGGCTCAGTAGAGCGTGACTCGCTTCTGCAAATTCTCAAAAGAAGACGCATTTTTTTTTGTGAATTCAATTAAGAGGGGGAGGCCGGAGGAAGGGTGAGTGTGGGGGCTCAGTAGAGCCTGCTCAGCACCAGCAATAGCTGCTGTTCGGTTGGCATGGCATCGACAATGATGGACATGTGATGTCTTGAGACGTCTCAAAACGCGTCAAAACTAATTTATGGGGTGGGGGCAGAAGGGAAAAGCAGAGGGACACATACAGGGTGGGGGCAAAGGGAACTGTCAATGATGGCCCTCCAGATGGTTCTGCCGTTGGGTACATACGGGTCCAGATTATAATTGCAGACCAAGACGCACATACAGGGTGCGGGCAGAGGGAGCTGTCAATGATGGCCCTCCAGATGGTTCTGCCGTTGTCCCGCGGACTCACTACCTCGCCTGCTGCCGCGCCACTCGCACTCTGCCCTTCCTTTCCCCCCACCAGTAGCAGCTTCTTCCGCACCTCTGAGTGAATGCCGTCCGCCCCCAGCAGTAGAGGGGTCTGGCAGATGGGGGAAAAAGAGAAGGGTTAAGAGCGGTGACAAGAGGAACGGAGGGTGAATGCCCTCTTCCTCCAGCAGAGCAGGGGTGCAGCGGACGGGAGAGAAGAAGAGGAGGATGCAGGCACACATACAAAGACAGACCGCTGCTCATGTCATCACCCCATGTAATCACCACCGTTCCCTTCCTTCCCCCCCACTCCTCACTCCGTCCTTGCATCCCAACCTTCAAACAAAACCAACCCCCACCATCCCCTTCTCTCCACGTCCTCTCCCCCACTCACCTCCACCTCCATCAACCGCTCTTCACCGCCCGAAACCTCCTTGAAAACGCATTTCACCGAGCCGTTCCCCTCAGCACCTCCTCCCCCCTCTTTTTCCTCCTCTCTCTGTGTAAACTCCACGAGCCTGTGCCCGAGATGGATGGAATCGTTTGGCAGCATCCCACGCAACACGTCGAGCACCTCTTGCCAGCGGATGCAGAGCATGGGGAAGCCGTAGCGGTCTTCCATGTTGGACGCAAGGTCCCATTGGGAAAGGAGAATGCCGGTTGGAGAGCGGTAGAGACAGGTGGGGTTCGGTGCTCCACGGGATATCAGCTGAGGGAAAGAAGAGGAAACCGGGAAAACGGGAGAAATGAGGAAACAGGAGAAAATGGTGAAACAGGAATGTGCAGAGCGCTGCACTGCAGTTTTCCCAGTGATTTGAGGGAAGAAAGCGAGAGAAGAAACAGATAGGGGGAGAGATGGGGTGCACGAGTACATGAAAGAGGACATTGGGCCGTTCTGACTCTCTGAACCAACGCTTAGGAGGAGCCAGTCCCCAAAAAACCAGCAGGAGAAGAAAGTGAGAGAAAGCAGATGGGGTCCACGAATTCGCGAGAAATCAGGAGTAGAAGTGAGAAAAGGGAAAGAAAACGAGAGAAGGAAAAGTGAAAGAGGAATAGGAAGAAGAAGAGGCAGAGCATGTCCAACAACGGCTGCTGAGTCCACCACATGCCGGCGCAGAATGAAAGGACTTTTGAGTCGACCCAAAAGTCAGCAACGGCTGCTGAGTCTACCACATGCTGGGGCAGAATGAAAGGACTTTTGAGTCGACCCAAAAGTCAGCAACGGCTGCTGAGTCCACCACATGCTGGGGCAGAATGAAAGGACTTTTGAGTCGACCCAAAAGTCAGCAACGGCTGCTGAGTCCACCACATGCTGGGGCAGAATGAAAGGACTTTTGAGTCGACCCAAAAGTCAGCAACGGCTGCTGAGTCCACCACATGCTGGGGCAGAATGAAAGGACTTTTGAGTCGACCCAAAAGTCAGCAACGGCTGCTGAGTCCACCACATGCTGGGGCAGAATGAAAGGACTTTTGAGTCGACCCCAAAGTCAGCAACGGCTGCTGAGTCCACCACATGCTGGGGCAGAATGAAAGGACTTTTGAGTCGACCCAAAAGTCAGCAACGGCTGCTGAGTCCACCACATGCTGGGGCAGAATGAAAGGACTTTTGAGTCGACCCAAAAGTCAGCAACGGCTGCTGAGTCCACCACATGCCGGCGCAGAATGAAAGGAATCACCTGATCTAACCTGACACCTCGACGTGAGGTGAATGGGAAGTGCAACGGCAAAATCCGCAGCACGTTGAGACCATGACTCAAATGCGCAGTTATTACCAGCTCTCACATGCAACCATTGCTACCAGCCTATGACATGCCTGGGGCACAATGGCAGGGTCGATGCGGTTGAGCGCCCTGAGCCCGTTGGGGAAGCAGGCAGGCTCAGCAGCCGCATGTTCGGTATACGACTGAAATGCACAACCATCTCTCACATGAAGCCATTACTATCACCATCACATGCCTGGGGCACAATGGCAGGGTCAATGCGGTTGAGCGCCCTGAGCCCGTTGGGGAAGAGGCAGAGGAGGTATGCATGCAACTGCTACTCACTATCCCATGCATCACCGACCGACACACACAGGGTCAGTACTATCAGTATTACGAAACGAATCACCTGCCTGGGGCACAATGGCAGGGTCGATTCGGTTGAGCGCCCTGAGCCCGTTGGGGAAGAGGCAGAGGATGGTGCCCTCCCCTCGCACCTCGCCCCGAGCCTCGTATACCTGCATGGAGGGACGTGGGAATGTGAGAATGTGGGGATGTGGAGAAGTGGAAATGAAGGGATGTGGGTAAGTGGGGAAGTGGGAATGTGGGGATGCGGGGATGTGGCTTGACGCGTGGCATAGAATGGCTCTAGGGGGTTCTAGGGAACCGTCCTCTAGCACCTCGTCTCATGCCTGTTTTTGAGGCGCCTCAAAAACAGACTGCCTCCTACATCTGTATGTGCGGATGTGGAATCGGGCATGGCATGGCATTGCATTGCATGGGATGGCATGGCATTCCATGCCATGGTTGCATGGCATTGCATGAGGTGGCATGGTATGGCATGATTGCATGGCATTGCATGGCATGGCACAGCATGGCATGGCATGGCATAGCACGGATTGACATGCCATGGCATGTGAAGGTCTGTTAGTTGTCGCATTGGTGGTATCGCATGTACAGCCTGGGATGCATGCAACGATATATCATGTTTATGTCACTTTTGAGAATTCTCAAAATGCATGCGACGACACATGCGGAGAAGCTACAGAGTCTCTCACTTGCAGACACACCGCGAGACTGAAACATGATAACATGCACATGCACTTACTAAATCAGTCTGCATAAGTAGGATGCGATAGGTAGACACAAATGGGAAAAAGAAAAGGATAAAGCAGGCGAAGACAGGACTGTTTTGGTAGCAATGCATTTAATGTCGCACTCAGAGCTCTATACCTGATTCCAGCATTTTCCCCTTATTCCGAATAGCGCCATACCTGCGCGTCAATCCCAATGTTCCGGAGGCCAATAGCAGTTGCGAGGCCGGCCAACCCTCCACCCACAATGACTGCCTCCGACACTGCTGGCCCCCCTGTGCTCTTGCTATTCGCCGAAGCTGCACGAGAAGACGCGGAGGCAACAACACCCCTCCAACATTCTCCATGGTTTACGTTGCGAGCCGCATAAGGCCTCGTCGCAAAAGAATTTCCTCTATAAAGGTTGCTGTTACCAGTGCTGCTGCTGATGCTGAAGCTTTTACTGATGCTTCCAGTCGCACAACAATCAGCTTGTGAGGCTCGTTTCTTAAAACGAATCGGCTGATAACGAAGGTTCGTGCTCACGGGTGGTGACACTGCTTTCCGCGGGTCCACGACATGGACGGCTGAGATGGGTGATGCTACCAGAACGGTCGATGCGACGTGCGACACAGAAGCCATACCGAAGAGTTCGAGTATGATGTTGCCACCAAACCGTTCGTTTAGATACTATCAAGGAAGCACGAGTACTCAAGACTGGTGAGAAGGGCCAGAAAGAACTCTCGTGAATGATTTCATAATCTGTTCATCTGAGGGTTTGAGAAATCTGTGGCTGCTATGTGCTCGAATTTAGTCCAGCAAAGCCTTGAATCTTTAGTGTCTCCGGAACGCTGAACCAGTATCCACGCAATCTCTCAAACAAAGGCGGCAGTTTCGGTAAGAACGTTGTGAGACGAGCCCGCATCGGGACAATCCCATGCGGGACGGCTCGTCGTAGCTGATTCCGTTTGTTCGCCAGGTGCAAGAATTATTCTAGAATTTCAGTCAGTTTGAGAGCTATAGGAGTGGCTGTAATTTGCTCAAATCGAGTCCAGGAAGCTCGTAATGCCGAACGAATATCCATGGTATCTCGAAGAACAAAGGCGGCAGGCTCGGTAAGGGACATTTTTCGAGCCAAGTTCAGCCTTCCGACGGGACGGCTCATCGTGGCTGATTCCGTTTTGTTCGCCATAGCAGTTTCCGTTTTGTATGCCTTCCATTAGGGCAGGCCGAATTACTAGCAGACGCTAGGAAGAAGCAGCTTGTTGGCTGACGAGGCTAGAATCAACTATTGCCTGAATTGCCAGGTTTCGAGATTAGGGGCAACCCGAATTCCAACACAAGCACCTCCCCTGGGTTTGGTTCAACTTTATCGAAACCTGTGGTTCTGACTCCAGGGCAAACCCAAGGCTCGGAAAGTGGCTGGCTCTTCACCTTGGCTGTGGGAGCATGGCTTGCCTCGGGAATTACGAGCCTGATTTGTATGGCTAGGATTTGTGGTTTCGTGGAACTGGTGGTGGTGTTCGTGGTTTGATGGGTTCTGCGTGTTGTGGGACGGACACCCGAGCCTAGTGGGGGTTGAGGCTCGAACTTGGGTTTGTGTCGTATAGTATGTTCCGCTACGAGATAGCGGAGGTTCCAGAGAAGACAGCAATAGGAGTATGAGGGGAAGTGAATGCAGACGGGAGCAATGAATATGAACAAAAGACAAATTTGAAGTACACTAACATCTCCTCACACATGAAAATTGGTACGGTACCTTAATTCTATTCACCCTGGGAATAATGAGCCGCATTAAAATGCATTGCTGCGCATACGTGAATGCGCACTACGAGTCATAACAGCAACAAATCACAAGACCACTGCACCGCACAGCAATTACGACACGACCATCCCCCTTCCAAGCCACATCACCCTTATAACAGGAAAGCATCCTGCCAGCATCACACCTCCCTTTTTGTAGCAAGACATCTCAAAACGAACTACAGCACAATACTTGCAACGCAAAGATCCTCCCAAGCCACGATGTCATAACCAAAAAGGTCCTCATTCGGATCACGCCCCTCTTGTGCCGCCGCCTCTGCCAATGGCGATTGTTTACCTTTAGACTTTGACGCTCCATCAGCCTCACTTCCGTCGCCGCCTGCTTTCCTCCCATTCCTTCCCGCATCATACTGCTTCTTTGTGTGGGTGACGTTTCGGGATATCACCACTTGCACTCGTGGCATGCGGATGGTTTGGAAGGAGCGAAGAGCGTCACTGGATGGGATGAAAATGGATTATGGCCAGGGTGAAAGGCAGTTATTGGGGATGAGAATGGAGCGAAGAGCGTCACGGGATGGGATGAGAATGGATTATGGCCAGGGTGAAAGGCAGTTATTGGGGATGAGAATGGATCACCAGGGAGAGGCAAGGTAAAAGAGGGGGAGTGGGAGGGCAAGACGAAGGGAGGGACAGACGGAGGGTGGGCGGATGAAAGAACATGCAAATGCACCATTGTGCAATGGAACAATAGAAAACACCCGGCATGCGACAATCACCTAAACCACCTGCCTGACAACCCACCTGACATATGCAGCACCCACCTGACAACCCACCTGACATATGCAGCACCCACCTGGCATGCAAGTTCCCCCGGAGGCACTCCACCAGCTGAGCCGCATCCTCAAACGCCAGATTGGCGCCCTGCCCCAGCCCTGGCGTCACTGCGTGCGCCGCATCTGGACAGACAGGCGGGAAGAGCAGGGAGTGCAGGGAACAGTGCAGATATCAAAATGGGAAACATGAATGAAGGAATGTTGACCCCCTTGCCGCATTGGAATCAACTGCGGAAGGTACAGGAATGCGGTAAAACAGAAACTGTGTTAAACATTGAATAATAGCTCCAGCATCAAGAGGACCAACATCCCCAGCAGCGGCGCCACGAGCAGCAACAGAACCAGTATATATCGAGCTCAGAAGCAACATTGTTGAAAGGCTTTGTGAATGTATTTTTTGTAGTCCTTCATTCTACTAATGTTTATAGTTGAACGCAATGTTAGTTACTGTTTCATGGTAAACTAACCTCCCAGGAACGCAGAACCTCCCAAGACAGCCATACCTCCGAGAAGAGCCGTCCTGCCTTTGACCCAGAAGGGCAGGGGTGGGAGGTCGAGCACACGGCGTTCAAGAATGAGGTCGGGAGGAGTGGAGTTGACAAGCCTCTCCACCACATCCCACCCCTGAAAAGCCCGCAGAATCTTCTCCCGCACCTCCTCCCCCCCACTGGACCGTGCGCTGCTGACCGTCGGATCGGCGGAATCAATGAGTGTGCACGCCCAGTAGAACGTGCCTCCTCCACAGTCGGCGGCAGTTGCAGTGCGGTTGACACCGAGTATGGTGTTCACCTGACGTGGCTGTAACAGCTGCAGGAAGGGAAGGGAAGGCCGGGAAAGTGAAGGCCAGGTAAGGGATAGTCAACCTGACAGAGTGCCTGCTCCACAATCGGCAGCGGTTGACTCCGAGGATGGTGTTTACCTGACGTGGCTGCAGCAGCTGCAGGAACGGAAGGCCAGGAAGCAGGGAGTGTGTGAGGGCTCAGTAGAACCTGCTCGGAACCAGCAATAGCTGTTGCGTGACCGGTTGACACAGAGTGTGGTGCAGATTATAAATACCCGAGAATTTTAAAAAATATTCTGTATGTGTTGTGGCTGCAGCTTCTGCCAGAAGGAAAAGCTGGGAAGAAGGGAGACGGGAAGAATGAGAGGATAGTCTGGCCGGCATAGCCTGCCTGCTCTATAACCTACAGCAGATGCTGTGCGGTTGGCTTGATATACTGAGTCTGGTTTGTGTGTGACATGGGTGCAGCGGACTGAGATGCACTCACAAAACAATCTCGTTACAATGAGTTTTGAGTCGACTCAAAAACAATCTCGTTACAATGTCACACGAGACGCACTTCACGGGGGCCGGGGACGAGCAGGGCACATATGGGGTGCGATCAGAGGGGGCAGATATGGGTTGGGTGGGAACAAAGGGGCACATAACTGGGCATGCGAGACACTCACCAGTTAGGGGCAGAGGAACACATATGGGGTGGGGGCAGTGAGAGGCGTGTGAGGAGAGATACCAACGGCACACACAGGGGGGCGAGGAGCATTTACGGAGTGGGGACAGAGGGGAAAAGGTACAGGATTCGGGCAGAGGGGAGGACCAGAGGGGCACGTACAGGGTGCGGACAGAGGCTGCTGTCAATGACAGCTCTCCAGATGGTTCTGCCGTTGTCCCGCGGACTCACTCCCTCGCCTGCTGTCCCGCCCAGCAGATGCTTCCGTGCCTCCGAGTGAATGCCGTCTGCCCCCAGCAGCAGCGGGGTCTAACGGGTGGGGGGTGAAAAAGGAAGGGGTAAAACGCAGTGGAAAGAGGTTTGAGGTGGCAGAGGGTGAATGCCAAATATGGGAGAGCAGAAAAGGAGGATGTCGAGGGGTGATGGCACGAGGGGAGACGATATGACATTGCTTGTCCGCTTTTTTATTTTTACCCCAAAACTCCATCCTCACCCCACCCCGCCCTAACCTTTGCTAACCCTCAATTCTCTCCCCCTCACTCCCCCATTCCCTCCTTCCCCCCCTTGTCTCACCCTTGAACCAAACCATCCCCGGCTTACTCCTCTCTCCACCTCCTCTCCCCCACTCACCTTCACCTCCAGCAACCGCCCTTCGCCGCCCGAAACCGTCTTAAAAGCGCACTTCACTGAACCATCCCTTGTGCCTGCGCCGCTCCCCTCGTCCTCCTCTCCCTGCGTAAACTCCACAAGCCTGTGACCGGTGTGGACGGCGTTGTTCGGCAGCATTCCTCGCAACACGTCAAGCACCTCTTGCCAGCGGATGCAGAGCATGGGGAAGCCGTAGCGGGCAGTGATGCTGGACGCGGGGTCAAACTGGAAAAGGATGTCGCCCGTTGGAGAGCGGTTGAAACAGGTGGGGTCCGGTACTCCACGGGATATCAGCTGAGGGAAAGCAGAGATGGAGGGGGATGGGCCAAGGGAAGGGAAGGGAAGGGAAGGGAAGGGAAGGGAAGGGAAGGGAAGGGAAGGGAAGGGAAGGGAAGGGAAGGGAAGGGAAGGGAAGGGAAGGGAAGGGAAGGGAAGGGAAGGGAAGGGAAGGGAAGGGAAGGGAAGGGAAGGGAAGGGAAAGGAAGGAAAGGAAGGGAAGGGAAGGGAAGGGAAGGGAAGGGAAGGGAAGGGAAGGGAAGGGAAGGGAACGGAAGTGAAGGGATGGGATAGGAAGGGAGGGAAAGGGAAGGGAAGGGAAAGGAAGGGAAGTGAAGGGATGGGATAGGAAGGGAGGGAAAGGGAAGGGAAGGGAAGGGAAGGGAAGGGAAGGGAAGGGAAGGGAAGGGAAGGGAAGGGAAGGGAAGGGAGGCAGGCAATAGCGGATGGTGAGCATGGGGAAGCTGAACTGCAGGGCATGTTGCACGAGAGGTTCCCCCGGAAAGGAGATCCCTGGTTTCAGAGCGATTGAGTCAGGTTGGTTTCAGTACTCCACGAGATGTTAACGGAGGGAAAGAGCAGATGGAGAACTACTTTGATCGAGGAGACAAGAGAACCTGTGGAAACAGGAGGAAATGAGAAAACAGGAGACGAGAGCAATGATGCACAGCTAGTACTGGCTCCCATGTGCATGCATCAGCATCAGCAGCAGCCATAACCAGCACATGCCTGGGGCACAATGGCAGGGTCGATTCTGCTGAGCGCTCTGAGCCCGTTGGGGAAGAGGGTGAGGAGGGTTCCCCCGTCTATCACCTCGTCCCGTGCCTCGTATACCTGCACGTGGAAATGTTAGGATGCGATGTGGCATGGCATGTTGCATGCGGGATGGAATGTGGCATGAGGCATGGAATGTGGCATGAGGCATGGAATGTGGCATGAGGCATGGAATGTGGCATGAGGCATTGCATATGGCATAGTGGCATGTGGTATGAGGCATGGAAGAGAATGGATTCTGAGACGTCTCAAATCCTCCCCTTGCATCCCTTCCCATGCCTCGTATGCCTGCACATGGATGGTGGTATGTAGAGTGCGGGAGGCTACTACGCAATGACATGCATCAAGAGGATAAGAGAAGGCGCACAAATAGTCCCACTTACAGTCACAACGCACTACCAAAAACACGATATTATGTGACATGCAATGGTGGCATGTCATGTGGATTAACGAAGCAGTCTGCATTTAAATCTTGAACCTCACATTCCAACTGCAGACACAATGGGAATAAAAGAGCGGGACTCATACGGTGACACAATCTTACTTAATTCCAGTACTTTTCCCTGATTCCAGCGTTTTTTCCTGATTCCAGCGTTTTTCCCTGATTCCAGCAATTTTCCTTATTCCGGCGTTTTTCCCTGATTATAGCGATTTTCCCCTGATTCCAGCGTTTTTTCCTGATACCAGCATTCTCACCTAATTCCAGCTTCCAGACAAAATCCCACCTGCGCGTCAATCCCAATGTTCCGGAGGCCAATAGCCGTTGCGAGGCCTCCCAAACCTCCACCCACAATGACTGCCTCCGACACTGCTGGCCCCCCTGTGCTCTTGCTGCTCGCGGAAACAGCAGGAGAAGACGCAGAGGCAACAACACCCCGCCAAAAGCCTTCACGGTTGACATTGCGAGTCCCAGGAGACCTTGTCGCAGGAAAAGAACGTTCTTTAGAGATTGAGAGGCTTCTCAACATGCTGTTACTGGTACTGCTGTTAACGCTGAAGCTTTTACCGATGCTTCCAGGTGCGCGACGCTCAGCATGTGAGGCTCGTTGCTTAGAACGAATCAGCCGATAACGCGGGTTCCTGCTCGGAGATGGTGACGCTGTACTCCGCGTGTCCACGAGAGGGACGGTTGAGATGCGTGCTACTCCTGTAAAGGAGGACACGATGTGCGACACAGATGCCATTCCGAGGCGTCCGATTATGACGTTGCCACCAAAACTGAAGACCTCAAGCCGTTCGTTTTGACACTAGGAACAAGGAAGCACGAATACTCGTTCACTCCCGTGAACTCCCGTGAAATGACCCGAGAGGTTAGGGTGATTCCAGGGTCAATTCATTCGAGGGCTTGAGAAATCTGTGGCTGCTATTTGCGCGAATTTAGTCCAGCAGGACCTTGATTCTTTAGTATCCCCAGAATGCTGAATCAGTATCCATGGTGTCTCGCAGGCCAAAAGCCGGCAGACTCGGTAGGAACGCTATTTGAGCCAAGCCCGCATTTGGAGAGCTCGCGGGTGGAATGGCTCGCCATAGCTGACTCGGAGTCTGCTTTGTTCGCCATTACGGTGCCTAGCCTATCTCCACCTTCCCTGATGGAAGTTCCTTCCCCAGTGTTGCAAACTGGAAAAGCTGCTTTCAGGGATTTGGGTGCGGTCTGGAAAGTGAAGCCAGTTTTGCCTGGAAATTCTAGGGCTCGGTTCGACATGGTTACTCGTTCGCCGTAGCTATGGGAGCTTGGCTTAGCCTGGCTTGGCAAAATCTGTGGTTCCGAACAAGGGCAAACCCAAGGCCCACATAGCACATGGGGCCTGGAGCAATCTTCGGACCAGCTGGTTTGCTTCGGAAAAGACAGGCTAACCTGGTTCGGAACCTGGGGCATTACCGCCGGGGCAGGCTCACCAACATCGAGCCTACTGACGTCTACAGTCAGCCACGTGGCTTAATGGTACCCATCGGATCTTGCGGACCCCATCGTTCCTCCAGCGTCACTTTCACCCCTGCATGGTCACCATCGACTCTCCGTTATGCAGTTATTGTTTTGTAGTAGCAACTCTTACAGCAATATTGAAGGTGATTTTTGAGAACATACAGCAGTTGTGATTTACTTCAAATCTGCCACCTGTTTCCTGGAATGGCTGGGCTGGGTCAGGTCGGGTGGAGGTGTGGGACCATGAGTGCTTACGTGGTTGTGAGCACTCTACACAGAATGAGTGAAAGTGGAAAGGCCAGAGGAAATTATGAATGGCAAAGGAAGAATTCTACATGAACTACATGGCATGGCAACATGTATTGCCTCACTGCAGCAACACGACAAACTCATGTGGCAAGCATAGGGTACTTCGTCAGGATCACATGAGGCACGTTCAAGTGCATCAATGCGAATTAGTGAATGCACACAAAATCAGAGCGCAGCACTGACAACTCGAGGATCCTCTTCCAGAACCACGATGTCATAACCATACAGCTCCTTGTCAAATGTTGTAGCCTATAGTGAGGTTTGTCTTAGGGGGTACAAAACTTAGGGTTAGCTATATGTACCCCAACCAACATCAATGCATGATTCATTCCTCATTTTGACATGGTATCAGAGCGGTTAGGATCCTGTGGGATCCCGTTTCTCCGTTCTCCGATCGTACCACCCGAGCCTGATCCTAGCTCTCGTTTTGCCCATCTTGCCCGAGCCTAGTGCCGGCCCGATCTAGTCCCGTTCGTTCGTTACCGCTCGGGCTTTAGCGGCGTCGTCAGGGGCAGGTCCTAAAGGCGTAGGGTCGGGGGTGCTGGTGCGGAGTCTGGGGGTGCTGCGTCTGGGGGTGAGGGTGTCCCTTCGGTTTCTGGAGAGCCTGGGTCTGGAGCTGGTGTTGGTGCTGCCTCTGGGGGTGGTGTGCTTGGTGCTTCGGAGGTCGACTCTGGGGCTGCCGCTGCCCCGGACACTACTCCTTCCCCCCACCCCTACCCGACCAGGTTCCAGGCTCGTGTTCGCCGTGCTCGTGAGGAGCAGCTGGAGTTGGAGAGAGAGGAGAGAGAGTTGCAGCGGCTCGAGGAGCAGGAGCGACAGCAGCAGGAGCAGCAGCAGGGGCAGCAGCCGCTGGAGCAGCAGCAGCCGCAGCAGCCGCAGCAGCAGCAGCTGCCGTCTCCTCCTCCTGTCTCGGGTCTTCGGACCCTTGGTCTCCCCTCTCCCTCTCCTTCCTCCTCCCCCTCTCCTCCCGTCTCTGGTCCTCCGCTTCCTCCTCCTGACCCCTCTCCCGCTGTTTTCCCTCGTTCTCAGTCTTCGTTGTCTCCTCCTCCTTCTCAGACTTGGGCCTCTCGTCGCTCCCCTCGTGCTCGTCCCTCGTCTCCTGTTCCCTTCACTGACCTTCGTACAGCCTTCCTTTGTTCTCGTCCACCTCGTCCGTCTCCGTCTGTGCTTCCGTCTCCTCCTGAGTCGGCCCTCACTGTGTCGCTTCCTTCTCCTGTCACTGACTACTACCGCACGTACCGTCCTGTTCTCTCTCGTGTTCTCGCCTCTCTTGTTACCCACCCTCGTGCCTCTGTGTCCTCTGTGTCCGCTCTTACTGCCGCAGTCACTGAGTTTGCCTCTACCCGCCGCCTTGACTTCGCCACCGCTCTTGTGGCTGCTCCTCCTTCCAGTCCTCTGGCCGTCGGGGGTGTGTCTGCCCTTGGCTGTGACGCCCTAGAGGACAGGCAGTTTGAGCTAGAGTTCCTGGCGGCCGCTTCCCCTCATCTCTGTGCCATGCTCCTCGCCCCTGAGGGTGACCCCGACGCCCTTGACATTCCGACTCCTCGCACTTACGCTGAGGCAGTGTCAGGGCCTTGGGCCTCTCAGTGGAGAGCTGCCATGGACGCAGAGATGGCCTCCTACAGATCCACAGGCACCTACGTCGATGAGGTTCCCCCTCCGGGGGCGAACGTAGTCGACGGCATGTGGATCGGCATGTGTCGACGGCAAGATGACCACTCTTCGGGTGTTACTACACGTAGCAGCACAGAGAGACTACGAGTTACACTCTCTCGACTTCTCTACTGCTTTCCTTCAGGGCAGTCTTCACGAGGAGGTCTGGTTGCGTCGTCCCTCTGCCTTCACTGGCTCTTTCCCTCCTGGGACCCAGTGGAGGCTGAGGCGACTGGTCTACGGACTTCGTCAGGCTCCTCGTGAGTGGCACGACACCCTGCGTTCTACCCTGTCTGACCTTGGGTTCCAGCCGTCTTCTGCTGACCCGTCGCTGTTCGTTCGTCGTGGCCCCACACCTTTCTTTGTTCTGGTCTACGTTGACGACCTTGTTTTCGCCACCCCTGACAGGGTTGCTTTGGCACACGTGAAGTCCGAACTGCAGAAGAGACACACCTGCACTGATCTTGGTGAGCTGCGCCACTACCTTGGCCTGCAGATCACCAGGGACAGAGCTGCTCGCACCATTACACTTTCACAGTCGCACATGGTGCAGCAGGTCCTTCAGCGGTTCGGGCTTCAGCACTCCACAGTACAGCGCACACCTCTTGCTGTTGACCACAGACTCACTGGACCCTTTCCTGACGAGCCGTTCGAGCCTAGTGGTCCCTACGCTGAGCTTGTGGGTTGCCTCATGTACCTGATGACTTGTACTCGCCCGGACCTCGCCTTCCCTCTCAGCGTTCTTGCGCGCTTTGTTGCGCCAGGGAGACACCGTCCTGTTCACTGGACAGCAGCTGTGAGGGTGGCGAAGTACCTAGCGACGACGTCAGGCGTGGGGCTAGTTCTTGGAGGGCAGCAGTCTGTCGTACTTACTGGTCACTGTGACTCCTCTTACGCTGACGACGCTGAGACTCACAGGTCTACTTAGGGGTACTGTTTCAGCCTGGGTTCTGGAGCTGTTTCCTGGCGGTCCACGCGCTCCTCTTCGGTCTCGACCTCTACAGCTGAGGCTGAGATCTACGCTGGTGCCATGGCGGCACAGGAGCTGCGTTGGTTGACCTTCTTGCTCACCGACCTTGGTGAGCGGCCGAGCTCTGCACCGACCTTGTTCACTGACAACAAGGCGTCTATTCTCCTTTGTCGAGAGCCACGACTGGAGAGCAGAGTGAAGCACATTCACGTCAGGTACTTTCTTCTGCGAGAGTTGCAGAGGCGTGGACAGACTTGCTTTGAGTTTGTGGAGTCCGAGGCCAACACTGCAGACATCTTCACCAAGGCGCTTCCGCCTTGTGACCACCAGAGGTGCTGTGTGCAGTTAGGCCTTGTTGACACTGGTTCTCGTGTTGCTTAGACTTGAGTGTACTGTTTACTTTGCTTTCTATATATCTCTGTTACTTCTTGGACTGGCCTTGTGGCCACTGTTGTTTGTGCTCAGACTGTGTGGTGACGTTGTGATCCACCCTGAGCTTCGTTTCTTGGACTGGTCTTGTGACCGTACTCGTGTGGTTCTGCTAGACACCCCTCACTTAGGCTATGGGGGTGTGTCAAATGTTGTAGTCTATAATGAGGTTTGTCTTAGGGGGTACAAAACTTAGGGTTAGCTATATGTACCCCAACCAACATCAATGCATGATTCATTCCTCATTTTGACACTCCTCATCAGGATCACGCCTCCTTGTAACGACACGTTCTTTAACAAGGACACGTTAGTGCAGAGCACTCGCAACACGATGATCATCCTCCTCCTCCCAGACCAAAATGTCATAACCATACAGATCCTCGTCAGGATCACGCCCCTCTCGTGCCGCCGTTGCAGCCATTGCCGCTTGAACCTCTTCAAACTTTGGTGCTGCATCCGCCTCACTTCCTTCACCGCCTGATCCTCCCTCACTCCCTGCTGCGTTCTTCCCTTTCTTCTCGTCATACAGCTTCGTTGAAGCAGCGGCGTAACGTGCTGCCACCGCTTGCACTCGTGGCGTGCGGAGGGATTGGAAGGAGCGGAGAGCATCACTGGAAGGGATGGGAAGGAGAAGGGGGATGGAGGGGGGGTGGGCAGGGGTGGTGGTTGTATCTTCAGGTGTTCCAAGTCCCACTTGTGGCATGCTCTTGCATCACTGGAAGGGATGGGAAGGAGAGGGAGAGAAGATGTTGCTTTGAACTGTCTCACTGTCAGATGTCGTTTTGGGATGACACGGGGGTTAAAGGCGGAAAGGTGAGGCAGCAGTAAGGGTGGGAGAAGGATGGATTACGGTTTTCGGGGCACCAGAGGGGGAGTAGGATGGCACGACGAAGGGGAAGACGAGAGGGAGGGTGGGTGGATGCAAACCCATGCGAATGCGGAATGGTGAAATGGAGCAATAGAAAACAGACATCTCAGCAAAATTAACGGCATGCCATTACACCCACCCGGCATGTGACAGCACCCACCTGACAACCCACTAGACAGCCCACCTGACAGCCCACCTGACAGCCCACCTGGCATGCGAGTGCGCCCGGAGGCACTCCACCAGCTGAGCCGCATCCTCAAACGCCAGATTGGCGCCCTGCCCTGGCGTCACTGCATGCGCCGCATCTGGACAGACAGGAGGGTAATCCAGTGAAGGTGGGGGGGATATGGGGAGTGAAACACGAGCAGAGGAAGATTGGCCCACTGCCATATTGCTGGTCATACTTCAAGAGAGGTTCAAACAGTAATCCAAGTCTGTCACAAACAAGGGCATGTCAAATGATGACCATGCACGGTAGCAGACTGGGGCACCACACAACTTCGTTGGAGGCAAGAGTGGATAGGCTTTACCTCCAACGAAGACTTTCCAGATAGACTTGGCAGGATTGCTACACATTGTGCTGCTTAGAGAGTGTGTTCTTCATATGGGCATTCCATTTGCGATTATCCATGGCTGTTGCGACAACATTCCCTTGCTATGCCCTTCAAAATCTAAAGCGACGTACGTAAAATCCTGCTCGCGATCACCCCGACTGTACCTCCCAGCATGACACACTCTGCCCAAAAAAAAAAAAAAAAAAAAAAAAAACACCTACATCCCACACCCCATCACCTCAGGCATACCTCCCAGGAGAGCCGTCCTCCCTTTGACCCAGAAGGGCAGGGGCGACAGGTCGAGCACGCGGCGTTCGAGAATGAGGTCGGGGGGAGTGGCCTTGACCAGCTGAATCATCACATCCCAACCCTCGAATGCCCGTAGAATCTTCTCCCGTGCCTCCTCCCCCCCGCTGGACCGCGCGCTACTGACCGTCGGATCGGCGGAATCAACGAGCGTCAACACCCAGTAGAGCTTTCCTCCTCCAGTGTCGACGATGGTTGCAGTGCGGTTGAGGCCGATAAAAGAGAGAGCGTGCCGTGGCAGCAGCAGCTGCAGGAGGGACAGGCAGGACGGAAGAAGGGAGAAGGATGAAAGGAGGGAAGGCCTCGCAGCAGACGTAGCCTGCCTGCTTTATATTCTACAACAGCTGCTGAGAGGTTGAATTGACACTGAGTATTGTTCGTGTGTGGTAATTGAGAGCCCTCAGGAAACAGATAGAGAGGACTTGACTTTTGAGCAGAGTGAGAAGTCACCTAGAGAGCCCTCAGCAGGCAGACAGAGAGCACTTGCCACTTACCATACTGTGTAAGTCGCTTTTGCGAGCCCGCAGCAAACAGAGGTGTACCGAGCATAGTTTGTTTACAATGTGTGGCTTAGCAGACCAAGAGGAGGCACACACGGGGTGGGAACAGCGTGGCACATAGCTGGCCATGTGAGACATTCACCAGTTGGGAGCAGGGGGCACATATCGGGTGTGGGCAGAGGGGCACATACTGGGTGGGGGCAGAGGGAACCGTCGATGATGGCCCTCCATATGGTTCTGCCGTTGTCTCGCGGACTCAGTCCCTCTCCTGCTGCCCCGCCACTCCCATTGCGCCCCTCCTCCCCCCCCAGCAGCTGCTTCCGTGTCTCCGAGTGAATGCCGTCTGCCCCCAGCAGCACAGGGGTCTGGCGGATGGGCAGTAAGAATGGGGGTGGTGAAGAGGGGTGGAAAGAGGTAGAGGCGGCATAGAGTGAATGCAAATATTGGGAGAGAAGGAAAGGAGGAGGGCACATGATTAAGAGAAAACCCATGTCATCACCCCATGTCATCACCCCTTGTCATCACCCCAATTTATCAACCCACCCACCCTATGACACCGACATGACATAGATTGTCACCTCCCACCTCCCCACCCTTCGCCCTCAACCCGCCCTTCCCTCCCTTCCCCTCACTCCCTCCCACGTCCCAACCTTAGCACAAAACTATCCCCGCCTTAATCCTCTCTCCAACTCCTATCCCCCACTCACCTCCACCTCCAGCAAACGCTCTTCACCGCCGGAAACCGTCTTAAAAACGCATTTCACCGAGCCACCCCGCACGCCTGCACCACTCCCCTCGCCTGCACCACTCCCCTCGCCACCCCCTCCCCCAACTGCCTCCTCTTCTTCTTGTGTAAACCCCACGAGCTTGTGACCGGTGTGGACGGCATCGTTTGGCAGCATTCCCCGCAACACATCCAGCACCTCTTGCCAGCGGATGCAGAGCATGGGGAAGCCAAAGCGGGGGGTCATGTTGGACGAAAGGTCCCACTGGAAAAGAAGTTCTCCGGTTAAAGAGCGGCTGAGAATGGTAGGGTTTGGTACTCCACGGGCTATTAACTGCATGACATAGGGGTTGAAAGGGAATGTGTCAAGGGAAAGGAGGCAAGCAACAGCAGATAGTGAGGCGGTCATGTTGGGCGTGAGGACCCACTGGAAAAGGAGAGAGCGGTTGAGACCGGTGAAGTGTGGTATTTCACCGGATGTCAGGTGAGGGAAAGAGAAGGGGAAATAACACAAAAAGAAGCAGGTGAAAATGGTGAAAAGGAATGTGCAGAGCATTTCGAGCATGATTTGAGGGAGGCTGAGTGGAGGCCAGAACTTAAGAGGGAAATCAGCTGGAAAAGAAAGCGAGAGAAGAGGAAGTGGAAGTGGAAGAGTGGGGGCATACGCTGCAATGTTTGCTGGTCTTACTACATGGTTTTGCGGAATGCAAAGATTGATCGGACCTGACCCCTTGCACAACTATTACCAGCTCTGACATTGCTCACACATGCCTGGGGCACAATCGCAAGGTCGGTTCTTTTGAGGGCCTGAGCCATGCAGGCATCACCGTCACATGCAGGCATCGCCATCACATGCAGGCATCACCATCACATGCAGGCATCACCATCACATGCAGGCATCACCATCGCATGCAGGCATTACCATCGCATGCAGGCATCACCATCACATGCAGGCATCACCATCGCATGCAGGCATCACCATCGCATGCAGGCATCGCCATCACATGCAGGCATCACCATCACATGCAGGCATAACTAGCACATGCCTGGGGCACAATGGCAGGGTCGATTCTGTTGAGCGCCCTGAGCCCGTTGGGATAGAGGGTGATGAGGGTTCCCTCGCCTCCTCCCACCTCGCTGCGAGCCTCATACACCTGTGAGCAGGATTTGAGATGAAGCATGTTACAGGACATGCTTTGAAACGCGCTCCCGAGCCCGTTGGGATAGAGGGTGAGGAGGGCTCCCTCGCCTAGCTTCTCGTCCCGTGCCCCTTACACCTGCACGTGGGGATGGGCGCGAGGCATTGCATGTGGGGATGTGGCATCGCACAGAAATGCATGATGGCATGGCGGGTGGATGTGGGGATGTAACAATTTATCATGTTGTCGCATGGATGGTAGCATGTAGAGCCTGGGATGATAACAATGACATACATCCAGAGGAGAGAAGGAGCATGAAGTTTCCTACTGGCAGTCACAGCGCACGACCGGAAGCACGATAACATGATACATGCATTGGTGACATGGAATAACGAATCAGCCTAAATTTGAAGCATGAACCTCATAGTGCAACCGCATACACAATGGGAATGGAACATTGAAGGATCACGCATAGAAAGACAGGACTAGTACATTACGGTAACAACGCATCATAAATCCTAGCTAGTTACATAAATTCAGCACTTTTATCGGATTTCAATACATTTCCTTGATTCCAGCATTATTACCGTACCTGATTCCTGAGCCATGCCTGCTTCCAAATAGCATCCCACCTGCGCGTCAATCCCAAGGTTGCGGAGGCCGATAGCCAACGCAAGGCCAGCCAAACCTCCACCCACAATGACTGCCTCCGACACCGCTGGCCCCCCTGCGCCGTTGCTGCTGGCAGCGGCAGCAGAAGGAGCAGACGCAGACGCAGACGCAGACGCAGCAACACCCTTCCAACGGCATCTACGGTTGACATTGCGAGTTTCAGAAGGCCTCATCGCAAAATAACTCTCTCTAAGGAGGCCGCTGTTAAAGGTGGTGGTGCTGTTGCTGTTGCTGACGCTTTTACCGATGCAACCAGACGCATGACACTCAGCATGATGTGAGGCTCGTGTCTGGGAACGAATCAGCTGACAATGCGTGTTCCTGCTCAGAGATGGTGATACTGTTTTCCGTGATACTCCCGGAACGGAGGGCACGATGTGCGACACGGTAGCCATCCCGAAGCGTTTGAATATGGTGTTGCCACCAAGACTAAAGTCCTCAAGCCGTTCGTTTTGATAATACTATCAAGGAACCACGGAAACTTGGTCACGGACTGGTGGAAAAGGGCTGAAAAGAACCCCCGTAGATGATTCCACATGTTTGAAGGACTCCAGATCGGTTCATTAGAGGGCGAGAAAGCTGTGTCAGCAGGCCTTAATTCTTTAGTGCCGCGGAATGCCGCCGAAGCAGTATCCATGGCATCTCGCCAAGGCGGCAGGCTCGGGAGGGACGCTTTTCAAGCCAAGCCCGCACCTGGACAGCGTGTGAGTGGGACGGCTCGCCGTAGCTGAGTCTTCTTTGTTCGTCATCGCAGGACGAACCACAAATCTCGTCCTTCCATCTCTAGTGTTCACTACTTCGTCCTCTCAGGACGAACCATAAAAGGACGGCACAGGGGGGCTGGCTGGTTGGGAGTAGATTAGACACAGCCGTGCGCTAGCATTCAAAACTTTGAGACACAGGAAGTGACGAGCCAAATCTGCCTGGGTTTCTGGTCATTCTGCTGGTTTTGGTTCGACATGGTTTTTCGTTCATTCGCCGGAGCTATGGGTGGGAGCTTGGCTTGGCTTGGTTTGGGAGGCTCCAAGCCGAGTCAAAACAGAACCCAAGGCAAGCCCAAGGCCCAGAACGCAGGTGGCGGTTGGTGTAGAGCATACTTTGTGGGGACAACTTCAGCTGCAATCCAATTTAGCCAGCGCGGTTCGCAAATGCGATCCCCAGTGGAAGAAGCTGAGGGGTCGTTATCTTCTCGCGGTCAGAAAAAAATAAACCCCATCTGGATGGCATGCGATTAGGGGAGCCCCAACCCTAAACACGGGGAGCCCCAACCCTAAACACGGGCAGCCGCATGGTTCTGCCCGAAAAGATCGCATTTGTAAACACGCACTGCGAAGATTGGATCGCAGTTCGAATTGACCGTACTTTGTGGGAGCCCGGTTTGGCTCGGGGAAAACCAGCATTCACGGTTTATATCAGAGTGGGGCTGCTCGCCAGCACCATTATAGAAAAAAAACACGGGATACGACGGGATCAGGAAGGTGGGTCTCGCCTTCCTGATCCCGTCAGTTAGAGTTCGTTAGCCTGGTCAGCCCGTGAAAAAAGTGCCGAGCCTCACCTACCGTCCAAACCAACAAACAAAGTGGGCGTCTGGCGAACGCCCACTTTTGTCCACCAAATCTAACGCTTCGACGGCATATGGAAGCGGGGACGAAACTTCGTCCCCAGGCAAAACACCATCCCCTAGCCATGCCATCGCCATGCTGCGTTTTTCAAAGCACAGCGATGGCACAGCCGTCGCATTGCCGTTCAAAAGGGATCGGGGGGAAGGTGGGATGGAGGTTCCCAATGTGCGAAATTTCTCAACCGCAGGCGCACAAGTTTCTTAAACGGCATTACAGCCAAACCTAGGAGGAGGGTTCCGCCCCCGTTTCCATATGCGGTCGCGACGCTGATGCCGTCGTTTTCTGTTGAAGAAACGATTTGCTGGCGAACAGCACCAGTATGGGGCAATACCAAGGGTGAACATGTGGCGGTGGTGAAATGGTGAGCGAGAACCACATTTCCCACATGTCCGAGCCTCAAATGGCACAAATCATGTAGTGTTTCCACACTAGGTGATGTGATTAGCGCAAGGGTTCACCCACTATACATTTTATACATAGGTGCTATACATTTTATATCCCAACGGTGCACCCATTGCCAATTAATTAGTGTTTGACCCACTGCTTCAGCGGCAGAATTTCTGCCGCAGGCAGCACTAGCAGCTGAGTATGAGTTGGTTCACCAGGCCTGCTTCACCGAGCCCAACGACCAGAGCAGGTGGGGATTACGGGAGCAATGGGCCAGACGTGGTATTCCTTCTGAGTTAACTCAAAAGGCATCTCAATCCACAACCTTCACCACACTGGCCGTTTGCTTGTGCTGTGGTGGTGGGATTGCCTTCACCACACTGGTCGTTGGCTTGCGCTGCAGTGGTGGGGCTGCCTTCACCACACTTGGCGTTGCCTTTCGCTGCAGTGGCGGTTCTGCCTTCACCAAGGCATTGTTCACGTTCCGTTGCTCTTGACCTTGGCTGGAAGCAGCACCGTATCCACCGCATGGACAACAATGGATGGAATCGAGTACATGTTTCCAATCAAGACTCGCGCGCCCCAGGAGTCTTCAGCCCTGGCGATACACAGCCGATTGTCTGTTTGGACTTTCTTGATTGGAAGGCTACCAAGTGTTTCCATCTGCAACACAGCCGTGGAGGGAGGGTGGAGGGTGGAGGGGTGAAAGTGAAGGTGAGTATATAGGGAATATGAGGGAGTGGAGAGTAAGCGAGTAAAGAGGCGTAGAGACGTGATGAGCCGGGTGGAGAAAGAGGCGAGAGGGGCTCAAAGGAAATGGTGCTGTCTAAGTGACCACAAGGGATGGCACGGGGGAGCTGACTGTTTAAGTGAGGCAACATGCTGAATCATAAAAGCAATGACATGCAATTTTTAAGCTCACCAGAGATCCATTTCCAAGGGCCTTGAGGTCGTTCAATTCCATCCGACGTGGCAGCACATGATAGGCCATCACATCCCAGAGAACTCCCTTCTTCCTCTGCAGCCCTCCAAAACGCACATTCTTGGGCATGCGGAAGAACGCCCCATTGGTTGGTGCAAAGATGGTAACACCAGTTGTAAGCAGCGTATTCATGAGCGTCGCATTTAAACCTGGAGATTTTGGGGCAGGTTGGAGGGTACAAGAACGCACGGAATCGCAACAAGCAGAAGGATAGTATATAAAACGGGGAGAAAATGGTTCTGAAGAATGAGTCATATTTTACATGACATGGATAATGGAAGGGTAATACGGGATACATGTATCTTACTTCTGCCGATCCCCATTGCAGCTCCCGTGAATTTCCGCTCGAACAAAAATCCCACAACCCTGTTCACTTCAGCTATTGCATCCTGCTGCTCCACCGTCAGACTAGACCCACCCGCTCCGCCTGCCGCTTGCCCTTCAGAGCCAGCTCCTGTCCCCAAGCCTGTCCCCGAGCCTGTCCCATTGCCTGCGCCAGGTCCAGGGCCCTTAGAGCCTCCCGCCCCCGTCCCAACCCCCTTGCCTCCGCCGCTCCCCGTCCCACCCCCCTTGCCCGCACCGCTCCCCTTTCCATTTCCCCCGCCCGTTCCCATCCCTTTCCCCCCGCCCGTACTTGTTCCGTCGCCCGAGTCCAACCCCGTTCCTTTCCCCACGTCTGGTCCCACGTCTGTTCCCCCGCCCATTCCTGTTCCTTTTCCCCCACCCTTCCCCGTTCCTTTCCCCCCACCCGCTCCCCCCCCTGTTCCCCCACCCGTTCCTGTCCCTTTTCCCCCACCCGTCCCCGTCCCCTTTCCCCCACCCGTCCCCGTCCCTTTTCCCCCACCCGTCCCTGTTCCTTTCCCCCCACCCGTTCCTGTCCCTTTCCCCCCACCCGTCCCCGTACCTTTCCCCCCACCCGATCCTGTCCCTTTCCCTCCGCCCGTCCCCGTCCCTTTCCCCCCGCCTGTCCCCGTTCCTTTGCCCCCACCTGTTCCTGTCCCTTTCCCTCCACCTGTCCCTTTCCCCCCACCTGTCCCCGTCCCTTTCCCCCCACCCGTTCCCGCCCCTGTTCCCCCACCCGTTCCTGTCCCTTTTCCCCCACCCGTCCCCGTCCCTTTCCCCCCACCTGTCCCCGTCCCTTTCCCCCCACCCGTTCCTGTCCCTTTCCCCCCACCCGTCCCCGTCCCTTTCCCCCCGCCTGTTCCCGTTCCTTTTCCCCCACCCGTCCCCGTCCCCTTTCCCCCACCTGTTCCCGTCCCTTTTCCCCCGCCTGTCCCCGTTCCTTTCCCCCCGCCCGTCCTCGTCCCGTTCCCCCCGCCCGCCCCTGTTCCCTTTCCCCCGCCTGTCCCCGTCCCTTTACCCGCACCCGTCCCCGTTCCTTTCCCCCCACCTGTCCCCGTTCCCTTTCCTCCGCCCGTCCCCGTCCCTTTCCCCGCCCCCGTTCCCGTCCCTTTTCCCCCACCCGTCCCCGTTCCCTTTCCTCCGCCCGTCCCCGTCCCTTTCCCCCCACCCGTCCCCGTTCCCTTTCCTCCGCCCGTCCCCGTCCCTTTCCCCCCACCCGTCCCCGTCCCTTTCCCCCCGCCCGTCCCCGTCCCTTTCCCCCCGCCCGTCCCCGTCCCTTTCCCCCCGCCCGTCCCCGTCCCTTTTCCCCCGCCCGTCCCCGTCCCTTTACCCGCACCCGTTCCAGTTCCTTTCCCCGCGCCCGTTCCCGTTCCTTTCCCCGCGCCCGCTCCCGTTCCTTTCCCCGCGCCCGTTCCCGTCCCTTTCCCCGCCCCCGCTCCCGTTCCTTTCCCCGCGCCCGCTCCCGTTCCTTTCCCCGCGCCCGTTCCCGTCCCTTTCCCCGCCCCCGCTCCCGTTCCTTTCCCCGCGCCCGTTCCCGTTCCTTTCCCTCCGCCCGTTCCCGTTCCTTTCCCCGCGCCCGTCCTGGTTCCATTCCCCGTGCCGGTTCCCGTTCCTTTCCCCGCGCCCGCTCCTGTTCCTTTCCCCGCGCCCGCTCCCGTTCCTTTCCCTGCTCCCGTTCCCGTCCCTTTCCCCGCCCCCCCTCCCGTTCCTTTTCCCGCGCCCGTTCCCTTTCCTTTTCCCGCGCCAGTTCCCGTTCCTTTCCCCGTGCCCGTCCTGGTTCCATTCCCCGCGCCCGCTCCCTTCCCCTTTCCCGTGCCTTTCCCCGCACCCGTCCCCCTTCCTTTCCCCGCGCCCGTTCCCTTTCCATTTCCTTTACTCCCACACCCCGCTCCGCGCCCGTCATCGCCCTCTTCCCCCCGCCCGTCATCGCCCCCTTCCCCGCGAATGTCATCGTCCCCTTCCCCGTGCCTGTGGGTACACCCTTCCCTGCGCCCGCGCCTCTTCCGGCGGATTTTCTGGCTCCCGAATATTCTCCTCTTGCCAGCCGCTGCCGCCATTTCGATCAGCCTGATCGTGCGACCGGAATTGTCGGTGGACGATTTTACGCGAACTCTGCCGGACTTGTCGGCACTAGCAGACGATTTTTTAACATTCTTGGAAACCGCATTCAGCCTGCCGGCCGCTGCCGTCATTGCCGTCCGCTTGATCGTGCGGCTGGACTTGTCGACACCAGTAGTAGACGATTTTGCGCGAAGGGGGGAAACAGAGCCGCCCGGCTCTGTTCCTATACCGAGGTCGATGCTCGCCCCGGACGATGTGCTTATATCGAGAGATTCTCTCCGAGCCTTCATGGCGTGGGTCCGTTCCGAACCATCTGCTGCTGCGGCGGCGGCGGCGGCGGCGGGAAGCAACGGCGACGCCGCGACGAGGGACAGGAGGAGAAGGAGAAGCGGGATAAGGATTGGCAGGGTTAGGCGGCGGGGGGGTTGGGTGCGGTGCAGAGCGCTGTGGGTCGAGGGTGGTTTGCGGTGGCGGGTCGGAGTGATGAGAGGGGGGAAACCCCGCCGCGGATGCCGTTTGAACGCCATCGCCATCATCGGGAACATCGCCACCGTTGAGCTGCTGACGCGCTGCGACTTAATTGTTTAAGGACGCCTCTTAAATCAACGGTCGAACTTGTGATTGTTGGGTGTTGCGAGTTCGTGTGAACACGACCTGGCGACTGTGCGGCTTGAAGCACGCTGCTGCTGCTGCTGGAACTAGAGCGTGTCGATGAAACTTGGTCCACACAAGCGCAGTGGTAGCTCGGAGGAGGAAGTATGAGGTACCGCAGAGGTTCGAATTGATCTAGTACCGCCGCTCGCGCGGTCGTGAGCAAAAAGGCAGAGTCAGATACAAATAAGCTTTTGAGAATTCTCGAAAGCGAGTCAGGTTGAGCTAGTAACGCGGTTCGTGAGGTCGGGAGAAAATAGACCGAGTCACCTACTAGTACAAAAAGTCTCATCGTGATACGTGCGGGACGAGTCGCCATGGACGGTGTCTCGGTTCTACTAGCGACTCGGCCTGGTTATCAAGGGGTGCTTGTGTGGAAAGCTGTAAACAAGACAGGCCGCGAGAGTGGTCTCTAATGAAAATGACAGGCTGCGAGGGTGGTCCTTAAAAAACAAGACAGGCCGCGCGAGTGGTCTCTAGAAAGCAACGACACTGCGCGCCGTGAGAATGGATGCTGTTGCTAGATGAAGCAAGGGGGCGAAGGGGAGAGTGGGAAGCTCTGGAGCTATTTTATGGTGCTGTGGGGCATGATGGTGCCGCGGTGGGGTGCCCGACTCCGTAGAGAGTGACATCAGGCCCTACTACGTCTTGCGTACGTTCTCTGCGGTCTAATTCGTTGCGCCACGGTGCAAAACGGTAATTATCCAGAACCGCTTTCCACCGTGCGGAACCGTCTTGAGCCGCCAAGCGTAAGCCGTAAATGTACGACCGACACTTTTGCGATACAATTGTGGGGCTGGCTAGTGGGTGGGGGGAGGGGGGGGAAAGGAGAAAGGGAAGGGAGCTCTCTGCAGGATGGTGCTATGGTGTGGGGCACACCGTGGGGCACTCCCAGGCACGCCGTGGAGCACGCCGTGCGGCACGGTGTGGAGCGTTGTGGTGGGAGGCTTGTCCTACTGGCCCAGTGCAGAGAATTTGCGAAGCTCAACCATACCCGAACCACCGACAATGCCGAACCAATTGCTCAGAGCCCAGCAGGAGCAGGGAAGCAGCGAGAGGGCATGGTCGGGAGCCGTAGCTGGCCGTTTGGTTTGGATTTCCGAGCCATTTGCCAGACTTGCGGGTCAGTCAGGCCCACCGTGTCACCAACCAGTCTGGTGGCTCAGGAAAACCGTTCTAAAACGCACGATATCGTTTTCCAGCGCGTATAGTGATCCAAAAGTGAACAAAGTCTGACCTGCCATGAGTTGGTCAGGCCAGTGGGGAAGGGGGAGAGTTTTTCACTCGCTGGCTCAGTTGGGGGAAGCGGTGCGGAACCCAGATCTCCATCCCATCCCGAACCGCACGACAATGGTGGGATGAGGCGAGTCGAGTCGCCTGTGGATTGGAAATTTTGTTAGTTTCCATGGAATCGAGAAATCGTGCGCGTCGCCTCCGCTTGTCCAGCTCACTGGCAGTTCCCTGGTCGAAGCACTTTCCCAAACCCAACCTGTATATATCACGGTTCGTATCGGTATTATTAAAACTCAAGACGGTGCTGCGCGTTGAACCTTGCCGTTGAGAACAAGTGGAAGACAAACCCACTCGCCTCGCCACCATCCTTCAAAATGGTGCTCGGAATTGTTAGCCCCACACGGCACAGGCCTCCCCACATGACTTACGGGTGTCCCCACCCGCAATCACTTCACGACGATTGATAACGTTGTTTCAAATTATCCACCACTTTCACGACGCCTTGCTCCAACGCGCTCACAGCTTTCATGCCGCCATTGCCGTCGTTTCCACGTATCAGCTTTCTGTAGACGAACCTAGACAACTGATCACTCGATATTTCTACTCGCGAGCAGCATGAAGGGTGCTCAAACAATTCAATCCGCGAAGGCACCTCTCAGTTCTTTCTCCCAGATCTTACTTTCAAAGCGCTTCGACGAAGTTTTTCCAACAAACTCTCGTTCTAATAGCCTGGTTCAAGCCGCAAAGTCGCCAGGCCGTGTTCACACGAAAGTCACAAACCCTACCAGTTACAAGTGCGACCCTCGATTCAAGAAGAGGCGGCCGTAAACGACCAATATCAAACGGTTCAACAGCTTGGTCCGTAAACGTTTCAGCATATGAGCGCAATGATGGCGACGCCGACCAAGCATCCGCGGCGCGGACTTCCCGCTCTCGTCGTTCCGATCTGCCACCGCGAATCGCGTTCGATCGTTGCCGCTCTCCACCGCGCCCAACCCCCGCGCGGCCTAACCCTGCCAGCCCTGCTCCCCCTTCTCCTGGTCCTCCTCTCCCTCGTCGCGTCGCCGTTGCTTCCCGTCGCAAGAGCAACAGAGAAGAGTATTTCAGCAAGTGGCGTATGGAAAGCCATGCGAACAAGCGCACCATGGAAAGGAATATGGACGGGCGCGTGGAAAGGCATCGGAAAGGGAAAGGGAAGAGGTCCAGACAAGGGGAAGGGGAAGGGGAAGGGGAAGGGGAAGCGGATCTGGCGCGGAGAGCGGGACAGCCCCGAGCGGAGGCTGGGGGACTGGTTTGGGATCGCAAACGGGAAGCTCTGACGAGAATCGCGGGGAAGTTATTCGCGGGGGAGGAAGCGGGAAAGGGAACGGAACGGGGAGCGGAGGGCAACCGAGCGGAGGTGGCGGAAGTAAAAACCCGTCAGATCTGACGGTGGAGCAGCAAGCAAAATCGGCTGAAGTGAACAAGCTTCTGGGTTTTTTGAACGAGCGGAGATTCATAGGAGCTGCAATGGGAATTAGCCGAAGTGGTAAGCAATAACTCCAGTAATCCAGTTGCTGCATGTATTTCACGATGCAACTTTGCCGCGTGGTCATGTATATAATCGATGTATTGTTTTGTTTGTTGCATTTGTTTCCCGTTTCTGTGTCCCACAACCTTCTCCGAATCCCACAGGTTTAAACGAGACGCTTGCGGATACGTTGCTTACAAAAAATGTTACAATCTTTGCGCCAACCAATGGGGCGTTCTTCCGCATGCCTAAGAATGTGCGCTTTGGAGGACTGCAGAGGAAGAAGAAAGTTCTCTGGCAGGTGATGGCGTATCACGTGCTGCCACGTCGGATGGAGATCAATGACATCAAGGCACTTGGAAACGGATTTCTGGTAGGTTTGGAAAAAAAATCTTGCTTTTCATAGCCTGCATGTATTGATCGGTAACACTATTCCCATGCAGTTCCTGCCTCTCCTCTTCTCCAAAACTTGCTCGTTGGGTCCCTTCAGTCTGTTCAACCATTCACTTCCCGATCCCCTCATATCCTCCACATGCTCACCTCCAATTTCACTTTCACCCTCCCTACACCTTCCACAACCACAACCTTATCTGCAGATGGAAACACTTGGTAGCTTTTCACTCAAGAAGAACGAGACCAACAACCAGCTGTGCATCGCCAGGGCTGAAGAAGGCTCCTGGGGCGCGAAAGTTTTGATCGGAAACATGTACTCCAGCCCATCAATTGTTGTCCATGCGGTGGATACCGTGCTGCTTCCAGTTACAGTCAATAATAATGGCACCTAGCCAACGTCTTCGTGAAGGCAACAATTATGCATCTATATGGAAGAAAAATCTAGTTGTGTAGTATCTCCTTTTTGTATACCCCCCCCCCCCCCCCCCCCCCCCCCCCCCCCCCAGCCCCCTAGGTACAGCTTTTGGAATTTTTTTACAGTGGCCCATACGAATGAATATTTTGTTAAAACTTTTCGTTGAACTGCCCTTGGTTTTAGTGTACCCAACTTGTTGACAGCAGTCCACCCCTTACCTGCCTAAACCTTTTCTTGAGGCTCCCTTTCTAGTCCCCTTTCTTGGAGCTCCCCTTTCTAGTCCCCCTTTTCTCTCGTCAAGCTTCCAGCTCAAGCACACATGCCATATTCACAAGACTAATTAACATTTAGGATGTATTCTACATTTCTGGTGAGTGTTGAAGTTAGTTGAAAAAAAAACAAGAGGCGACGGAAGTCGTCGTAGGGTTGCGAAGCTTTTTCAAATTGGAAAAACAATCGCTAAAATAAGTTATTGGTAAGGTGATGTCCAAGAGATTCGAACCTAAAACCATTCGGATCTTAGTTGTCCATTCGGTTCGCGCGTTTTAATTTGACGTCAAGTATCAATGCGACGAAGTTTGCATTCCCTAGGGTTTCATTTCTTCCCCAGCAGCAGACGCTAGTTCTTGCTTGTCTTCTCTCCTAGACACACTGGTATGTTCGTTTTTTCCCTAGATTGCATCTTCGTCAGCTCAAGTATATAGTTGTCGCGATATAGTTCCCTGTCAAGATAGTAGCTAGAGGTGAGGAGCCATGCTAGGGTGAAGAGGAGAAAGTGACGAGAGAGTTTAGGCAAGGAAAGAGGTGTTTCACTATAGCACACAAGGTACATATAGCAAAGCAACAAAGAAGGTGCACCACCAACTCTTAATAATAATAACTACAGTACCTACAGCACGCAGGGTATATATTAAACATATTGTTTGACACACCCCCTTAGCCTGCGTGCGGTAGAAACTGGTGCAGCCAGCACCCCCTGAACGAGCAAACCAAGCGCTGTGGAAGAAGGCAGAGAAGTGAGGAAGGTGAGAGGAGAGGAGAGAAGAGGAGAGGAGAGGAGAGGAGAGGAGAGGAGGTGGGGGGCCAGGACCGGCGGACCCGCTTACGAACCTCCTTTTACAAAGGGGAGGTGAGAGAGGGAAGGGAGAGGAGGTGGGCTAGGCGGGCTTGAGCGCGAAAGCTCATAGCGATCCCCCCCCGTTAAGAACCCCCAAGTCCCGATGAGGAGAGGAGGTGGGCTAGGCGGGCATGAGCGCGCACGCTCAATGCGATCCCCCCCCGTTAAGAACCCCCTAGTCCTCACCCCCTCGTCACTCAACCCCGTCAACCTCACACCTTCCGCACCTGTCTTCTCCCGCCACCCCCTCACCCTTCTGCACTTCTCTCCCCCCCCCCCCCCCTACAGCAACAGTTGCTGCAGGGAGAGAGGAAGAGGGAAGAAAGGAAGGAGTGGCAGGCTCCTCACACCCGCCCCCCCCCCCCCCCCCCCTACAGCAACAAGTGCTGCAGGGAGAGAGGAAGAGGGAAGGGAGGGAGGAGGTGCTGGCTCCTCACAACCTCACACCCGCCACCCCCACATCTCCCCCTCCTCCCCCCCCCCCACGACGGAAGCAGTGGAAGGGAGGGCGGGCGGGAGGGGGCAGGGCGGCGGTAGCTGCTACTGGCGCTGGCGGTAGCTGCTGCTGGCGCTGGCGGTAGCTGCTGCTGGCGCTGGCGCGGGCGGCTGGCGCTGGCGGTAGCTGCTGCTGGCGCTGGCGGTGGCGGCTGGCCGCGGTGGTTATTATAATATTCTCCTCATTTGACTTACTTTCTTTTCAATTTTCTCCACATTTTGATAATTCTTTTCTTCTCTCCCCTCTTCCTTCTTTCCCTCTCCTTCATTCGGTGCCTATTTGTTTTTCCAGATTTCCTTCTGGCTTTCGTTCCAGATGTGTACATCTGCCAAGATTACTTGTGAAGTGGATAGTAGTGGTAATCTGTAGGATTGTTTTGTATTGCATGTTTTGTTGTTTTTAGAGTTTTTTGCATATACGGTTTTTTTTTCCGTTTGTGTGAATGTGTGAGATCTTGTATATGTGTTTGTATGTGTGTGTGTGCCTTTGTGTGTGTGTGTGTGCTGTGGCTGTGTGCATTCATCCGTATCCATTGCAATAACAACGCACGTCTTTGATCTTTAAAAAGAAATCTCAAATCTATCATTTCACAAAAGGTTCATTGGCGCACTCAGTGACTCGTGTGCGACCACTTCGAACTGGATTTGATAGAGATGACTTTCTTTTTAGATTTCACAGATCGTGTTGTTTCATGTGGTAGTTGATTATTCAAAAGCTAAGCTATTTACCTCCCCCCCATGCTAGGCAGGGGACGGCGGTAGCTTAGTTTTTGGGTTTCTAAATGTCACGCATTTTACCATGTGCATGCGCATCATTCATGATATATCACACGCATTATATAGCATTATTTATGCATTATGCATTGTATAGCATCATTTATGCATTGTGCATGCATCAATTTATTATCACACAACACCATTCAACAATAAAACATATACGGTAATGCAAACAGTACAGCAAATCTGCACTAAACAACTGCAAAAAAATTCATATGGTCTAATACACTGTGAACAGTACCGTAGTCAAGACTGCTTAACATGCATACAGTATGGGAAGGGTATTACTGTAGTTTGCAAATTTTATTTTCATGTTTTAACAAAAAATATAAACATGAAAATAAAATTTGGCAAAATCGATCGTAAAGGGTTGCTTCGCAACCCAAAAACTAGCTGATTACATCCGAATCATACTCTAGTCATCACATGAGTATACTCGTCAGCACCCACGTTAGATATTTTCTGTAGTACGGTTGAATAGCACAAGTGGAGCGGCCCGCATGTCCCCCGAGTCCCGAACCCCAGCGATTGGTTTGGGTTTGGCGGGGAAAGGCAGAGAAAGCCAGTCAGCCACACACACCAGCTTCCCTTACCTGACAGACAGTGGCGCGATGAGGCGAGTCGCGCGTCGTCTGAAGCATTTGTTGGAACTTTTGAATCATGCTCCAAGTCCATTCATTTTTCACGGTTTGTTTTGTTATGTTGCGATGCTGAACGGTTATGCGCGTTTAACCTAAGAAAGCCGTTGATGGCGAAGAAACAAACCCACCCGCTTCGCCATCCGTTGATACTTCCCTTCCCTGCAACCCACAGGATTGTCGGCGAGATTCTTCAGCGTCACGCACAGGCCCACTAGCATTTGACTCTCATGTGTCCCCAACCAGCTGCTAAGTGTGGTAGGCAATAATCCGCATTCGCTTCACGACGCTTGTTATCGTTGTGTCTGCCTAACACACCTCTCTTCACGAAGCCTTGGGCCAAGGCGTGCTTGCTGTCTGATTCGTACTTCTCACAGCTTTCATGCAGTCATCGCCAACTCAAACTATCAGTTGAAGAACGCAGACATTGTCAACAATGCGTTGTCTCTTGGGTGCGGCACCCACGTATCAACTCAGTCACTCGACATTTCTGCTCAAGAGCAGAATGAAGGGTGTTGAATCAATTCGACCCTTTAAGGGCCCTCTCAGATCTAAACTCAGCTATCACTTTCAACGCGCATCGACGAATTTTTTCAGACGTCTCGTTCTAATTCTAGAAGCAGCGTGGTTCACGCCGAAGCCTCAGGCTGCGTTCACACGGCGAAAGTCACAACCCCGACCAGTTACAAGTGCGACCCTCGATTAAGAAGCGTCCGTAAACGACTAACTTTAGTTCGTAACGATTTGAAATCGCAGCCTGTAATCAGCTCAGTGAAGGATTTGCCATCGGAGATGATGGCGATGATCCCGATGGCGTCCAAACATCATCCGCGGCGGGGACTCCCCTCTTTCGTCGCTCCGACCCCCCACTGCAAATCACGCTCGACCGACGCCGCTCTCCACCGCGCTCAACCCCCGCGCAGCGTATCCCTGCCAGTCCTGCTGCCGCTTCTCCTGGTCCTGCTGTCCCTCGTCGCGTCGCCGCAGCTTGCCGACGCGCGAGTAGCGGAGAAAGGTATTGTAAGAAAAGGCTCATGGAAAGCTATACGGACGGGCGCATGGAAAGAATTTTTGACAGGCTCGTGGAAAGGCAGGGGAAGGGGAAAAGGCCCAGGCACGGGGAAGGGGAAGGGGAAGGGGAAGGGGGGGGCAAGCTCCGGAGGGACCGGGATAGGCACGGATACAGGAGCTGATTCTGGCTCGGGCGGCGGCTCGAAGACTGGTTCGGAATCGGGTAGGTCTGGCGGGAATAGGGGAGGCGTAATCCACGGGGGGGGAAGCGGAAAGGGGAACGGAACGGGGAGCGGAGGGCACTCGAGCGGAGGTGGCGGAAGTAACAGCGGAGGCGGAAGTAACACCGGCGGCGGAAGTAACACCGGCGGCGGAAGTAACACTGGCGGCGGAAGTAACACCGGAGGCGGAAGTAACACCGGCGGCGGAGCAGCGGGCTCTGGAGGCCAAGCGCTAGGCGGAGCGGCTGGGTCTGGTCTGACGGCGGAGCAGCAAGCAACGTTGGCTGAAGTGAACAAGGTTTTGGGATTCTTGAACGAACGGAAATTCACAGGAGCTGCAATGGGAATCAGCCGAAGTGGTAAGTTGTAATCCTGTCGCTACATGTATTTCAAAAAGCTATTTCAGAGGAACTATTTATCTTGACGCTACATGTATTTCAGAATGCTATTTCAGAGGAACTATTTATCCTGTCGCTACATGTATTTCAGAATGCTATTTTACTGCATAATCGTGTTTAGAATCCATGTCTTCCACTTCAAATCAGCAATCCTAATGTTTGTTGCTATTCTGTCCATTTTTGTGTCCTCCAACCTTCTGACTTTTACAGGTTTAACTGAGACGCTTATGAATGCACTACTTTCGAACAACGTTACAATCTTTGCACCAACCAACGGGGCGTTCTTCCGCATGCCCAAGAATGTGCGTTTTGGAGGGCTGCAAAGGAAGAAGAGAGTTCTGTGGCAGGTGATGGCCTATCACGTGCTGCTACGTCGGATGGAGATCAATGACATCAAGGCCCTGGAGAATGGATTCCTGGTAAGCTTGGAAACTTCTCTTGCTTAGCCTGCATGTATTGATCGTTAACTCTAGTCCCATGTAGTTCCTCTCTCTCCTCGTCTCCAACCAGGCCTATTGGCATTCTTCGCTTCCACCCATTCCCATTCCCCTCATACTCTCCACATACTACTCACCTCTAATTTCACCATCCGTCCTACACTTTTCACAACCTTATTTGCAGATGGAAACACTCAACAGCTTTTCACTCAAGAAGAACCAAACAAACAACCAGCTGCGTATCGTAAGGGATGAAGAAGGCTGCTGGGGCGCAAGAGTTTTGATTGGAAACATGTACTCCAGCCCATCAATTGTTGTCCATGCGGTGGATACCGTGCTGCTTCCAGCTACGGTTAATAACAATGGCATCTAGAGAATGTCTTGCTGCAACGCGCGCTGAGGCGCCGACAGCGGCGGGTTATGCGGCGCTGCTCACGGCATCTAGAGAAGGCAACAATTATGCATCTCAATAGAAAATAGATTAGTTGTTGTGTAGTACCTTCTTACTGTATCCCCCCAAGTACAGCCCCCAAGGTACAGCTCTTTGGCCATTTTTTTGGTGGCTCATATGACATTATATTTCTAAATAACCATATACCATAATTTATATACAACTGTCCTTTGCATTAACTGTAGGGTAGTGTACCCACCCAACTTGTTGGTGGTTGTTACAGGTGCAATTGAACGAGCGAGTGAAGATTGCACTAATGAGTCGAACGAGTACCAATGAGCTGACCAAGCAAAACTGTAACATGGTGTGTGCCAGGTAGCTAGTGCGTTGTTAGCAATCAGGTTCGGGCTAGTCCCGAGGAATGTCAGCACCAGCGTTGGATATTTTCTGTAGTACGGTTGAATGGCACAAGTGGAGCGGCCCCAAATTCCTCCCGAACACCATCGATTGGTTTGGAGTTGGCGGGAAGAGCAGCAAAAGGCAGCCACACACCCCACATTCCCATCCCTACCTGACAGACAGTGTGGCGATGAGGCGAGTCGCGCGTCGCCTGAAGAATACAGTATGTTGGAATTTAGAAATCGTGCTCAGAGCCCATATTTCACGGTTCGTTTCGTTGCTTCGCGATCTTTCACGGTTCTGCGCGTTAAACCCTAGAAAGCCGTTGCCAGCGGAAGGAAAAAAACAACCTGCTCGCCTCGCGCAAAACCTCACCCTGGGTGCTTTTTCTGCAACCCTGGAGATTGACGGCGAGATGGTTCAGCGTCACGCACAGGCCCACTAGCATTCTGTGACTCTCAGGTGCCCCCACCCAACTTCCAAGTGTGGTAGGCAATAATCCGCATTCGCTTCACGACGCTTGATATCGTTGCTTCTGCCTAGCACGCCTTTCTTCACGAAGCCTTGGGCCAAGGCGTTTTTGCTGTCTGATTCGTACTTCTCACAGCTTTCTTGCCAACCGGAAGTGTCAGACATTGTCAACGCACCCACGTAACTCAGTCGTTCGATATTTCTGCTCACGAGCAGCATGAAGGGTGTTCAATCAACTCGAACCTCCAAGGCACCTCTTAGTTCCCTCTCCGAGCTATCACTTTACGACGAAGTTTTTACGACGCGCTCTCATTCGAGTAGTAGCAGTAGACGTGTGGTTCGATCAGCAGAGTCGCCAGATCGTGTTCACACGAGAGTCACAAGTGCGACCTTCGATATAAGGGGCGTCCGTAAACGAATAAGACGCGACTCGGCATCAGCTCGATGGTGGCGATAATTCCGATGATCATCGACGCGTCCAAACGACATCCGCGGCGGGGTCTCCCCTCTCTCGTCATTCCGACCTGCCACCGCAAATCACGCTCGATCCACGTCGCTCTCCACCGCAGCCAACCCCCGCGCGGCCTAACCCTGCCAGCCCTGCTCCCCCTCCTCCTCCTCCTCCTCCTCCTTCCTGTCCCTCGTCGCGTCGCCGCAGCTTCCCGTCACAAGTGCAGCGGAGAACAGTATTTTGGAAACAGGCGCATGGAAAGCTACACAAACGGGCGCATGGAAAGCTAGTATACGGACCGGCGAATGGAAAGATTTTTTTACAGGCTGGTGGAAGGGCAGGGGAGGGGGAAAAGGTAAAGGCCCAGGCAAGGGGAAGGGGAAGGGGGGGGGAAGTTCCGGATCTGGCGCGGGGAGCGGGACAGGCACGGATACAGGAGCTAATTCTGGCACGGGCGGAGGCTCGAAGGCTGGTTCAGAATCGGGACCGGGTAGGCCTGGCGGGAATAGCGGGGGCGGAGCCAAGGGGGGGGGAAGCGGAAAGGGGAACGGAACGGGGAGCGGAGGGCAATCGAGCGGAAGTGGCGGAAGTAACGGAAGTAACGGAAGTAACGGAAGCAACGGAAGCAACGGAAGTAACGGAAGTAACGGAAGTAACGGAAGTAACGGAAGTAGCGGAAGTAACGGAAGTAACGGAAGTAGCGGAGGTAGCGGAAGTAACGGAAGTAACGGAAGTAACGGAAGTAAAGGTCTGACGGTGGAGCAGCAAGCAAAAATGGCTGAAGTGAACAAGCTTCTGGGGTTTTTGTACGAGCGGAGGTTCACAGGAGCTGCAATGGGAATTAGCCGAAGTGGTAAGTCAAACCTCCAACACGTGTTTCAGAATGCAGCTTTACCGCGTAATCATTTTCGAAGTCCATAACTCTCAGCAATCCTTGCGATTGTTCTTTCTTTTTTTGTGTTCTGCAACCTACTCCAAATGCTGCAGGTTTAAATGAGACGCTTATTAATACGCTGCTTACAAGCAACGTCACAATCTTTGCACCAACCAACGGGGCGTTCTTCCGCATGCCCAAGAATGTGCGTTTTGGAGGACTGCAGAGGAAGAAGAAAGTTCTCTGGCAGGTGATGGCCTCTCACGCTCTGCCATGTCGGATTGATATCAATGACATCAAGGCCCTTGGAAATGGATTTCTGGTAAGCTTGGGATTTTTTTTTTCTGCCTTTTTACAGCCTATTCCCATGTAGTTCCTCTTTCTATTCTTCTCCAGCCCTGCTTGTTGGATCTCTTCGCCTCTTCACCCGTTCACTTCCCGTTTCCCTCAAATCCTTCACATACTCACCTCCCATTTCACTATCTGTCCTGCACCTTTCAACAACTTTGTTTGCAGATGAAAACACTTGATAGCTCTTCACTCATGAAGAACGAAACCAACAATCGGCTGCGTATCGTCAGGGCTGAGGAAGACTCTTGGGGCTCGAGAGTTTTGATCGGGAACATGTACTCGAGCCCATCAATTGTTGTCCATGCGGTGGATACCGTGCTACTTCCAGTTGCTGTCAAAAACAATGGGATCAACGCTTCGGAGTAGGCTACACTTATGTAAATGCATCTTAATAGGATACGGTAAGTAAATAATTGTAGGGAAGTACCTTATTTGTAGCATCAAGTGTATAAGATAGCTTACCGTAGAAGAGTGAGCTGAGCATGGGATCAAATTTATTTATTTATTATTTATTTCTGAACACGGCTAACCCCAGCCATTCCAGATCTTATATTGACCCCCCCAGAACGTTAACCACCTCATTGAACCGCATTCAGCGCATCCGTGGCTGCAAGCAGCTCTGTTTTCGAAAGAGAATCCATATCCGCTCTGTTCCATGTGTATTGAAAAAATTCACGCACTCTTTCTTATAACAAGTCGCGGGCAGTCTGTACTCGCGATATCATGAGCGAAGTGACAGGAAATTTGTTGTAGGTTGACAGAATAGTGGTGTGTTGTAGGTCGACAGAATAGTGTTGTCGCGCATTTTTTCCGCTGCGGTGTTTCCTCATATTTCCGTGCGTCCGGTTTTTTTTTAAGAATTTTCGAAAGCTTTTCCACGCTCGTCCGCTCACCCCAAGTAAGACTCTCGTACTGGGGCGTAACAGCTTGCCTTGTGGGTCTAATTTCGTATTAATCTCGTAACGCGCGATTAATTGCGGGTGCAACAGGAGCTCCAGAAACGAATTCTTACAGATGCGTACGAAACTATTCTAGGGTTAGCTGGCGATGGGAGGGTGGGGATAACGAAGGGGAGGACATTACAGCCTATCCTTCCCCACGGCCGTCCCGTCCCTCTCGCATTTCGCGTCCCTCGCAATTCGCGTCCCTATGAGGCCCTTCGAGCAGACGCGCCATTGCGCGCCAAGGCCGCGGGCGGTGGCTCTCATTGACTCCCCTTCCTCTGCCTCTCCCCGCTGATTGTACCGCAGCAACCAGTCACACAGAACCACGTACCGCATGGCACCGAAGAAGGCCCTTCGAGCCGACGCGCCGTGGCGCGCTAAGGGCACAAGCGTGGCCCTCATTGGTTTCTCTTTCCCTTGCGCTCCTCTTTTCCACTGATCTTATGCAGCAACCACACCCACACACATACAAACCCTATGGCACCCAAGAAGGCCCTTCGAGCCGACGCGCCCTGGCGCGCTAAGGGCACGGGCGTGGCTCTCATTCGCTTCCCTTCCCTTCGTTTCCCCTCCTTACTCTGCGCTTTTGCAGCAATCAAGCATCCATACACAGTCAGTATGGCTCCTCCTAAAAAGGCCCTCAGAGCAGATGCGCCGTGGCGCGCCAAGGGCACGGGGGTGGCTCTCATTGGCGGGCCCCCGCTGGCGACAGTGCGACGCGGGCCCGAGTTTGACTATGCCATGAGCATCATGCGGGTGTGTGGGCGGGTGCATGCGTGCTGTGAACTGACTCAATAGAGGGGGTTTTGAGTCGACTCATCGCAGTGTTTTCCAACAGTGCAACACGGGGCAGAGTTTGACTATGCCATGAGCATCATGCGGGTGGGTGGGCGGGTGAGGCAGCGAGGTTGTGAACTGATTCAAAAGAGGGGGCTTTGAGTTGACTGACTCATAGGACCATGCTGTGCTGGCGACAGTGCGACGCGGGCCAGAGTTTCATCATGCCATGAGCATCACACTGCGGCATGTTCACTGCTTGGTCACTGCTTCCTTCTTTCCCATTGATTAACCTGCCCCTTCCCCCTGCCTCCACTCTTCTCCTTGCCCTTTCCCCCATCGCCCCTAGCAGCACTCAGACCCCATAGGCACGGGGTTGGCGGAGGAGGCAGGGGGGGAGTTGGCATGTTCTGTCATTCCTTCCCTTCCCGCTTGCTTCCCCTCACTCCTGCCTTTCCCCCCCCACCATCCCCCACCGCCCCTAGCAGCACCCAGACCCCATAGACAAGGGGTTGGCGCAGGAGGCAGGGGGGAGACAGCCGGCAGGGGAGGACTGCCTCCCTTCTTGTCAACCTGCCTCTTTCCTCCGTTCCCCGTCTTACCCTTTAACCCCCTCCCCATTCCCCCAGCACCCAGACCCCATAGGCATGGGGTTGGCGCAGGAGGCAGGGGTGGAGGCAGCGGGGGAGGACTGCCCCCCTTTTTGTTCACCTGCCTTCTCCCCTCTTCCCGTCTCCCGTTTCCCCCTTCCCCCCTCCCCATCCCCCCAGCACCCAGACCCCATAGGAATGGGGTTGGCGCAGGAGGCAGGGGTGGAGGCAGCGGGGGAGGACTGTCTGGTGCCGGGGCTCAAGCGGCCTGTCATTGTCATGGGCGTGCAGGTGGGTGCAGAGCGGTGCAGTCGGGTGGCTATGGGTGGCAATGGGTAGAGATGGGCGTAGAGTGATGATTTCACTCGGTTCTTACAATAAGGCAGTTCTGTGAGGTCAGTTGGGCGGCAGGGAGGACTCCTGGTGCCGGGGCTCAAGAGGCTTGTCATTGTCATGGGCGTGCATGTGGGTGCTGAGTGGTGAAGTTGGGTGGCAATGGGTAGAGATGGACTGCAGGGGAGGACTCCTGGTGCCGGGGCTCAAGAGGCTTGTCATTGTCATGGGCGTGCATGTGGGTGCTGAGTGGTGAAGTTGGGTGGCAATGGGTAGAGATGGACTGCAGGGGAGGACTCCTGGTGCCGGGGCTCAAGGGGCCTGTCATTGTCATGGGTGTGCATGTAGGTGCAGATGGGTGGGGAAGGGTGGTGATGGGTGGAGATATATGGAGATGGGTGGAGATAGATGGAGATGGATGGAGATAGATGGAGATGGGTGGAGATAGATGGAGATGGGTGGAGATAGATGGAGATGGGTGGAGATAGATGGAGATGGGTGGAGATAGATGGAGATGGGTGGAGATAGATGGAGATGGGTGGAGATAGATGGAGATGGGTGGAGATAGATGGAGATGGGTGGAGATAGATGGAGATGGGTGGAGATAGATGGAGATGGGTGGAGATAGATGGCGATTGATGTCCAGGTGTGTGGAGATGGTTGTTATTCCAGGTTTGGCCACTTGAAGAAATTACATGTATTGATAACTGGGAATACATTTATAAATTTTTTTTCGGTAATTCGACGGCGACACGACCTACTTTCACGGAAAGCCATTCAGCAGCCTCCTTTCCTTGTCGTCTCCTCACTTGTCTTTCCACCGCTCCTCGCCCCTCCAGGTGTGGCCACTGAAGGTCAACAGCCCACTCTCCTGGAAGGCCATCAAAACCTCGTCCATCTGTGTCTTACCTGCACCCCCCCCCTTCTCCCTTTCTCACCGCTCCCAACCACTCCAGGTGTGGCCACTGGAGGTCAACAGCCCGCTCTCCTGGAAAGCCATAGAGCCTCCCCCATGCCTTTGCTTCCTCTATCCCCCCGCATCTCCTCCCACCTCTGCTCTCTGCTCTCATCCCTTCCCCTCCCCCCCAGGTGTGGCCGCTGGAGGTTAACAACCCGCTCTCCTGGAAGGCCATCGAGCCGATGGCGCGAGAGCTCAAGACCGTTTCCAAGGTGGGGTGCGGTGCGGTGTGGTGGGATGGGGTGGGGTGCGGTGGGGTGGGGTGGAATGGGGAGAGGATTGGGAAGCACAGCTGGGTTGTCTTGTCCCGCGCCAACAGCCCCTTCTGCCACTCCAGGTGGGGCCGCTGGAGGTCATAGGGTGGGGTGGTGTGGGATGGGGTGGGATGGGATGGGATGGGCTGGGGTGGGATGGGATGGGCTGGGGTGGGATGGGATGGGGTGGGGTGGAATTGCGCGGGTGGAGTGGGATGGGTGGGAGGGAAGGCGGACGTCAGCAGGGAAGTGCTGAGTCAAATGGACAGGAGGAATGGGAAGGGAGGAGAGATGAACCCCTCTGCTGTGGCACCGTCTTTTGAGGCGCCTCAAGGCCACTGGAGGTCATGGGGTTGGGTGGGGTGGGATGGGATGGGAGGGAGGGAAGGCGGACGTTTGCAGGGGAGTGGTGAGTCGTCAAGGGGTTGGGTGGGGTAGGATGGGATGGGTGGGAGGAATGGGAAGGAAGGTGAGATGAACCCCGCTGCTCAGGCATCGTTGTCAAGGCTTTGAAACAAAAGAACGCTTCTTTTTTCCTCTCTTGATTCACCTTTCCCCCCCCCGTTCCTCCTCCCTGCTCACGCCCCTCCGCACCTGGCCCCCTCCTGTCTTTCCCTTCGTGCTCCTTCCTTTCTTCCCATCAAACTCTTCCTTTTTTCCCCGGTGCCTGTCCAGCTTGCAGAGAAAGCCATTGACCTCATGAACACCCCTCTTTCACTCACCTCTTCTCCTTTCCTCTCTATGCCTCTTCTGCTCCTCCCCGTCAACTCCCCCTCCCCCCCCCCCCCCTTCCCCCTGTCCTCCCGCCCCCTTGATCTCCTCTGTGTCTGTGCAGCTTGCAGAGAAAGCCATTGACCTCATGAACGCCCCTCTTGGCCGCTGATGTTACAATCTCAAATACCGGTAACAAACAAGATGCTTAGGGGGTAATTAATTATCTCCTGCGCACAAATTAGGGCCTGCACTGCACTGCCTCCCTCCCCGCTCAGGCTTTCAGGCCAGCACAAATTGAGTACTTTCAAGTAACAGCTCCTGTAGGTAGGTAGGCACTATAGTAGCAAATCAACCTGAAATGTAGGTATGCAGTCCTGCTCTGGGTGCCAAAGTCAGGCCCTTGTCTGTGCTCGAGAGGCAAACTGTTGCTGATAGAAGAGCAAGGAACAGCAGCGGGGAATCTGTGGTTCCTGTGATGGAAGACAAACTGTTGCACATGTTCCCGTAACAACGAGGATTCATGTGGGTTGACCATGGCTGTGAGAGCTTGAGGGTACATTCCTAGCTCGTGTCTGACATCAGGTCATCCGTCCTTAGAAATTCGGAAGACCCGAAGTGGTTCGAAATAGGGGCAAATCAACATTGGGAAGAGACAAATCAGAGACTAAGGGCGGATGACCTGATGTCAGACCCGCCATAGGAATGCACTCTGAGGCGCCTCAAAACATGTTCCGGTAACGGCGAGGATTCCTGTGCTTTGACCATGGCTGCTGTGAGAGACTGATGATTCCACATTCCAGCTTCCAATCCAAAGCTCAGCACCGCACGCATCAACCATACAGACTTCATTTTCCACCAAGTCAGCGTCTCCTGCACACCGCGTGTGTATGACCTCTTGTTTTGTTGAACGTGGCACTGGCAGTACGTTACTTGCACAAAAACTTGTTGCCTGCCTTCACTACAAGAACACTGCCTTCACTACAAGAACATCACCTTCTATACAAGAAGGTTGCCTTTATTGGATCGGGGGGTCCACCTTCCGCTTTCCTGACCCTCGCCGGAAGCACCACAGCACAGCATGCACGGGACGGGCAAGGGTCAACTCAACAGACTCGAGGATGGGTACAGTACGGTTCATGTTGTGGATGGGAGCGAGCGACGCCAAAGAGGGTTGGTTTGTTCGCTTCACTACACCGAGGTCCACGTGCCGTTGTTCCTGACCCTGGATGGGAGCAGCACAGTATCGATCGCATGGATGACGATCGACGGACTCGAGTACATGTTGCCGATGAGAACACGCGCGCCCTCCGTGTCCTCCAACCTGTATAGCTTCAGCCAGTAGTCTGTTTGATTCTTCTTCAACGGTAGCTTGTCGAGGGTTTCCATCTGCAATCAAAAGTGATAAAGGGATAAAGGGATAAGATTGGAGATGATGAGTGTTCGGGGGGTGTGAGGTGAGAGGTGTAGGTAGGAAATGATTCACATTATAGAAAGGATGTGAATTCACAAACTTACCAGATACCCATTCCCAAGGGCCTTAATGTCATCGAGTTCCATCCGACGTGGCAGCACGTGATAGGCCATCACCTGCCAGAGAATGCTCTTCTTCCTCTGCAGCCCACCAAAGCGTGTGTTTTTGGGCATGCGGAAATATGCCCCGTTGGTTGGCGCGAAGATTGTAACATTGTTTGTGAGGAGGGTATTCATTAGTGTCTCATTCATACCTGCACATATGAAACAGGTTGTGGGGATGGAGGAAACAAGTCACACAAACAACGTTAGCGCGGATTTGAAGTATGGCTTATGTGGTATTTTGCGTACGACATACAGTACCAGGCATGAACAGAGAGCGTAGTGTGATATTCATATACCGATAAAGTTTATAGGAGATGCAACTCACCGCTCATTCTGATGCCCGTCGCAACTCCCGTGAATTTCCGCCCATACAGAAACGCTAGAACCTCGTTCACTTTCGCCAGCGTTGCCTCCTGCTCCACCGTCAGGTTAGACCCTGGCGTTCCGCCCGAACCTCCGACCGAACCTCCGCCCGAACCTCCAGCCGAGCCTCCGCCCGAACCTCCGGCCGAGCCTCCGCCCGAAACTCCGCCTCCGGAGGCCGTCCCCCCTCCATTCTGACTTCCGCCTCCTCCACTCGCTTGCCCTCCGCCACCTATCCCTGTTCCGCTTCCTGTTCCGCTTCCTGTTCCGCTTCCTGTTCCGCTTCCTGTTCCGCTTCCTGTCCCCCCACTCGCCGCCCCCCCGCTCCCCGTCCCGCCCGTATGCCCACCAGTTTTCCCTCCGCTCCCCGTCCCACTCCCCGATCCGCTCCCCCCTCCGCTTCCCCCTCCGTTGATCACATCTCCGCCACCCCCTGACGACCTCCCGGACTTAGATCCAGCGTCCGCCCCCGAACCAGTTCCCGAGCCTCCACCCGTACCTGTTCCTTTCCCCGAGCCAGATCCCGAGCCCCTTGAGTTCCCCCCCCCTTTTCCCTTCCCCTTGCCTGCACTGCTTCCCTTTCCTGTTCCCGTACCTCCCCCCGCAACTGACCCCGTGCCTCCTCCCGTGCCTGTCCCCGTGCCTGTCCCTGTGCCTCCTCCCGTGCCTGTCCCCGTGCCTCCTCCTGTGCCTGTTCCCGTACCTCCCCCCGCGCTGGTCCCCGTACCTCCCCCCGCGCCTGCTCCCGAACCTCCCCCCGCGCCTGCCCCCGTACCTCCCCCCGCGCCTGTCCCCGTACCTATCCCCGCGCCTGTTCCCGTACCTGTTCCCGTGCCGCTCCCTGTACCTTTCCCCGTACCAGTCCCCGTACCTTTCCCGGCGCCTGTCCCCGTACCTTTCCCCGCGCCTGTCCCCGCGCCGGTCCCCGTACCCTTCCCCGCGCCCGTACCCGTTCCTTTTCCTGCGCCTGTCCCGGTTCCTTTCCCCGCGCCAGTCCCGGCTCCTTTCCCCGCGCCAGTTCCTGAACCTGTGCTTGTCCCCGTACCTTTCCCCGCGCCTGTCCCGGCGCCTGTCCCCGTACCTTTCCCTGCACCCGTTCCCGTACCCTTCCCTACGCCTGTCCCCGTACCCTTCCCCGCACCCGTTCCTGTACCCTTTCCCGCGCCTGTCCCCGTACCTTTCCCCGCGCCTGTCCCCGTACCTTTCCCCGCGCCTGTCCCCGTACCTTTCCCCGCGCCTGTCCCTGAAACTTTCCCCGCGCCGGACCCAATTTCCGGCACCTTCCGCTCTCCGGTTGCCGTTCCAGTACTTCCACCAGTCCCCGCGCCCCTGCCTGCGCCAGAACCCATCCCTGTGCCCGCTGATTTTCCGGTTGCAGAAGATTTCCCCGTACCGGCCGCTGACGTCATCGCCATGAGATCGATCGTGCGATCAGAGCCGTCGGTGGCAGATGCGGATTTTACTGATAGCGGGGAACCGCCACCGCCCATCTCCGATGGCATACCGAGGTCGGTGCTCACGCCGAAAGATGCGACGGAGGGGAGCAGCGGCGACGCGACGAGGGAGAGGAGGAGCAGAAGGAGCGGGAACAGGGCTGACGGGTTCAGGCCGAGAGGGGTTAGGCCGAGTTGGAGTAGGCGGCCGAGCGGTTTGGAGTTCACGGCGTGGCGAAGAGCGTGGATTGAACATGCGCGGGTCGAACGTGACATGCGGCGCGGATGCGTTGACGCCATGGCTGCTGTCATCGAGTTGATGATGCGCTGCGTCGTAGTCGGTTACGCAGGCGCGTAATAGGAATCGCTGCTATGAGTCCTACTAACTCGTATTCGAAAGCCTTTTAGCAGGATCGAGGCAAAAGTCGAAAAGGAGATATATTTGCTACGTCTGTTATTCGTATGGAAGGTTATTGGGTCGGCTGAATCACCTTTCGAGAAGGAGATTCGTCTTTGCTAAGGCAGTGACAGCTTGGAGTCGACTTGCGAATGCGTATTAGAGGTAATCCGAGAGGCACACCCGCTACACCGAAACACTGACGAAAGGTATTTATACCTTCGTGTGAGCAAATACGCCGAACTGCCGAGGTTGATACGTGATATGCGGAACGCGCTGACGATGTCTGGGTCCTAGCGACTCGACTTATCGAACAAAAGGACATCCATGGAGAGTTGCTATTTCAGAAGCGAGAGCGCCTCAGGTCGCAAGAGTGGTCTGATGGTAAAAAGCACCAAAAGCAAACGTTGTGAAAGAACACCAGTTTATGCAATGTGGTAGCCGGATGGGTAGCGCTGGAAGGTAGTCGAGTCCTAGTGGGCCAGTGACTTCGCTGCAGAAGCATCTCGCTGACAATACCATTGTGAAAGTCGGCCAAGCCGAGCAGAGCACAAGCATGCTGGGAAGGATGCTGGTGAGGAGAGGGTGAGCTGGGTCGGGGGTTGGGTGTGGGGGAGTGGGAGGGAGAAATTGGCAGATTCCGGATTTCCAATTTCCAACAATATCTCTCGAACCTCGGGCGACTCGCCTCACTTCGTAGGTGGAGTGTGGGCTGGGTGGCTAGCTACATTTCTCCCCATTCATTTCCACGACACCAGCGTCCTGAGAGCTAGGCAGCGAGTTGCTGAAATGTGGCCGACGCGTGGGTATCATGCGACTCGGGAGGGAGGCCAGACTGTTTGGGTGAACATTCGAAATTTGTCGATATTTTTGGCACCTTGGCTTTTCAGGTGTATCTGTGGGACAGCTGTACACTGCCGGTTCGGCAGACTGTACAGCTGGGGTACACGTGGAACCTTACAGGCACTGAACGTGCTCCAGCAATGTGCTGACGAGGAAATGTCCGCTCCATTGAGTGTCTCAAATTCTATACACTGCGGTGCACTACTTGTAAGAGCGAGTGGCCATGTTTTGGAAGATAACGTGACAGTGACCCTGATGGCTGTACTTGTTTGTGACTAACTTCGGAGAGCAGCCTGTTGCAAACAATAGCCTACTCATAATACACCTAGTCGCGTCTATTTAAGAAACACAAATACGCTTGCATAACTCCATTAAGTGGCTTCACATTTTTTTTTAAAGGTTCTCGACGCGCTGCATAGAAGTTAGGTTTCGATTGTTTACATGATATTTTGGCATTGCCAGTGTTGTCCATTTGTCAATGAAACTTTTGATAATCCTTGTGTCCAATATATGCGTTTACGCCAGCTGTTTGCTGCCCCATGCAGAAAATCGAGAGCGACAGAACCGATGCTATGGACATGCTATCTTGGTGTTTCCCTCCAGCTGTAGCACTTCTTCCCCCGCGCAAAAAGCGGCTTGTATCTAGGCTAGGCATGGCTGGTTGTCCCTCGAGTTTCGTACTCGCGCGTCCCGCCCTAGAGGCGTTTAGATTCCATCGCTGCACATCGAGCAGGAAAGATAAAGTATCGTCGTGACGTTCTATGTACGCGCTCGCTTTTGTCTCGCCTCGCCTGGTTCTTCGATTATTTCCTCGACTTCGTATTTTCCAGCGAAATAAATTTGCGGTTTCATGTACGCCAATGCCTTCCCCTCTCCGGTTCGGAATCGCAGTCGATCTTCGCTAGAAGACAGAGGAAGCCGAAACTCGCTGCAAGAGTTCTCGTTAGAAGAAACAGGCCTCAAATCGCCATCTTCACCACCACCTGCATTCTCGAATCCCGCTTCCTCCGCCGCGACCGCCGCCGCGGCTGCAGTCACAGCCCTCCTCCCCGCATCAGGCGGCGTTTTTCCCCGTTTAAGCATGTTTCGTTCTAGTCCCGTATCGGGCGGCAGGTACGTCTCTCAAGTCCGGCCCGAGCCGCGCGGCGGAAAGGACGGCGGCAGCGACATCGACGAAGGCGACTCCGTCCACGGCGAATCTTCCTCGCTGCTTCGCCCGGACGCGAAGCCGTTTCCTACGCCAACCGCTGGTGCTGGGGGGCTCTTCGGCGGGTCTTACGGCGGCGGGAGCGGCGGCGGCGGCGGCGGCGGCGGCGGCGGCGGCGGCGGCGGCGGGTTCAGGAAGGGGAAGCGGAGACTAAGAACGTTGGCGGCGTGCGCGGCGCTGGTGGTGGCGGCGCTGGTGGTGGCGGCGTGCGCGGTGGTCGACGTGGCGGACGCGTGGCTGGGATTCGGGGGGACGCGACGCGCGGCGGGGCTGGAGCGATGCGTGCCGCAGGACATTCCAGGTAGATGCAGGGGGAACGGTGGTGAACGGTGGTGAGGGGTGGGGAGCGGCTGGGATTCGGGGGGACGCGACGGGCGGCGGGACTGGAGCGATGCGTGCCACAGGACATCCCAGGTAGGTGGAATGGGAATGGCAAGGAACGGTGGGGAACGGCGGGGAGCGGTGGGGAATGGTGGGGAACAGTGGCGAATGGTGGAAACGGCGGTGCAGGTAGTTGAGTGGGCGCAGGGACTGCTTCTGTCGGAGCATGACTCTTGCGCCCCTTCCCCCTTCCCCCTTCCCCCTTCCCCCGTCCCCCGTCCCCCGTCCCCCGTCCCACACAACACCGCAGTGCCATCACTGGCGGAGATGGCAGTGGAGGAGAAGGTGGGGCAGATGATGCAGATAGACGAGCGGGTAGGGCTGGTGGTGGTGGTCGTGCTGCTGTCTCATATCTCTTTGCGTCCCTTGCTCCCCTCCCCTATCCCTCTCCTCTCCGTGCCAGTACCATCACTGGCGGAGATGGCAGTGGAGGAGAAGGTGGGGCAGGTGATGCAGAAAGACGAGTGAGCGCTGCTGCTGCTGCTGCTGCTGCTGCTGCTGCTGCTGCTGCCGCTGGGACATGGATGGCTCATGGACGAGTGAGCGCTGCTGCTGGCACATAACTCTTTCTGTCCCTTGCTCCCCTCCCCTATCCCTATCCCTCTTCCCTCTTTGCCAGTGCCATCACTGGCGGAGATGACAGTGGAGGAGAAGGTGGGGCAGATGATGCAGATAGACGAGCGCGCGCTGGGATACGGAGGCAACATTACAGTGTACCATATCGGATCAGTTCTTAGGTGAGTGAATCCTTCTTAGGTGAACCCTTTGGGATACGGAGACAAAATCACTGTGCACCATATCGGATCAGTTCTCAGGTGAGTGAGTCCTTCTCTCAGGTGAGCCCTTGCTGCAGAGCAAGCCTTTTCCTGCTGCCCCTTTCTTGGGCTGGGAGGCAACATTACAGTGTACCATATCGGATCAGTTCTTAGGTGAGTCCTCCTCCCCACACCCTCGCCTCGCCTCCGCCCCCTCACCCCTTTACAAACTCCCCCACAAACTCCCCCACAAACTCCCCCACAAACTCCCCCACAGACTCCCCCACAAACTCCCCCACAAACTCCCCCACAGACTCCCCCACAAACTCCCCCACAAACTCCCCCACAGACTCCCCCACAAACTCCCCCACAAACTCCCCCACAGACTCCCCCACAAACTCCCCCACAAACTCCCCCACAGACTCCCCCACAAACCCCCCCACAAACCAAACCCTTACTTTACACTGGAAGAGGTGGTGGGTGGTCGCAGTTCGCCCTCAACACCCCAACAGCATGGGCGGACATGGTCGGCAACTTTCAAGCCATCCAAGGCGCTGAGCATTCGTCTGCTTCCCTCCTCACCATGTTGTACTGCATTCCCCTCCTGCCTGTGTTGTCCCTCCCTCCAATTTCATTCCTTTCATCCGCCAGTGGGGGAGGGGCATGGCCACAATACGCCCCCAACACCCCAACAGCATGGGCAGACATGGTCGATAACTTCCAGGCCAAGGCGCTTAACACGCGGCTGCGGGTGCCGGTGCTGTACGGAGTAGATGCAGTGCACGGGCATAATAATGTGCAGGGGGCGACTATCTTCCCCCACCACGTGGGGCTGGGCGCTGCTGGGAATGCGAGTCTCGTAGAAGAAATCGCTGCTGCTGTTGCGAAAGTGAGTTCAGGTCAGGGCCTTGTGGGAGGTGCCTGAGCGTTGAGGCCTGAAGGTTCAACATGCGCCTGCGGGTGCCGGTGCTGTACGGGGTAGACGCAGTGCATGGGCATAATAATGTGCAGGGGGCAACTATTTTCCCGCACCACGTGGGCCTGGGGGCTGCTGGCAATGCCACACTCGTAGAATCCATTGCTGCGGCTGTGGCAAAGGTGTGTAGGGACGGTTGTGACCTGCGAGTGCTGGTACTGTACGGAGTAGATGCAGTGCACGGGCACAATAATGTGGAGGGGGCGACTATTTTCCCCCACCACGTGGGATTAGGAGCCACCGGGAACGCCACGCTTGTTGAAGAAATTGCTGCAGCCGTTGCAAAGGTGAGGTGAGACTGTGACCTGCCAGCACCTCTCCTCAGCACTCTGCGGGTGCTTCTGCTGTACGGGGTAGACGCGGTGCATGGGCACAACAATGTGGAGCCACCATCTTTCCACACCACGTGGGAATAGGAGCCACGGGGAACGCGAGTCTTGTTGAAGAGATTGCTGCAGCTGTGGCCAAAGTGAGCTGAGGTTGCTGTGACCTGCCAGCACCTCTCCTCAGTCACCACGCGGCTGCGGGTGCTTCTGCTGTACGGGGTAGACGCGGTGCATGGGCATAATAATGTGCAGGGGGCGACCATTTTCCCCCATCACGTGGGGCTGGGGGCTGCTGGGAACGCCACCCTGGTTGAAGAGATTGCTGCTGCTGTTGCCAAGGTACGAACGATTAGGTCAAGGCGTTGTGGGAGGTGCCTGGTACGTTGGGGCGTTGAGAAGTGAAGTTTCGGGCCAAGGCGTTCAACACGCGGCTGCGGGTGCCGGTGCTGTATGGGGTAGACGCAGTGCACGGGCACAACAACGTGCTTGGGGCGACTATTTTCCCCGTGCTTGGGCCACGTGGGGCTGGGGGCTGCTGGGAACGCCACACTGGTAGAGGCGTTAGCAGCTGCCGTTGCTAAGGTGAGCTGAGACTGTAGCTTGCTAGCACCTCTCCCCTCATGCACTTTTGTACGGAGTAGACTCGGTGCATGGTCACAACACTGCGTTTGGCCGACCATCTTCGCCCACCACGTCGGGCTGGGCTGGGGGCTGCTAAGAACGCCACCCTGGTTGAAGAGATTGCTGCTGCTGTTGCCAAGGTGCGCTGAGATCATGGCTTGCGTGCATCTAGATGCTGAACCTTGGTCTCCCCTGTCGGCTAATTCCTGCTAATTTCCCACCAGCTCTTTCAGGAAGTGGCAGCAACGGGAGTGCAGTGGACCTTCGCCCCTGCTGTCACTTTGTGCCTCGACTCAACCCCCGCTGGGGCAAGTACTAAACATCAATCCGTCAAAGCCCTTTGCCGCTCCCTTGTCCTCCAACCCACGTTACCCCCCCCCCCTTCCAGGAAGCGGCAGCAACAGGAGTGCGATGGACCTTCGCTCCTGCCGTCACCGTGTGTCTTGATCCCCGCTGGGGCCGCTGCTATAAGAGCTTTCTTTGTACACATCAGCTCTAACTACTCCTCTAACTACTCTCCTTTTCTCCCTTCCCATTCCAGGAAGTGGCAGCAACAGGGGTGAGTTGGACCTTCGCCCCTGCTGTCACTGTGTGTCTTGACCCTCGTTGGGGCCGCTGCTACGAGAGCTATGGGGCTTTCCACACATCAGCTTTAAGTGCCCCCCTCTCCGCCTTCCAACCCCACCCATTCCAGGAGGTGGCAGGGACAGGAGTGCGATGGACCTTTGCTCCTGCCGTCACCGTGTGCCTCGATCCCCGCTGGGGCCGCTGCTATGAGAGCTATGGGGCGGACCCAGGGCTTGTAACAGAGCTTGCTATAGCGGAGATACGTGGATGGATGGTGAGAGATCGTTGATTGGTTGGAGGGAGGGGGGGAGGGGAGAGGGATGGGGAACGAGAAGGTTGTTGTGTGTGTGGGGGGGGGGGGAGGTGGGGTGGGGTGGGGGGGGGGGGGTCTTTCTTTCTTTTCTAATATGCAAGTACTTTGAAGCTACAGAGCCATTTGTCTTGCTTCTTGTGCAACATTATCACAAAACTACAAACTTTTATTGAATTACCGTCTTCCTCTTTTATTCCCCCATTCTCCCAACCCCTCAGAAAGTGCCTCCCGAGGCAGGGAAGTTTCCAGGAAGCGTCTTCATGGCGCCAACAGCAAAGCACTACGTGGGGGATGGGGGCACGAGGGGAGGCGTGGACCGGGGGGAGACGGTGGGGGGGGAGGCGGAGCTGAGGAAGGTGCATCTGCTGCCGTACGTGGCGGCTGTTGCGGAGGGCGTTTCGACGATCATGGCGAGCTACAGCAGCTGGAATGGTACCAAGATGCATGGCAATGGGTGAGTGAGTCTGTGAGCTACAGCTGGGGGTAACGGGTGTGTGAGTGAGGTACAGAGGGCGTGTATAGGGGGGGCAGAGGGGGGGTTCAGCTGTAGCAGAGGGTGCGTTCCAGCAGCATGGCGAGCTACAGCAGCTGAAATGGCACCAAGTTGCACGGCAATCGGTGATATCTGAAACGCGCTCACCTCTCTGGCCATGCTTCAGTTGCACACAACCTTGTCTCATTTTTGCCACCCAGTCACCGCTCCCCCTCATCATCCCTTCACCCCTTAACCCTCCACCCTGTCACGTTCATGCCTGGCTGTCTTTCATCCTCCTATCAGCTATCTTTTGATGAAGAGTACTTTTGTGAATTCTCGAAATTACTCTACGACGTGCTTCGTAAGGAGCTGATAGGAGGATGAATGGAGCTGGGCTGGTTGTCTTTCTCATGGTGTCTGACTGGGCGGAAACCTCCACCTCTCTTCACCTCTCTCCACCGCTTTAACACCTCCCTCCCCTTCTCCAACCAACTATCTCCCGACGGACGTGCTTCGCAAGGAGCTTGGCTTCGTGGGTCTCATGGGACTGGGAGGGAGCCGCCTCACAACCTCCATTCACCCCCCGTGCACCCTACCCTCCACCCCTCCACCATCCCCCCTCACCAGCTATTTCTTGACAGACGTGCTTCGCAAGGAGCTTGGCTTCGTGGGTCTCATGGTGTCTGACTGAGAGGCGAACTCAGGGACTCAGAACCTCCACTCGCGTCACCACCCCTCCACCCCTCCATCCCCCAACTCATCACCCTCCACCCCTCGCCACCCCTCCACTTCCCGCCCCCACCAGCTATCTCTTGACGGACGTGCTTCGCAAGGAGCTTGGCTTTGTGGGTCTCATGGTGTCTGACTGGGAGGCTCTCAAGGAACTTCCAGGAAGCTACGAGGATCAGGTGGGTAGAAGGGCCTTTTGGCTCGTTTCACCTCTCTTTTTTTTTTTTTTCTTTTTGTTTTTGTGCCCCTTAGTTTTCTCCCATGTGCGTTCCTCTCGCTCCTTCTACCCCCCTGAGAGTGAACTCACGTGCTTGTTTCGCCAGTACGCCTTCGCCAGTTCCTCTCGCTAAGTTCTCTCTGTTTTCACCTTTTCATGATATCTTCCTCCGTGTTTCTCCCCAACATCCCCAGGTTGCCATGGTAACGAGGTGACTTTTGAGTCGACTCAAAAGTCCCAACATCCCCAGGTTGCCGAGTGAATTCTGAGAATTCTCAAAATTCACTCGCAAGGTATGAAGTCAGGTCTGGTCTTGACATCATGATGCTTCCCAACGGTTTTGGCGATTTCCCAGCCACCCCCATGTCCCGCGTTGTTAATCCCATCTTTTGCCTGCCATTCTCTCCTTCCCAACATTCCCAAGTTGCCGGGGAAATGAAACGAAGTCAGGTCTCGATATAATCATGCTTCTCATTCCCAACGACTTTACTCATTTCTCTCTTTTTGTTCTCTCTGTTTTTTCCTTTAAAACGTTTCACCCCAACATCCCCAGGTGGCCCTGGGGGTCAACTCGGGTCTCCATATGATCATGGTTCCTAACGACTTTGCCAATTTCTCAGCCACACTCACCGCTCTAGTCAACTCGGGGCGCGTTCCCATGTCGCGGATCGACGAGGCCGTGTCGCGCGTTCTCTCCCTTAAACACTCCCTAGGTCTGTTTGACAAGGACTTGGTCTGTGCGCGTCACTCCTCCTCCTTCTTCTCCTCCTCTTCCTCCTCGCTCTCCTCCCGCTTCCTCCCGTTTTTCGGCTGCTCGGAGCACCGCCAACTTGCCCGAAAAGCTGTAGCAGCCTCGCTGGTGCTTCTCCAGGACAAGTGGAGGAGAGGGGGGACCGTAAGTGGGTACAACACTGCAGTATGGGGGCGGGGCAGGACAAAAATGTTTCCGCTGCCCGTGGACGGGGCGAGAATCGTTGTCGCGGGCAGCCATGCAAACGACATTGGGAGGCAGTGTGGGGGATGGACTATCACATGGCAAGGAGAGGAGGGTCCTATCACCAAAGGCACTACTATTTGGCAAGGGATTAAAGAGCTAGTAGCCGGCCGGGCGGCGAGTTTAACCTATATCGGTTACCCGCCTGAAGACGACCGTTACGAGAACGGCACAAGGAAAAGGCCGGTCGAAGCCACCCGGGAGGCAGCAGCAGCGTGGGCAAAGCGAGCAAGGAGTGTAGAGGCTGACCTTGGGATTGTAGTTGTAGGGGAGCCACCTTATGCCGAGTACAAGGGGGATAATCAGCAGCTGGAATTGAGCGGCCCTGCCCGATCGACAATTTTCGGAATTTGCGGGCGGATTCCTTGCGTTGTGGTGGTGGTTTCCGGGCGGCCGTTGAATGTTACGGGAATGTTACCGCATCTAGACGCGTTAATAGCCGCGTGGTTACCCGGGTCGGAAGGAGGGGGTGTGGCCGACGTGTTATTTGACGAGGCGGTGGATTTCAAGGGTAAATTACCCTTGCCGTGGTTCCGTTCTGTCAGGGATCTGCAGCCGGATCACTCTTGGCCTAACCCCCCTTTGTTCCCCATGGGGTTTGGGCTGAGTAAGACTGGTGAATCAATAGGTAACAGGGAGGGAGGCGAGGGGCCACCATAGAGAGGGGTGGAGAGGGATTCACAGCCAAACCACTCCCTGGGGCTGAAACCCCCCTTTGTTCCCCATTTTACAAGAGTAGGACTGGTGATGGGATAGGTACCACGGAGAGAGGAGAAGGGGCGGCATCAGGAGAGGCGGGCCAGCATAGGGACAGGAGGTGGTAGCGTAGGATAAAGTGATTGGCAGCGTACAGTATAATGGTACCATGCAATGTGGTAATTACCAGCAGAGCAACTGGTTACGACTGGTTACCATGTGATCAGTCCGTCCCAGGCGCAAGAGTGCATATTTGGCTGGTGTATTGTAGTGTATTGTATGGTACCGGTAGTTGAAGCATCATGAGTTACTGTACTGGGTGTGTTTGATAGGGAAAGGATCAGAGGGTGTGATTAGATGCATGTCTATTGTGTGGGGTGGTGGTGGGAGGGATTTGGTGTGCGTGGGTGGGGGTGGGGGGACCTGTTTGTACATGTGTGCAGGATGTGTGGATGTGTGGGCCAACGGGTGAGGGATGGATACCCAAGCACTCATTTTTATTATAGAATCCTGGTCACTGTACTGAACGTCCTTTTTTGTCATATGTAAGTGTAATCCAGTACATGTTGCATATCCAATTGCCTTCTAACAAACTTCACAACATGATACACAGGTTGGTGGTGGTGGTGGTGTGTGGGACACTTTGACTTGCCTGTGTGTAATAGCAGCCAGCCCACTTCGATTTATATACACTCGGAATTTGCTAGAACTTGGAAAGACCTTGCTGCCTTGCTTTGCCTGCTTCACCAGGTGCACGCTCAGTGGGCCATTGATAATATTCCCAGCTGCCGTTCCGCACCCAACCATCCGCCTACTGCTTCTTTGGTCTCTCAACTCAAGCAGCAGTTTTGAGAGGGGGCAGGGGCGTTCCGGGGTGCATCCTCCTCATGTGCGCTCTCAGTGAGTCACTGTTGAGCCCTGCTGCCTTGCTGCACACGCCACAGGCACATACTACACACTGCCTGTCACGCACCCCTTCAAGAAGCAGTTTTGAGAGGGGGCAGGGGCGTTCCGGGGTGCATCCTCCTCATGTGCGCTCTAAGGGAGTCACTGTTGAGCCCTGCTGCCTTGCTGCACACGCCACAGGCACATACTACACACTGCCTGTCACGCACCCCTTCAAGAAGCAGTTTTGAGAGGGGGCAGGGGCGTTCCGGGGTGCATCCTCCTCATGTGCGCTCTAAGGGAGTCACTGCTGAGCCCTGCTGCCTTGCCACACACACCACACACCCGCACTGTTGGCCTGCTCACTCGTCCCCTTGGACACCAGGGCAGAGCGAGCGGCGTGGGAGAGGCAGAGGCAGAGGAGGGTGGTGCAATTGCTGCAGGAGCAGAGGCAGGGCTGGAGGGGTGAGGGGTAGGAGCAAGAGGAGGAGCGGTTGAGGTGGTGGCAGGAGGGGTGAAAACATCAGGGGCAGCAGCAGCAGCATCAGCATCAACACTGATATAGGGGGTTGTAGGTGCTGCAGGAACGGCAGCAGAAGGGGTCGCAGCAGCAGCAGCAGTGGCAGTGGTAGCAGTATAAGCAGTGTCGACAGTACTGGTATTTGTCGGCGTGTCGCAGGGAGGAGTTGGGACAGCAGTGGGAGAGGGGAGAAGAGGAGGCGGAGGGGGAGGAGGGTGGGGGGGGAAGAGCTGTCTATCAAGAGCCACGAGCTGGCGAAGGAAGGCGGTGTTGGGGGCGGCGTGGGGGTGGGCTGAGTGCAGCACCACCCATGCCTCCGCCAGGGGCATGCGTCTGGGGGACAGGGAGAGGGAGAAAGGGCAGAGGGTGGGGGAAAGAAAAGGGGAAGGGAAGAAGAAGAGCAGGCCAACATTTTAAAAATGGATGAGCGAATACCAATCAGTCAGCACAATTAATTTGCTCAACTCGCACAACAAGGTAACATGAAGCGCACACCTACACTGATGATGGTTAACTGCCATACTAGAAAATAGAGCTGCCGTACCTCTCGCTAAACCACCATTATTTACCATACCACTTAGTCATGAGCACAGTGCATACCTCTTGTTCATCACAGAAGCGAGCACCATACCTCTTGACCATCAGATATGCCAGCACAATGGAGACGGATCGGCCTGCGGCCCTCATAGAAGTGCACCAGCATGAGCAACACGGACGCCAGCAGATGCTTCTCAACCCCCGCACATACATACCAGTTGGTGATCAGATAAGCCTGCACCGTACCTTTTAGTCATCAGATAGACACGGATCGGCTCCGGCCCTCGTAGCAGTGCACCAGCACCCCGCCTTGTGAGTGCCTGGTGATTGCCGCACCTCTGAATGCTTCTTAACCGTTGTGCCCACTGTTTATACCTCTTGACCATCAGATATGCGAGCACAATGGAGACGGATCGGCTGCGGCCCTCATAGCAGTGCACCAGCACCGGTGGTGGGTGATTGCCATACTCTGAATGTTACTTAACCACTGTTCCATTCATAAATACCTCTTGGTCATCAGATAGGCCAGCACAATGGAGACGGATCGGCTGCGGCCCTCGTAGCAGTGCACCAGCACTCCTCCGTCGTGAGTGCCTCGTTATTGCCATACCCCTGAATGCTTCTTACCCCTCACCACCAGCGCCCGCTTGTGTGTGCTGTACAGACATACCTTTTAGTCATCAAATAAGCCAGCACGATGGAGACGGATCGGCTGCGGCCCTCGTAGCAGTGCACCAGCACCCCCTCGCCCTTGCTGATGGCAGCTTCCAGGAAGCTGCTCGTCGTGTCGATGTACTTGCTCAGGTCCTCCCGGTCTGAGTCGCGCATCTGATTGGGATTGGCAGGAAGGGAGTGGAGTGGGGTGGGGGGCATGGAGGCAGGTAGGCAGTGAGCAGCTTTTGAGCAGTGTCAAAAGCAACTATAGCACAGCTGCTCGTCGTGTCTATGTACTTGCTCAGATCTTCCCGGTCTGAGTCGCGCATCTGATGGCGGCAAGGAGGGAGGGAGTGGAGTGGGGTGGGAAGGGGGCCATGGAGGCAGGCAGCGAGCGGCTCTTGAGCAATAGTGTCAAAAGTGACTCCAACACAGCTGCTCGATGCCTCTATGTACTTGCTCGGATCTTCCCATTTTGAGTAGCGCATCTGATGGGGGCAGGAAGGGAGTGGAGTGGGAAGGGGGTAAGAGGGGCAAGGAGGGACGAGGAGGGGCGCGGAGGGGCGAGAAGGGGCGCGGATGGGCGAGATGGGGCAAGGATGGAGGAGGAGGGGTGGTGGAGAGAGGAGAGTTGAGAACGAGGGAGTTCAAGTGAACGCATATGATGAGGACGGGGGAGTTGAAGCACCCCCCGCGTCAGGGTCCAGCAGGTCGGTGGAGCAGAGCGTGACAACATGGAGCACGCCCAGTTTTGAGGCGCCTCAAAAGTCGCCCAGTTTTGAGGCGCCTCAAAAGTCGCCCAGTTTTGAGGCGCCTTAAAAGTCCAGCAGGTCGGTGGAGCAGAGCGTGACGACATGGAGCACGCCCAGGCAGGCAGGGGGAAGGAGCGTTTGAAAATACATGTCCCTTACCCCCTTCTCTCCCCCCTCTTACACCCTGAAGAGCCCTCAACCCACCGGCAGCACGAGGTAGTTGAAGAGGGGGGACTGTTCCGCATCAGGGTCCAGCAGGTCGGTGGGGCAGAGTGTGACCACATGGCGCACGCCCAGGTGGTGCAGTAGGGGGAAGGAGCGCGCGGCAATGGCGGACCCGAGGTAGAGATGGGGGAGGACGAGTGAGGGGCGCTCTGTCGCCATCGAGTCCTGCACCAGCCCCCAGCGCTCTAAGAGGTGGTGCAGGCGAACCTGGGGTGGTTGGAGAAGGAGGTGTGGAAAGGGAAAGAGGGTGGGCACGACTTAAGAAGAGGGGGAGGACGAGTGAGGGACGCTCAGTCGCCATCGAGTCCTGTACCGGGGGTGGGAAGTGGTGTAGGCAAACCTGGGGGAGGGAAGGAGGAGTGGAAGAAGAAAATGAGGTCACCACTTAGGAGAGGAGCGAGGGAAAGGATCAGAAAGGAGCAGAGGGGGGTCATGAATGGGATGGGAGGACATGGTCAGGTGGAGCAGCAGAGGGAAGCAGTGGGCAGGAATGGTGGGCGGGCCCTGTCACAACAGCACCTCAACTTGAAGACCAAAATTACTCCACACGTACAAGACACACCAGCACTCGCTGTAACCTCATACGCATCAACCAGGCTGTGTGCCCCACGCCCCCGCCCCCCGCACACTCGCCTCCATGAACTGAGTCACAAACGGCACCTCACACGAGCTCACAAGCCAAGATCACACTTCAAAACAGCTAAATGCAAGCCAATACATCTCACCTTGAGCTCATACGCATCCACTAGGCTGTGCGCCCCGCCCCCACCACTCGCCTCCATGAACCCTGTCACAAACGGCACCGCAGCCGCCGCACATATCCGCCCAGCTTCCTCTCTCATCATGCCGTCCCACCGCTGCACCTGCTCCCTCAGCTCCTCATCCCCCTGTGCTGACTTCCTCACTCCGCGGATCCTCATGCTCAGCCAACCCCCCCTTGACCCACAAACCTCAAATTCCTCCTCACTCCGCGGATCTTCATGCTCAGCCGCCGTGTAAGCAACCCCTTTGACCCACAAAACCCTCGCCCTGCAAAAACGCCCACTCACCTTTAACTCATAAGCATCCACCAGGCTGTGTGCGCCGCCCCCGCCACTCGCTTCCATGAACCCGGTCACAAACGGCACTGCCGCCGCCCTGCAAATCCGCCCCGCCTCCTCTCTCATCATCCCATCCCACCGCTGCACCTGCTCCCTCAGCTCCTCGTCCCCCTGCGCTGACTTCCTCACTCCGCGGATCTTCATGCTCAGGCGCGAGGGTAACCCACCCAGAGATGCCCTCCATGCAGCGGCTTTGGCTGCGGATTTGCTGATGGACGCGGGTGCGTGACGCGGGTTGGAGGGGGCTTTGTGGGAGGAAGGGGTTTTGTGGGATGGGGTTTTGTGGGAGGGGGTTTGGAACGTGGTGGGGGTTTTGAAGGTGGAGGAGGGGGTTTTGTGGTTGGGGCGAGAGGTGGGGCTGCGGATGGGGAAACGGGTGTGCGTGGCTGGGGGAGGAGTGTGCATGTTGCTGGTGCTAGTGTCACGAGCAGTATCAGCGGCAGTATCGGTGGCAATATCAGTGGAAGGAACAGGTGCAGGATCAGCAAGAGTGGTAGTGGTGGCGCTAGTGGTGGCACTGTCAGTGGCATTGTTAGTGGCAGTGGCGTTGGTAGCAAGGGGAAGGTGTTGTTGCCTCTGCCGATGGTGGGAAGGGCGGATAATCGGCGAGGGGCGGGTGGAGGGAGGGGAGGAGAAGGCAGAGGAGAGGGACATGGGGGAGGTGGCACGGGTAGGTGGCGAGCTGGCAGCATTAACAGCAGCACTAGTGGGAGCAGTAGTAACAATAGCAGCTGCACCAGCAGCAGCAGGACCTATTTCTATTGGGCTTGTGTCTCCTCGTGCTGATGCTTTAGCAATAGCTTTCCCAGCAGCTTCCCCAGCAGCTTCCAGAGCAGCGTCCCCAGCTGCTGCAGCTGCTGCTTGTCGGTCTGTCTCGTCGGTTGCAGCGGTCTTCTCACAAATTCTACTAAGGAAAGGCGAGCGGGCGCTAGTGAGGGAAGGAGAGCGTGGGTTGAAGCGAGCAGGAGAGCGCACGAGGCGGGGCGAGAGGGCAGCACCAGCAGAAGACCGGCGGTAGGGGCCAGGGGAACGTGGGGGAGCAGGGGAGCGGGGGGGAATGGGGGAACGTGGGGGAGCAGGGGAACGGGGAGCAGGGGAGCGAGGAGGGATTGGAGAGCGAGGGGGGATAGGGGAACGGGGAGGAGCGGGAGAGCAGGGAGGGGCGGGGGAGGCAGGAGCAGAGAGGGCAGGGGAAGGGGGAGGGGCTCGGGGCCGGCGGGAGAGAACAGTACGACGACCACTGCCACTGACAACACTGGCACTGCCACCAACACCTTTATCACCACCACCACCGCTGCCATCACCATTGCCATTTGCAACCGAATCAGCATCAGCATCGGCACCAGCAGCAGCATCAGTAGCATCATCATCAGCAGTATCAGCATCAGTTGGAGAGCAGTCAGTGCGAGAGGCGTAGCCGTAAGCTGGCCCAGCAGCAGAGGGAGGCATGACTGGGGGAGGTGATATCCTCCTCATCACATGCTGCGAGTATGACTCCTCACTAGGAGACGGAGGAAAGGAGGAGGAAGAGTGGGAGTTGACAGCACTCAAGAACCTCTCACAAGGAGGAAACCTGTTAGAGGGAGGAGTGGAGGGTGACGCTTTAGAAGGTGATTCATTAGAGGGTGACCCGTTACAGGGTGACCCATTACAGGGAGAGGTTTCAGCAGAGGGGGGTGCTCGAGGGGAAAGGGGGGCCGCCTGGGGGGAGGAGTTGATTGAAGATTCGAAGTCCCTGGGGGTGTGGGGCGACCACAGGGCGGTACTATGTGAGCCGGCAGTGCAAGGGGAGGGTGTTACTGGGGAAGGTAGATCTGGGGCAGGTGCATTGAATGGCTCTTCTAGAGGATCTTCTGCTGCTGAGATGGCAGGGGAACGGAGGTGGGGAAGCTGTAGGGTCCTGCTGGCGTCAGCAGGTGCTATGGATGAGCTGTCGTGGGAGAGTGATGACGTGGAAAGGAATGCTGATGACGTGGAGGGGGATGGTGATGACGTGGTTCTGGCTACAGCAGCGGTGGCGGAAGGAGGAGCAGAATCAGGGGAGATGGGGTCTTCAGCTTCAGGAACAGGTGACAGGACGGAAAGGGGAGGATGAGAGGAAGAGGCTGAAGGGAAGAGAGGCGGCGGAGGGAACTGTTCCGTGCCTTGGCCTGCAGATGCCATGTCGGCATTATCTGGAATCTCTTGCGCTGTGGTTGAAATCTGTGGCTCTCTGGCAGCACTGCCCTCACTGCTGCCACAGCTGACTGCAATGACATCACCCCCCCCGCCATCGCCATCACCACTAGCACCACTGTCACTAAAGTCCAATCTACTCGCAGGCATGTGCGCAGTGCGGCACGAAATGGACGGCGAGGATCGTCTCGCAGCAGGTCTTAGCCGCCCGCAGCTGTCACCGCCACATTTCAAGTCGGAACAAGGATCACCGCTAGTCCTGCTGTCGCTGCAGTCACCAATCCCACTACCACCACCACTGCCATTGCACCCTTTGCTGTGGACTCCTGGCCTCTGGACAGATGAAGGTGAGAATATGTGCGACCCTTTTCGAAAAGGGAACGGGGTCGTTGTGTTTATATCAACCAGTGCCCCCGCTCCTCCTCCCGCCCTTCCTCCTGCAACTAATCCTGCTCCCTCCCCTCCTCTCCCTCCACACTCTCCCATCCTTCCCTCTCCTCCCACCACCCCACTGTCACTCTCCCTCCTGCTACCACACCCCATCCGGCCCCCCCTCTCCCAGCCTCCCCCACCCGCCCCAAACTCCCCACTTTTCCCACGCTCCCCCCATCGCCCACTCTCCCCACCCTCTCCACCTCGCCCGCCCTCCCTGCCTCGTCCGCCCTCCCCTGGCCCGTCGAGTGCAGGCACAGACGTGACAAACGCGAGGAAGGCGCGGAGCATGTCGTCCAGCCGCGAGTGCAGCGCTGCCAGCGTGCGCTGCACCCGCCCCATCTCCTCCACCGCCTCCCTGAACCCCTGCTGGAAGGCGCGAGTTTCTGGGGACACTGCCAGCATGCGCTGCACCCGCCCCATCTCCTCCACTGCCTCCCGGAACCCCTGCTGGAAGGCACGCGTTTCTGGGGTCACGATGGGGTGTGCTGCTGCTGCTAGCTGTACCATTCCGGAGGGATGAAATAACATGCTGCTGCTGCTGCTGTTGCTGCAGCTGCTGCTGCTGGATTCGGCGATGATTTTGACAGCAGATTCAGTGTTGATGGTAGCAGTGGTTGCGGTGACGGTGGCAGTGGTAGTGATGCTGCTGGTGATGCTGGTTGTAGTAGTAACCGCAGTGGGGGAGGAACTGTTGCTTCTCGGCAATGTAGGGGCGGGTTTAAGCTCCGTGGTATGAGCAGAGCTTTCTAGTGCAGGGAGAGACTGGGCGTGACTGTGAACAGGCTGAATACAATCATCAGAAGCAGGGGCATCAGCACTGGTATCACCTGTAAGAGCACCTGTAGCACCAGACGAGGAGGACGAGGAGGTGCAGGACGAGCCAAACGAGGATGACTCTAGCGAGGATGAAAACGACGATGACGCCAAGCAGCTGTCTTCTGAAGCTTTGTGCGCGGGCCCACCAAGAGTCATCTTCATCTCCAACCCCTCACGCGGCCCACCCACCTCGCCCACCTTACCCAAGTCGCCCAAGATGCACAGCTTCTCCTGCCTGTGCTGCTCGCCCCATTCGCCCTGCTTCTCCTGCTTATCCTGCTTCTGCTGCTCGCCCAGGGCGCCAAAGGAGGCGTGGAAGAGTGTGTGGGCGGCGAAGCAGGGGTCGTGGAGCAGCAGCTGCACGAGGCGGGGAATGGCGTCCCTGTCCTGCTCTGCCAGCCCGGGTGGCACTCGCCGGCAGATGGACGAGTCTATCACCACCACCTCCTGCCCCACGCGCAGCTGCTTTCCCTCCTGCCCCACAGGCAGCTGCTTTACCTGATTCCCCTGATTCCCCTGATTTCCCAGATTCTGATTCTTGTCACTATCGCATTCTCCGCCCCGTCCCCCATTGACTCTTCCCCTTCCTCTTCCTCGCACCCTCCCCCTTCCCCTCCCCCTTCCTCCTCCACCTCCTCTTCCTCCACCTTCCCTGCCTCCGCTCCCTCTCCTCCTGTCATCAGGCCGACCACCCAAACCCCCCTCCATCTCGCTCTCCTTTACACTCCCTTTCCGCTCCAAGGCTTTCAGTAATGGTCGGTTGGAACATAAGATGTTACCGCGGTTACCCCTCCACCCCAATTCCGGGCAGGGTAACCGGTCGTCGTTCCTCAGCATAATATCCAGCAGCAGCACACGGCCCAGGGAATGTGCGGTTCTTTCCCGGGCAGTTTGGTCAGGAAAAAGCTCGTCTCGGGGGCAGGAGACAAAGAATTGCCCCTTGACATGCCTGCACAAAATGGGCACAGAATAGGCAGGCGCATGACAAAAAAAAAAAAAGCTGGTGGGAAAGCCACGAGGAGACATGGCCGTCAAGAAGCAGCGAGAAGAAAACAGCGAGACAATCAGAACACCAAAAGAACCAATACAACAGATGGCAAACGATTGATCCCACTTAATTTAACAGCGGGAAGGAACAAAAGTGCAGCCGATACTCACCCCATGAACAAGAAGCATCGGCTCAGCTGCAGGGCTTCCAGAAACTCCTCCACCACACTCGCCTCCTCCTTCCCTCCACTCTCCCTCCTTTCCTCCACACTCCCTCCCTCCTCCGCTCCACCATCCCTCCCGTCCCCCTCCTCCCCTCTCCCGCCCCTACCCCCTTCCCCTCTCGCCTCCACCTCTCTCTCCCTCAGTCTTTCCACTGCCAACACCACCTCCTCCCACTCGCGACCCTGCTTCACAGCAAGCTCATGCGCTGATAAAGCCAGATCATGGCCCAGACCGCAACTGTCTACTCGACCTAGATTCCCCTGCTGCTGGTTCTCTTTATCCAGTGCAAATCGGTCGTCACTGCAAGCGCCAGCGCCAGCGCCAGCGGCAGAATCAAAACCACCCAGAGACGCCACACCACTGGTTCCTGCCACCGTCGCCCTCCTCCTTCCCGTAGCGCCGCTACCGCTGGTGCTGTTGGTGTTGGTGGCGCTGCACAGCACGGGGCTGCTGTGTGTGCTGCTTCTGCCGTGATTCCCCCGGTGCACCACGCGCACCTGGGGCGTGGCTATGCCCAGGTGCATGGCCAGCTCTGCTCCAAATCGCTCAGACTGCACCACAATGCGCGACCCCGCGAATTTGATGCACGCTGCTGCCAGTCGTGGCTGAGGATCCACCCCTCCTCCTTCACCTTCTCCTAGCCGTTCCTTCCTAGAAGTTTCTAGTCCTCTGTTATCTCTGCCTTGAGGGGCGCCTTGAAGCATTTGAGGCGCGCCTGGCTTTCCCTCGATCATCCTCATCCCGGCTTCCTCCTCTGGTCTTTCGTGACCGAGTTCGCCCTGCTTTGGTCCAGCTTCGTGCTTCTTCTGTCGGAACAATGCGAAGTACACGATTCCACCAGAGTTGACCGTTACCTGAGGCATGACGAGGAGCAGAACGAACGCAGAGGCGAAGGAGTGCACACGGAGGGGTTAATGAGCAAGGCAATGGGAATCAGCGGTCATCATGGACAGATGAGACGAGAACGCTGAAGGGATTTTAGCTGGTTCTTGAGAATTCTCAAAAACCAGCTCGATGGGACTCAGAGCTCACCATGGAGAGATGAGACGAGAACGCTCTAGGGATTTCAGCAGTTCAGGAGAAAGGGCCTGCAGGACGCGTGAGGGACGCCTGAAAGACGCTTCAAGGACACCTGAAGCGAACCTGAAGGACACACCACAGACAGACATAAAAGGGTGCGTTTGGATGCCTTACCTCCACACTACCACTCTTCTCCATCACAGGTGCATCTGACTGCCCTTCCCCTCCTCCTCCTCCTCCTCCTCCTCCTCCTCCTCCTCCTCCTCCTCCTCCTCCTCCTCCTCCTCCTCCTCCTCCTGCAACAGCCGAGCTACCCTCTCCTCCCACTTCTGTACGGTAGAGGGCCACCAGGTCCGACCAATCAAATCGTCCCACGCGTACGTCCAGCTCAGCAGCCTGCGCCAGCTGCTGCTTCCAGTCCCCGACTCTGTACCCGTGCCATGAGCCTTGTCGCTCGCTCCGAGCCTCGGAATGCTCGTGCTGCGTCTTGCTTCGCCGAGCCTCGCAGCTTCTCCACCCAGCTTCGTCAGACTTCTTCCCGGCCTTATCGTTCTCTAGTTGGGGGTCGTAAGAACTACGCTGAGGTGCCTTACCATCAGTAGCATCGCTTGCAGCAGCTGCTGCAGCAGCAGCAGCAGCAGCAGCAGCAGCAGCAGCAGCAGCAGCAGCAGCAGCAGCAGCAGCAGCAGCAACAACAACAGGATGCCCCAGATTTAATTCCGCCTCAGAAGCAGCAGCAGGAGCAGCACCAGAAGGAGCACCAGAAGGAGGAGAAACAGAAGCAGGTGCAGGAACACGAGGACCAGGACCAGGAGCAGGAGCAGGAGCAGGAGCAGGAGGAGGAGGAGGAGGAGGAGCAGCAGGTGCGGCCCCGCTAGCAGTAGCAGCAGGTAGGGAGACATTATGAGCATCACCCGCACCACCAGCTGTACCCCCTTCCACCTCCTCCCCCTTCCCTAGGACACGACAACCGTCGAATCGTTGCTCCTCTACCTCATTACTACTTTCTCCGTTGGGTCTTCTCCTTGTCGGCTTCTGCGCCTTCCCCTCCTCCTCTGTCATGCCTCCTCCCTCGTCCTCCCTCAAACCTTCCCCCTTATCCTTCCTAGTAATCGCACCACCTTCCCCAGCCAATCCACCTGGCACCATCCTATTGGCTAGCCCAGGCTGCTTGCTCCAATCCCTTCCACTCTCCTTACTGTAACAGTCCCACGTAGTCACACCGTCAGCCATAGGCCACGAGGACCGCACTATAGGGCCATCCTCTGCTGCTGCTACTTCTGCGGCTGCTGCTGCCGCTGCGGCTGCCATAGACGGGCGGCTGAAACGGGAAGAAGAGCTGAGGCCAGTGGGGGAGGCTCCACCTGGGGTCGGTAATAGCATTTCTCCACCACCACCCGTCCCCATAACAGCATCACCATCACCATCATTCTCAACACCACTCGCCCCCCCTTCATCGTTCTCGGCACTACCTGTTTGATTTTCTTCCATATCCATCCTTCTACTACCCATTTTGTCGCCTTCCGCATACTGCCCAGCACATGAACTCTCTGGCTCCTCTTTCTCACACACACTCCCCTCTTTCTTCTCGAACACATTCTCCTCCTCCTCCTCCAGCCTTCCAGAAAGCTGAAACTCGGGGAGCCGGATAGCCAAGGCACCGTTACAAGAACATCCGAAGCCAGAGCCATGTGACTGCGGGCAGGGGAAGGGATGCAGTTCCGACTTGCTCGTCTCGCTGATGCTGTGACTACGGCGAATGCCAGCAGGCGGAGGAGAGAGCGCGTCAATTTCAGCCCCCTTCGTTATAAGGTCGAGTTGCGAGGCGGAGGAGATGGTTGGGGAGATAGGAGACACGAGGCAGCCCAGTCGATTGGCTGAAAGGGACGGTTTGAGAAGACAACGAAACCACCGTTGGGATAGGGTATGATGAGGCTAGATGATGGGACTAGGGAATGCCTGTGGATTGATTATGGGCTGGCAAATGATTCCGAGTTGGGGATAGATGAAAACTTTGGACGCGTGAGATTCATCAGACGTGAAACAGGCGAAAGGGAATGTGAAATGATAAGATAATGGAAACGTCACATGCTGAGAAGGACGGATTTCACCTCTCTGCCTCGCGCGCCAGGCTGCTCGCTTGCTCAGGAGCCATGGCTGAATGTCCCCCACCAATGACCGTCGGCCACGTGTCCGTGACAGGAACGCGAACGACTGCCAGGAACGAAGACAGGATGATTGAGCGAGCTTACATAATGGCAGCGGGTGCATACTTGTCGAGAGGTGAACTTTTTCAAGGTTCCACGGTATCGTCCGGTTGGTCATCGAGATTTTCTTACAAAAACAACTTCTACATTTCATTAACAAGGACGTAGAGAGGATGGCATATGGAACAGTAAGAAACTGAATCGGTACTAGTAAGAAACGGAATCGGTATGCGCTTGTGCTAACGAGAACGAAGAGGGGATGACATTGGCATACGGACCCTGTGTGAAAGAAGCACGGTCGACGATACGTCTTCGTGCTGGAGCGCGTCTTCTAACGCGGACGAGAACTCGGGGTCTGTCTCGCTGCCTTGCTCCGGGTCCTGCTCCTGATCAGTCTCGGTTTCCCCCGGTTCTTGACCGTCGCCGAGCTCGTCATCTAGAGTAACTTCTCGTCCTTCATGCTGATCGTTGGAATCATCTAGATCAGTCTGACTGTTCTGACCGTTCCGATCATTCGGATCAGGCGACTTATCGAGATCTCCAGGAAACGAATCTTTCTCGTCAAGCTCGTCGTCCTCATCGACCTGATCCGTTCTACGTTGCTCCGTCCGAAGATCCGACCTATGACAAAGTTTAACTGACGGATTTTGGGAGAACCTATTGCTGAGAGAACTGCTGTCCTGGTTTTCTATGTCTTGTCTCTGATTGGCCATTTCACAACTGAAGTCTAAGCGCCTCCCTACCGCATCATTGATCTCATCGTGATCGTCCATTTTATAAACAGCTCAAGCAGTGTAGTTCCCTGTTCGACTATACAAGCGCGTGAAGATATCACACAGAAATGTGAGAGTTACTGTCGGAGAACCTGCGGCTAAAGTAACGACGTTAGCTAGGACAACAAGATACTCGGCAAAACCTATGACAACGGGCAAAACCTGGACCGAATCTGATTGACGGTCTTTCCGGAACGGCACTAAATCGCGGCATACACGAGAATAATTTGTGGACGGGGGGAAGAGGGTCAACGGTAAGACTGCTTCTAAACTCCAGAACAATGGTGCACAGACAATGGTGCATAGAATATGGGTGGGTCAGTGACATGAGCAGGGAGTGCGGGAATCTGAGGTGAGAGAAATGGGAAAACCGCTAGACCGAACCGAAAACAGGGATCTTCTGAAAGGAGAGCGACAATCCCGAGGGCGAGGGAGGCTAGGGGAAGATGAAGTCGTCGTGGAAGGCAAGTAGGTTTGGAATGATGGTGATCAATCATGGTGCTGTGGCAAAGAAGTGGGTTGGATGAAATATAAATCTCTTGCCTAAGGTTGGATGCGTTTGGATGGGTTGGAGTAAGGTGCGAGATTCGGGGGATAAATGAATGGGAAGGGGTGTGGGGGACTTCCATGTCCCGTTTGGGGAACATCACAGACCCGCACCGCCCGTACCTTGCGAACCAAACCAGGAAATTGGCGGGAAATCGAGCCGCCAGCTGGCGAGCCTGAAGCCTGTCAGGGATTCTTCAATACAGCTAGTTCTCTACACTCGAGTTGGCTTAACTCACACCGGAACAGAAAATGAAAGGGAAAAAACTAATACAAGAAACGGGAACCTCTACAGCTTGGGCAGGATTCTGGTAGAAATGTCTTGCAAATTCGTCCTGTTAGTTCCAGACTGTGGCCGTCAACCTCCAGCTTCTTTCCCATTTGCGCCATGGCTAATCGCTGCACTACATCGCTATCCAGTCAGCTCCAGCTGCGGGGCCCCGTGACCCTCCCAACCACATTTTTTAGAGTCAGCTCTGGACACTGCCCTATCTCGACCAGGACAGTCAGACACATTTCCACAACCCAGCGTTCTCTTCCCGTATCCAGTTTCCGCACTAGAGCAGTCAAGGCTGGTCAGGCGAACAAGGTTAGCAATTCGGATTTGGCATATCGCGCGATCGAGGAGATCCGCTCAGTGTTTGACAGAATCGCACACGCAGCAGCAACTGTTTCTGCCAGTGCGCCCGGCGTGGCTGACGATGCCGCGAAGGGTGACCCTTTCGAGACGCTAGTGGAGGAAATCGTTTCCGGTAAAGGCGGAAAGATCGCTCTCTATGGAGTCGGACGGTAAGCTCTTGCTCATTCCGACTGCCAAAAACTTGACCATCTTTTTTCAATTCAAATCTTCGTTTTCTCCTGGGCGCCTGTTCGGTCCCATAAATATATAATGTGACTATCATTCTAGATCTCCTAATTCTTCACCCCCCCTCTCCCTCCCTCCCCCCTCTTTTCTCTTCCCCCCCTCTCCCCCCTCCCCTCCCCCCTCTGCGCCGCCTTCCCCCCTCTTTTCCCCCCGAGTAGAGAGGGCTTGATGATGCGAGCTCTGGCCATGAGACTGTACCATCTAGGCCTGCACGCCTCCGTCGTGAGTGACATGTCCTGCCCTCCCATTGGTCCAGGAGATCTCCTCCTTGTCAGCGCCGGCCCAGGCCGCTTTTCCACTGTGGAGGCTCTTCTGGGGGAGGCAAGATCTGCAGGAGCTAGGACTGTGGTTATCACCGCACAGCCGGAAGGGGATTCTGCCAGGCTGGCAGATCGTGTGGTGTACATTCCTGCACAGACAATGGCAGATGATATTGAAACTGGTGAAGGAAGGGATACGGTTGAGATAGAGGAGGAAGGGGTGCTGCCTATGGGGAGTGTTTATGAGGGAGCGTTGTTTGTTTTGGGTGAAGTGGTAGTGCGTCGCTTGCGGGATGATTTGCATGAAACAAAAGAGTCCATGCGTGCCAGGCATACGAACTTGGAGTGAAGTTCACAAATTTGTTTTCCGTGTACTTTTATGCAAGAGTTACTGCTGTATGCTTACAACATTAGAGTGTACGCTGGGGTGGACGAAATCGCGGTGGGCCACAGGTGAAAATTGTGGGAGAAGGCCGCCTCATGAATTCCATGCGGGAAGCCTTGAAATCATCATTGCTCTCCGAATGCTTCTCGTAGCACTTTCAACCATGACCTTCTCTTTATCACTGATTCCAGAAGCAAGATTATACCGCGAAGCACAAAACCATGCTCGACTTCCGTCATTGTCGCTCGCCGTTGTCGCCGCTTCGCGTAAGGGGGAAATTCTGCAGCGGATAAAAGCACCCGCTGTTCTCTACGCAGTTGATTGAAACCACGTGGTTGTAAGCCTACGGTAACCCACGGAAAGCTCAGGGGAATTGATCAGGATTTCAGTGAAGTGTGTCGCAGCTGATTACACAAAGCAGACTTTTGCCTTCGTTGCCGATCGCGGTTCAGTGACGCTTTGATCCCTCCTAATCTTCTACTTTGCAAAGTCGCATTGTCATTGAGCAGGACTCAGCTTTCCGAATTCGTGAATCTTTGTATCCACATGGCGGACCGTACATCACCTGCTGACATGATGCCTCCAGCAGTACCAATTTCAACAGCAACAGCAGCACCATCAGTAGACGATTCACCACGGAGAACAGCTCCATCAGCAGGAGTGACAGATGAACCATCAGCAACAGCCAGACCTACCACCCCAGCACGTCCCAGTATATTTGAGGCGTCTCAGAAATCCGTTCCGGCAGCAACAGCAGCACTGTCAGTAGATGATTCACCACGGACAGCAGCGCCATCAGCAGGAGCAACAGATGAACCATCAGCAGCAGCCAGACATACCACCCCAGCATGTCCCAGTATCGGTCCCTTCCATGCCTACTCTCTCCGTTTCTTCTCCTCCACCTCGATATCCGTTAGTGTAGATGCTTATAACGGGGATGCGTGCAACACAGAGTGCTTTTCCGGGTTCATGCTGCTGACCTCGCCTGCCATTGGCCCGCTGGATGATGACGTGGCACACATGGAATTCCCCCTTTGCTCCAAGTATTTTGGAGCTTACGCTGCTGCTGAAGCCGGAGCACATAGTCCTGCTACAGCTTCGGCGCCTGCTGCTACAGCTTCGACGCCTGCTGCTACAGCTTCGGCGCCTGCTGCTACAGCTTCGACGCCTGCTGCTACAGCTTCGACGCCTGCTGCTACAGCTTCGACGCCTGCTGCTACAGCTTCGGGACCTGGTGCTACAGATGCGGAATTAGCTGCTGCAGCTACTGCCACTTCTTCTCATACTGCTGGTGTTGCTCTTACTGCTACTGCTGCTCATACCACTGGTAATGCATCTTCTGGGTCTTCCCAGCACCCTTCAGTTGCTTCGGGATCCGTCCGTCTCTCCCCTCTTGGAGCCCTCGCTTTCTCTCCTCAAGAGGTCAGTCGCTCAGACCATTTAGCTGGTTCAGGCAATTCAGGTGGTTCAGGTGCTTCAGGCGATTCAGGTGGTTCAGGCGAATCAGGTGGTTTATGCAATTCAGGTGGTTCAGTTGATTCAGATGGTTCAGGATATTCAGGTGGTTCAGGTGATTCAGGTGGTTCTTTTGGTGGTTCAGACGATTCAGGTGGTTCAGATGATTCAGATGGTCGAGACGATTCAGGTGGTTCAGGTGATTCAGGTGATTCAGGCGATTCAGTTGGTTCAGGCAATTTAGGTGGTTCAAACGATGCAGGTGGTTCTGGCGATTCAGGTATTCAGAAAATTCAGGTGATTCAGGTGGTTCTTCTGGTGGTTCAGGTGATTCAGGTGGTTCAGGCGATTCAGGTGGTTCAGGTTCAGCTCATGCAGGTGTTGGAACACGTCAGCTCCGCACCCATATGCATGCACCCCTCATTCTCCCCATTCCCCCCATTCTCCCCTTTCTCTGCCTTCTCCGCCTTCTCTCCAGACTCCCCCGTCTCCCCCTTCTTCCCCCCCTCCCCCTTCTCCCCCGTCTCCCCCTTCTTCCCCCCCTCCCCCTTCTCCCCCTTCTCCCCCTTCTTCCCCCCCTCCCCCTTCTCCCCTGTCTCCCGCGTTTTCTCAAATCATCGTCAGCTAACCAGTGCCATGTACCACATGCGTCTGTTCGGCATGGCATTGGACCGACAGGACCTCATGGACTATGCTCACATCTGCACTTCCCCTTCCCTTCTCCCCATTCTCCCTGTTCCCTCAGCTAACCAGTGCCATGTGCTACCACATGCGTCTGTTCGGCATGGCGTTGGACCGAAGAGACCTCATGGACCATGCTCCCATCCTCGCCCGAGCTGCTGCTACAGCCGAATTTGCTGCCACTACAGCTGGTTCGGCAGCAGCAGCAGCAGCAGCCGTCGTTACGTCTGACGCTGCTGCTGCTGTTGGTGGTACCCAGCCCACGCCCATCAGCACCGCTGTGCGCCCCTTTGGAGCCTTCTGGACCGCATCCCACTACTGCCTCGTGCTGCCCTGCTTGGGACGAGGAGGAGTGGAAGGAGGGGAAGGAGGGGAAGAAGGCAAAGGAGAAGGAGAAAGAGGAGAAGGAGAGAAAGGGACAGCAGCAGAAGGGAGTCGGGCCTTCTTAGGCAGGGAAGGCGCAGGGGTGGATGCAGGGGATCGTGGGGGAGGGGATGATGGCATGAGCAGGGGAGGGGATGATGGCATGAGCAGGAGAGGGGATGGTGGTATGCTGAGCAAGGGAGGGAATGATGATACGATGACCATGTTGATGTGGAGGATTGACTGGGAGATGGTGGAAAGATTGGTGTCCCTGGGAGGCCGTAGTGCGGCCTCTCGTGGTTGTGCTGGTGATGCTCATGGTGCTGGTGATGCTTATGGTGCTGCTGCTGCTCATGGTGCTGATGATGATGGTGCTGCTGCTGCTGATGGTGCTAATGCTGCTGCTGATGGTGCTGATGCTGCTGCTGATGCTCATGGTGCTGCTGCTGCTGATGGTGCTGATGCTGCTGCTGATGCTCATGGTGCTGCTGCTGCGAATGGTGGTGATGCTATTGCTGATGGTAATGGTGCTAATGCTGCTCCTGCTGATACGGATGCTCTTGCTGCTGCTGATACCAATGCCACTGCTGCTGATGGTGGAGGTGGTGGTGGTGCTGCTGCTGCTGCTGCTGCTGCTGCAGATTATGCTGATACCAATGCTGCAGCACCAGCAGCGTCAGCTGTTCCGAACACCACTCACAATGCCCCTGGCAGCACGCCTCTTCTCATGACTGCGTGTGGACCTGTGAAGGAGCATTACCTGCACGGCATGGCAACATATGCCGTGCATTCCCATCAGCTGTACCAGCTGCTAGGGAGAACCCCTGAGGGGCGAACGGCAAGGACGTATCAACAGTACTTCCAGAATCAGTAAGTGCTGTAATTCCCTTTGCTTGGCATGCTTCACATGGGCGCTTTGTATGGGTTTCGGGTTTAGGGTTTGTATAGGGCGCTTTGTATGGGTTTCGGGTTTAGGGTTTGTATGGGGCGCTTTGTATGGGTTTCGGGTTTAGGGTTTGTATGGGGCGCTTTGTGTGGATTCTGAATTTAGAGTTTGTATGGGGCGCTTTGTGCGGGTTTCGGGTTTAGGGTTTGTATGGGGCGCTTTGTGTGGGTTTCGGGTTTAGGGTTTGTATGGGGCGCTTGCAGGTGAGGGTCAGGGGGTTGCATTCCCGTCTGGATTCAATCCCTTCCCCTAACCCCGAATGAACCCCACACTCCTACCCCCCTCACCAGGTACAACATATTGCTGCAGCACCCCGACCAGCCTCTGTTCGCTGTGTGCCAGCTGAAGCCAGAGCTGCGCAACGCACTGCCTGCTGCTGCTGCTGCTGCTGCTGCTGCAGGCACTGCCCTACCCTTATGCACCCCTAACTCTATGCACCTACCCCTATGCACCTCTACCCACCCTCACCAGGTACAACATATTGCTGCAACACCCCGACCAGCCTCTGTTTGCTGTGTGCCCGTTAAAGCCAGAGCTGCGCAACGCACTGCTGCTGCAGGCGCCGCCAAAATGTAAGTGACACTCTGTGTGTGTGTGTGTGTGTGTGTGTGGGGGGGGGGGGGGGGGGGGGGGGGGGGTGCGTGCGTGCGTGCGTGCGTGCGTGTGTGTGCGTGCGTGTGTGTGCGTGCGTGTGTGTGCGTGCGTGAGTGCGTGTGTGGGCGTGCGTGCGTGCGTGTGCGTGCGTGCGTGCGTGCGTGCGTGCGTGCGTGCGTGCGTGTGTGTGTGTGTGTGTGTGTGTGTGTGTGTGTGTGTGTGTGCATGTGTGTGTGTGTGTGTGCACTGATCCTCTCTCCATGGGATGTCGTCAACAGGGCCATCCATTTTGCTTCATAACTGCCAGTACAACTTATACTGAGAAGAAACCCCTCCATACCCATCCCACCCATTACATCGCCCCTCCCGCAGTGGACCCTTGGGATCTTTTCAATAGGGCCGCCCACATCGGGCGAGAGGAGCAGATGCCTGTACCTGCCAGTGCTGCAGTGGGGACGGCTGTAGCTGACACGGCTGTAGCAGACATGGCTGTAGCTGATACAGTTGCAGCTGACACGGCTGAAACAGAAACCAGTTTAGCAGAGAAGGCTGTAGCAGAGCAGGCTGTAGCAGAGCAGGCTGTAGCAGAGCAGGCTGTAGCAGTCAATGTTGCAGCTGACGGGGCTGTGGCATACAAGGCTGTAGCAGACACGGCAACAGCAGAGAGGGAGCAGCAGAAGCAGGAAGAGCAGGAGCAAAGCACAGGGCAGGAGGAGGCAGTGAAGGGGGAGCAGCAGCAGCAGGGCAGAGAGAAGGACCGGGGGCAACAAACATCATGTCTCCCTCGGCAAACATCGTACCTGCCATTGGAGCTACTGGTACCGGTGCTGCCCATGCAGCACGTGCTCTTTGCCTCGCTGCTCCCCTCGCTGCTCTACCGACTCGACTGCCTGCTCACTGCCCGGGACATCCGGCGGTTCATTGTGAGGCAGTATGGGTGTGAGAGTCACGGGAATTGTGAGGTGACTGGCAGGGCAAAGAACAAGAGTTCTCGCAAGAGGAAAGGCAAGGCGAATTGCGGCAGTTTTGGCAGCACTGGTGGCGGGTACAGCAGGGAATCGCAGCAGCACGTGCAGCAAGGACCTCATTTTCCTGCTATTACTGTGAGTCACGCCTCTGCCTGCACTGCACTGCACTGCAGTGTACCGCACTCAATCGCACTGCAATTCACCCCACCACACTCCACCACACCACACTGCACTGCACTGCACCGCATCACACAAAGTGCTGTTCGGCATCAAGGACCCTAACCATTGCGCTCCAACCCAACCTACACAAGCACCAGCATCCCACCCTCCCTTCACTCCATGACTCCCCGCCCTTTTCACCCACCATCAGCTCCTGCGTGCCCTCACCTGCGCCGAAACAACAGAGAGCGGTGTGGGCACCTTTTGAGGCGCCTCAAAAGTCACTCCACCACTCCCCGCCCTTTTCACCCCCCATCAGCTCCTGCGTGCCCTCACCTGCCCCAGCTGGAACAACAGAGAGCGGTGCCGGAACAACAATGCCAGCCATCAATGCCTCTCAACCACCCCCTCCCACCCACCAACATCCCACCCTCTCCCATTCCCCCTCTCAGCTCCTGCGTGCCCTGGGATGCCCCGGCGTGGGCACCATGACAGCTGTGTGCAGCTCGGTGTTCCCTCAACACCCACCTCCCGATTCATCCACAACTCCTCCCCCCCGCCCTCCCTACCATCAGCTCCTGCGCGCCCTGAGATGCCCCGGCGTCGGCACTTACGAGAATGACGAGATCCTCGGTGACAGCTGTGTGCAGCTCTCCACATCCTGCCACCTGTTCTCCACTCTGCTGCCACGTCAGCAGAAGACTAGCGGGCATGGGCGTGGGCATAAGCAGAAGAAGTCGTCCCTGCCACCAGTCTCCAACAGACGTCCCACTGGGTTGACATACGATGACTTGAAATTCCAATGCATGGGCCTGGTATCTAACCAGCACCTTGCATCACTGGCAGTTAAAGCCGGAGTGCCTGCCCTCGTTCACTTCAATCCCTTCAAACCCTCCAAGTGGGTTGGACCCCTCCTTCCTCCCTCCCACGCTCTGCTGCCTCTAGCCAACTCCCTCTCACACCCACTCCCCCAACCCCATCCACACTCACCCTCAGACTCTCCAGCTGCAGCAGCTTCCCAGAACCCTCCTCCTAGCCCCAAAGCCCTTCTGGATTCTGCTTTCGCCTCGCTGGCAGCGGCGCAGGCAGCAGCCGCCGCCAAGTCAGCGTGCAAGCCGGCCAAGATGCCGCTCGCTGACGTGGCAGAGGCCCTGGTGGGCGCCAGCTGGCGGTGCGGCGGCGCTGACATGGCGCTGCCGGTGCTGAGGTGGCTGGGCCTTCCTACGGAGGGCATTCGGGAGCTGCTGAGGGGTGAGATGACCTGGATAGGGAGAGGGGCGGAGGAGGTGGTGGAAGGAGGGGTACCGGCAGTTTCAGTAAAGCCAGATAGAGCACTTGAAACAAACGCAGCAGCAGCAGCAGGAGGAGGAGCAGCAGGAACAGGAGAGGCAGCAATAGTGGCAGCACCAGAAGAAGCGGAGCAAAGAGTGTGTGGGAACAAGCACGCTTGGGAGCCAAGTAGCCAGCTGTCCCTGCTGCCGCTTCAACCTCCAAAAAAGCGTCCCGAGCTGCCTTTTAAGTCGACTCAAGAGCCGTCCCTGCTGCTGCTTCAGCCACCAGCGAAACGCCCCAAGCTGCAAGAAGAAGGGTGCGTGCAGTGGCATCGTCAGGAGCTGCAGGAGCAGCATCAGGAGCAGCAGCAGGAGCAGCAGGAGCAGCAGGGTGTGCAGTCTCCAAAAGGCAAGCTTCAGCCACCAGAGAAACCCCCCAAGCTGCAAAAAGAGGGGTACGTGCATCTGCAATATCAGGAGCCGCAGGGTGTGCAGGAGGTGCAGGGTGCGCAGAGTGCGCAGGGTGTGCAGGGTGCGCAGGAGCAGGGTGTGCAGGGTGTGCAGGTTCCAGAATGCAAGTTGCAGCAGCAGCAGCAGCAGCAGCAGCAGCAGCAGCAGCAGTCTCAGCCCAGCTTCCTGGAACCTTCCGGCGCCAGGATGAACCTTAGGCGCCGTCAAGTGTCAGTAGCTGGTTGGCTGTCGGAGCTGCAGGATGCAATGGGGTATCGATTCCGAAATGAGGGGATACTGAGGGAGGCGATACGGGAGGAGGAGTTGAAGTGGGAGAGGCGGTTTGTGTTCCTGGGGGAAGCTGTGCTGGACTTTCTAGTCATGCACTACTGGGTACAAGCAACCTTTGTCATGGCCCATTCTCCTGCCGCCACGTCACCAAATGCCACGTCATCGCAGACTGCCACGTCATTGCACACCGTCCGGCCATCCCCGCACCAGCTGACGATTCTGCGCAAGGCCGTGATTCACTCGGAGCGGTTCTGCCAGCTGGCGGCGTGCCGTGGGCTGCTGCGATTGGTGCGCAGGATACAGCGGGCGGCAAAGCCTGCTGAAGAGTGGGCTGCTGCTGACAAGGCTGCCAGGGTGGCGAAAGCTGCTGCTGACAAGGCTGCAGGGTTGGCAAGGGCGGCTGCTGATAGGGCTGCAGCGGCTGTTAGGGCCGCTAGGGAGGCGAAGGCTGTTGCTGATAGGGCCGCTAGGGAGGCTAAGGCTGCTGTTGATAGGGCTGCTACGCTGGCAAAGGCTGCTGGTCTTGTTAGTGAAACGGCATGGGAAGAGGTGGGGAAGGAGGAAGGGAAAGGGGAGGGGAAGGAGGTGGGGAAGGAGGAAGTTAAAGAGGAGGTGAAAGAGGAAAGGGAGCATGAGGGGAAGGCGAAAGTGGGTAGCAGCAGAGAAGGCATGACCAGGAGGCTAGATTGGTTTGAGACGTCTCAAAACATGATCAGGAGGCCAGAGCTGACACGCACGAGTGGGGAGGAGGGTGGGAGAGAAGGTGAGAGGGAAGAGAAGCTAAAGAAGAGGAAGGAAGGTGGGAATGGTAGCACGAGAAGTCGTTTTGACGACATGGATGTTGATATGGATGATGACGACGGTGACAACAACAACGACGACGACGACGAAGGAGGGCGAAAACCATTCTCCAAGGTAGCTACGACTTTTGAGTTGACTCGGTTTTTATTATTATTATTATTATTATTATTATTATTATTATTATTTCTTATTATTATTATTATTCTTATTCTTATTATTATTCTTATTATTATTACTATTACTATTATTATTATCAGTCGACTAAAAATATTTATGCTTGACCAACCCACAAAGGCATAATTCATCCACTAATGTAGCTTATGGTCATACGACCACAATCAGATTTAACTTTTCTGTGTTTTTTGTCAGTCCATGCAGTCAACCATTCGTGGTTAGTTTCACAGTCATCTCATTGACACACAACATTACCGACGGCTCCTGCTCTTTCACCTCCTTCTGCTCCTTCCCTCTCCTTCCTTCACCCTTCTTTCTCACGTGTTTTTTTTTTTTTTTTTTGTCATGCTCAGTGCTCACCTCTTTCCTCCAACCACAACCCCCGCTCCCTCTCTCCCCCTGATCAGGACGTCTCTGATCTAATCAAGGCCCTCACTGCAGCAGTTTTCCTTGACTCCACTCCTCCAAACACCCCTCTGACCGCACTCAACACCCACGCACCTCTCCAACTCTCATGCCCTCTCGCCCGCACGTGGCACGTGGTTTCTTCGTGGCTATGTCCCATCCCCCTGCTGCACCCCGTCTCCATCCACCCTCCGTCCGCCCTGCTCCTCTTCTGCACAGCCCTCGTCCTCCCCGCCCCCATCTACTTGCCCAAAGCTCAGGGGAGGGGGGGTTTTTTGAGTGGGGTTGGGGGGAAGCAGTGGGGGGAGGAGTGTGGGCGGGAGTGGGGGAATCGGGAAACGGAGGGGGAAGGGAATGGGGATGGGGCGTGGAAGGACGAGGAGGGTGGGGAAAGGGACGGAGGGATGGCGTGTGGAAGAGATGTGGGAGGTGGAGGAGAAGAGGATGGAGAAGAGGGAGTGGAAACTGGTCTGTGTGAAAAGGGCGTGCGGGGAAGAGGAGTGGGGGAGGGGGAAGGTGAGGGAGGGGAGGGGGAGGAGGGGGTAGTAATGGAAGTGGAGGTGAGAGGAGTGGTGCTGGGAGAGGGGTGGGGGGTGGATGACATGGCAGCAACAATCGAAGCAGCCTCTGGCGTGCTGAGAAGAGCCAAGGTGAGTGTCATGAACAAATGTGATGTGACTGTAGCAGTGTGAAAATGTAACGAGGTGAGTGCAATGAGCGTACGAGATTGTACTGGTGTGAATGGAATGAAGTGAGCTCATATGAGCAGTGGAATGGAATTATCTGCTGCGGATGTCAGTTCAGCTGTATCAAGAGGCAGAGGGGGCGCGCATGCTGGGGGCCATGAGGGCCTTCATGTAAGGTGACTTTCGAGTCGACTCATGAATCAGCCCGCTTGCTGGGGGCCTTGAGGGCCTTCAAATAACTAGGTGCGCGCATGAATTTCCACATCCTTTTTCCTCCGGCTGTCCCCTCTCCTCTCCTCCCACCTCCGCACCTCTTCTCTTCCCCCCAGACTGTGCAGGACGTCTGCCGGCAGTACCAGGAGGCAGGGGCAGTCATCCCTCGGAGAGCCAGCATCAGAACCATCTGATGCTGCAATGACCTTTGTGCCCACTTGTCCCCCGTCTCCTCGTCTCTTCTCCTCGTCTCCTCGTCTCCTCGTCTCGTCTCCTCGTCTCCTCGTCTCCTCGTCTCCTCGTCTCCTCGTCTCGTCTCCTCGTCTCCTCGTCTCCTCGTCTCCTCGTCTCGTCTCCTCGTCTCCTCGTCTCTTCTCCTCGTCTCCTCGTCTCCTCGTCTCCTCGTCTCCTCGTCTCGTCTCCTCGTCTCCTCGTCTCGTCTCCTCGTCTCCTCGTCTCGTCTCCTCGTCTCCTCGCCTCCTCGTCTCCTCGTCTCGTCTCCTCGTCTCCTCGTCTCGTCTCCTCGTCTCCTCGTCTCTTCTCCTCGTCTCCTCGCCTCCTCGTCTCGTCTCCTCGTCTCCTCGTCTCGTCTCCTCGTCTCCTCGTCTCTTCTCCTCGTCTCCTCGCCTCCTCGTCTCGTCTCCTCGTCTCCTCGTCTCCTCGCCTCCTCGTCTCATCTCCTCGTCTCCTCGCCTCCTCATCTCCTCGTCTCTTCTCCTCGTCTCCTCGTCTCCTCGTCTCGTCTCCTCGTCTCCTCGCCTCCTCGCATCCTGGCCTCCTCGCCTCCTCGCCTCTTCTCCTCGCCTCCCCCCAGACTGTGCAGGGCTTCCGACAGCTTTTTGAGGAGGCAGAAGGGAAAGGGGTGGTAGACGCTATGAGGGCCACATGGGAGACTCAGGCGGAGGAACACGAGGAGGAAGGAGAGGAGAAAGGAGAGGAAAGGTTGGAAGGGAAGGAGGCAGGAGGAGGAGAAGGTGCGGCAGGTGTGGAGGGAGTTGTGCCTGAGGTTTCTGCTGAGGGTTCTGTTGGGATTGGAGGGAGAAGCGAGCGTACTTGTGGGAAGACGAAGGCAGGAGGAAGAAAGAGGAAGCGCAGGCAATCAGGGTTGGGGTTGGCAGCAGCAGCTGCTGGAGCAGAAGAAGGGGCGGCAGCAGCAGCAGCAGCAGCAGGAGCAGTGGAAGGGGTGGAAACAGCAGCAGCAGCAGCAGCAGCAATAGGAGCAGATAAAGGGGAGATCACTAAAGGTTCGGCCGCTCCGAACGCCCTGGATGGGTTCCGAGGCTGTGAGCCAGGTCCGACGGTTATAACTACCCTGTTTAACTTGTGCCAGGCGCGGCGATGGACGGCAGTGTACAGTGAGAGAACATCTCCAATTCTGAAGAATAAGGCAGTTTTAGTTTGGAGTGGATCCGCCCAAGGTGGGTCTACTGTTGAGTGCGCCTCTGCTGCGCCTGCAGTGGCTGCTGCTGCTCCTGCTCCTGCTCCTGCTCCTGCTGCTGCTCCTGCTCCTGCTCCTGCTCCTGCTGCTCCTGCTGCTGATGATGCTCCTGCTACTGCTACTCCTGCTGCTGCTGATGCTCCTGCTACTGCTACTCTTGCTGCTGCTCCTGCAGTTGCTGGGGATGTGCCAATGGATGGTGGATCCACCGATGGTGGTGTAATCAACGGTGTTGATTCAACCGTTGGTGGTTCTACCGGTACTGCTTGTGGTGGGAATGCGAGACCTGCTGGTGGTGACAGCTGTCAACCTGGTGGTGGGAACACTGGCGCTAGCAGGTATGTAGCTTCTTATCTCATTACATGCATTGGCTAATCGACCAAAGAGTGGAATTAAAAAGCATCTTCAACTATCCTAGTACTAACATTTGATTTCTTGTACTTTCAGGATTGTAGGTTACAGGTATTGCTCGGATTGTGTGGTTACAGCACCTGACGGATCTACGGTGGTTCGGGTTGAAGGTACACCAATGCCCTCGAAAAGGGCGGCAAAAAAATGGACAGCAGCCGCAGTGTTACGAGCCCTATCCGCCAAAGAGTGGCCCGTCAGTGCCGAGTAGCTTTTGTAAATATCAGTTTGTGATGGTATATCAAATGTGGATGGATGGGATTGGATATATCTAGAACTGTAAGGTGGCAAAACGAAATGGCATTGACAGTCTTACTGTATAATGGTGCATTCTGAAATATATTTCGATGCACACAGTGAATGCGGGAGTGAGGGTTGCGAGGAAGAACAGAGACTAGGTTGAGGAATGGGGAGTGTTTATAAGGGAGCTTTCTTTATTTTGGGTGAAGTGACAGTACCGTACGCCGGTTGCGGGATGGGAGTTGTTCATCCTGAGTGAAATAAAAGAGTCCATGCATTCCACTTGTACCAATTTGGAGTGAGCTTACCATGTCTTTCCGTGTACTTTATGCATGAGCTTCATTGATAATAAATTAATGCGTGTACAATTTTGTGATTAAAATTGCGGTAGTCCGTAGCGAAGGGTTGTGGGGTCACAGCACCGCTTGATCATGGATTCCGCCCGATGCCAGAAACCTCGAAATCTCCGTCACCCACAGAACGCATTTCTCCTCCACCGCCGAAGCGCTTTCAACCATTACCTCTCTTATCACTGACTACAGAAGCAATAGTCTGCCGCGAAACACGAATCCCATGCTCGACCTCCGTCGTCGTCATCCGCCGTTGCCGTCGATAAGGGGAAATTTCGCGGCGTGTAAGAGTACGCGCAATTTGATAGGCAGTTAAGTGAAGCTACATGCTGTAAGCCCACGCTAACCTAAAAAAAGCGACAGGGAGCCCACTGGGATTTCAAGAGCCGCGCAAATGATTAAACTGAGCTAGATGTTGCCTTCGCTCTGCAGAGTGTGGTTCAGTAATGAGCCGATTCAGTAATGAGCTGATTCAGTAATGAGCTGATTCAAGCTGATTCAGTAATGAGCTGATTCAAGCTGATTCAGTAATGAGCTGATTCAAGCTGATTCAGTAATGAGCTGATTCAGTAATGAGCTGATTCTTCCAAGAGTTCTCCAGATTGCTGCAAAGATCGCATTGTCATTGAGCAAGCTTCACGCTGCGCGTTCCTAAGAAATTTGACTCCAAATGGCGGACTTTGCAACGACTGCTGCCATCTCACCACCAGTACCCATTCCCGCAGCAGCGGCATCAGCAGCAGCAGCAGCAGCAGCAGAAGCATTGTCAGCGAATGATTCACCACAAACAGCTGGGCCATCAGTAGCAGCAACAGAACCATCAGCAGCAACCAGACCTACCACCCCAGCATGTCCCAGCATCGGTCCCTTCCATGCCTATTCTCTCCGTTTCTTCTCGTCCACCTCAATTTCCGGTAATGCAGATGCTTATAACGGGACGTGCAGCACAGAGTGCTTTTCTGGGTTCATGCTGCTGACGTCGCCTGCCATTGGCCCGCTGGATGCTGACGTGGCACACATGGAAGTCCCGCTGTGCTCCAAGTACTTTGGAGCTTCCTCTGCTGCTACAGATGGAACTTATGCTCCTGCTACAGCTTCAGTGCCTGCTGCTACAGCTCCGGGACAAGCTGCTGGCTTGACTGCTGCTGCTGGTGCTGCCTCTGCCGGCTCCTCACCAGGGTTTTCCCACCGCTCTTCATCGCAATCCCCTTCGGTTGCCTCGGGGTCGGTCCGACTCTCTCCACTTGGAGCCCTCGCTTTCTCGCCTCAAAAGGTCAGTCGCGCTCAGACCATTCAGGTGGTTCAGGTCATTCAGGTGATTCAGGCGATTCAGGCGCTTCGGTTGATTCAGGTGGTTCAGGTGATTCAGGTGGTTCAGGCGATTCAGGTGGTTCAGGCGATTCATGTGGTTTTCCAGGTCGTTCAGGTGATTCAGGTGGTTCAGGCGATTCAGGTGGTTCGGTTGATTCAGGTGGGACAGGTGATTCAGATAGTTCAGGCGATTCAGGTGGTTCAGGTGATTCAGGTGGTTCAGGCGATTCAGGTGGTTCAGGTTTAGCTCACGCAGGTGTCAGAGTGCGTCAGCTGCTCACGCAGGTGTTGGAACACGTCAGCTCCGCACCCATATGCATGCACCCCTCATTCTCCCCATTCTCCCCCGTCTTCCCCTTCTCCCCTGTCTCCCGCGTTTTATTTGAATGATCTTAAGCTAAGCAGCGCCATGTGCTACCACATGTGTCTGTTCGGCATGGCGTTGGATCGATAGGACCTCATGGATTATGCTCCCATCCACTTGCACCCACTTTCACACCCCCATCTCTCCCATCTCCCCTGTGTCCTCATACTTTCGAATGATCTTCAGCTGGCCAGCGCCATGTGCTACCACATGCGACTGTTCGGCATGGCGTTGGACCGAAGAGACCTCATGGACTATGCTCCCATCCTCGCTCACGCTGCTGCTGCTGCTGCTGCTGAAGCTGCTGCTGCTGCTGCTGCTGCTGCTGCTGCTGCTGCTGCTGCTGCTGCTGCTGAAGATGAATCTGCTGGTGCTTTGGATGGATCAGCTGCAACAGCACCAGCTGTTGGCACAACTGCGGCTGATTATGCTGCCGGCGCGCCTCCCACTCCCATCAGCACCGCTGTGCGCCCCTTTGGAGCTTTCTGGACCGCATCCCACTACTGCCTCGTGCTGCCCTGCTTGGGACGAGGAGGAGAGGAAGGAAGGGAGGGAGAAAGCGAAAGAGGAGGAGGAGAAAGAGGGACAGCAGCAGACTGGCGAGGGGAAGATGGGGGAGGGAAGGAAGGGAGAGGGGCTTTTTTAGACAAGGGATGCGCAGGGGTCGATGCAGGGGACCGCGGAGGAGGGGATGACGGCATGTGCGGGAATGACGGCATGTGCGGGAATGACGGCATGGGAGGGAATGACGGCATGGGAGGGAATGACGGCATGTGCGGGAATAACGGCATGTGCGGGAATGACGGCATGTGCGGGAATAACGGCATGTGCGGGAATGACGGCATGTGCAGGGGAGGGGATGATGATATGATGCGCGTGTTGATGGGGAGGATTGACTGGGAGACGGTGGACAGAGTGGTGTCCCTGGGAGGCCGTAGTGCGGCCTCTCATGGCTGTGCACGTGATGCTCATGCTGCTGATGGTGCTGATGCTGCTGCTGATGGTGCTGATGCTGCTGCTGATGGTAATGGTGCTAATGCTACTGCTGTTGATACCAATGCTGTTGCTGCTGCTGATACCAATGCTGTTGCTGCTGTTGTTACCAATGCTACTGCTGCCACTTATACCAAGGCCGCTACTGCTGCTGATACCAATGCTGTTGCTGCTGATGGTGACGGTGGTGGTGGTGGTGCTACTCCTCCTCGTAACACTGCTAGCACGCCTCTGCTCATGACAGCTCGTGGGCCTGTAAAGGAGCATGACCTGCATGGCATGGCAGCATATGCGGATGCTGCTGTTGTTCCAAACAGCGCCCCTGTTACTGCTGCTACCAAACCCCTGCTTGTGCCTCCTCGTGCTCCTGGCAGCACGCCTCTGCTCATGACAGCTTGCGGGCCGGTGAAGGAGCTTGACCTGCATGGCATGGCAGCATATGCGGATGCTGCTGTTCCAAACAGCGCCCCTGTTACTGCTGCTACCGCACCCCTGCTTGTGCCTCCTCGTGCCTCTGGCAGCACGCCTCTGCTCATGACAGCTCGCGGGCCTGTGAAGGAGCGTGAGCTGCATGGCATGGCAGCATATGCGGTGCATTCGCATCTGCTGTACCAGCTGGTGGGGAGGGACACTGAAGGGAGAACAGCACGGAGTGAGTGCAAGGGGCTGCATATAAGCACGTTCCAACAGCACTTGCAGAACCAGTGAGTACCTGCATGGCATGAGAGCATATGCGGTGCATTCCCATCTGTACCAGCTGGTGGGGAGGCACCCGGAGGGAAGGACAGCAAGGAGTGCGTTGGTGGAGCCGCATGGAGGCACGTTCCAACAGTACTTCCAGAACCAGTGAGTGCTATACTCCCCTCTTGTTGCAGTGTGAGCTTTGCAAGGGATAGGGGCATGCGGGTGGAGGGACTGGGGGTTGCATTGGCGTCAGGTGTACCAGCTGGTGGCTGGTGCTAGGGAGGGACTCTGAGGGACAAACAGCTCGCAATGAGTTCGTGGGACAAGGCTGAGGGATGTTCAGTAATGGGTTCCAAAGGTACTTCCTCTTCCAGTGAGTGCAGTGTGCAATTTTGAGACGTCTCAAAAGTCGCAATGAGTTTGCGGGACCAGACTGAGGGATGTTCCAACCAACAGTACTTCCACTTCCAGTGAGTGCAGTGTGCAATGCAATCTCTCTGGGTACATGCACATCCCATCGCTCCATCATGTTTTGCATGGCCCCCGGTAATCCCTCGTTGCAAGCCAGCAAGCGAGTGCACCCAACCCAACCCAACTCCCGTGTTTAGGTGGAGCATTCTCCCTGTGCTGCTGCACGCTCTGCATTGTATGGATACCAGACGTTGAGCCCATAAAGTGAACACATTTCTTCTAAAGCTTCAGAGCGTAATCCCGCATCTATGCATATTGATATATTTAACAAAGAAGAAATAGCATGTATGGAATATTGCTGTGCCAAACCTACCCTTGTGCAACCCTAACCCTGGTACTCCTAACCCCCTCTCCAGGTACGGCATATCACTGCAGCACCCCGACCAGCCTCTGTTTGCTGCGTGCCAGCTCAAGCCAGAGCCGTGCAATGCGCTGCTGCGTCTGCACACACTACCAGAATGTAAGTGATTCTTTGTGTCTGTGTATGTGTCTCTAGGAGTGCATATTACTATGCCCCATTTCGCTTTCCTGCTCTTGCTTGTGCTCGTTTCATTTCATAGTTTGAGCCATCTGTTGCTGACTCCAGCCAGACCTACCATTGCAAGAAACCGCTTCCCAACCATTCCCTCCCCTCTGCTCGTCTCCCTATTTGAGAAACCCCTGCTTCACCTTCGCATGTTCCTCCTATCGCTCCTTGCTTGTCCTTCTTCCCCTCCCTGTATCCCCTTTTTCTAATCCCTCTTGCATTCCCCTTGCATCACCCCGCTCTCAGTGGAGGCTTGAACTTGTCAACAGGGTCATCCAATCAAGCAGTCTGATGAGTTTTGCGGGGCCTCAGGAGTCAAAACCTGCGAACCCCCTCCCCTGCTCTTCGCCACCTTGCATCCTCCCTCTCTCAGTGGACACTTGGGATCTCGTCAACCGGGCTGTCCAGTTAGGGCGAGAGGAGCAGTTAGGGCCATCCAAGCAGGCAGTCTGATGAGTTTTGCAGGGCGTCAGGAGTCAAAACCTGCGAACCCCCTCCCCTGCTCTTCACCACCTTACATCCTCCCTCTCTCAGTGGACACTTGGGATCTCGTCAACCGGGCTGTCCAGTTAGGTGGTTAGACGAGCTTTGAGGTGCGCGCTGAATGCCCCTTTCTTTCTCTCTCTCTCGCTTCCATAACCCATCCTCCCTCTCGCAGTGGACGCTTGGGATCTTGTCAACCGGGCTGTCCAGTTAGGGCGAGAGGAGCAGTTAGGGCCATCCAAGCAGGCAGTCTGATGAGTTTTGCGGGGCCTCAGGAGTCAAAACCTGCGAACCCCCTCCCCTGCTCTTCACCACCTTACATCCTCCCTCTCTCAGTGGACACTTGGGATCTCGTCAACCGGGCTGTCCAGTTAGGTGGTTAGACGAGCTTTGAGGTGCGCGCTGAATGCCCCTTTCTTTCTCAAACGGTCCTTTGTATTGATTCCTTTCTTTCTCTCTCTCTCACTTCCATAACCCATCCTCCCTCTCGCAGTGGACACTTGGGATCTTGTCAACAGGGCTGTCCAGTAGGGCGAGAAGCAGATGGTTGAACCTGCCAGCGCTACAGTGGGGACGGCTGTAGCCCAGGAGGTTGTAGCAAGGAAGCAGCAGGAGCAGAAGCAAGGGCAGCAGACGTCATACCTCCCTCTGGAGCTACTGGTACCGGTGATGCCCGTGCAGCATGTGCTCTTTGCCTCGCTGCTCCCCTCGCTGCTCTACCGACTTGACTCCCTGCTCACTGCCCGGGACATTCGGCGGTTCATTGTGAGGCAGTATGGGTGTGAGTGTCAGGGGACTTGGGAAAGGAATTGCAAGGGGAATTGCAAGGGGAATGGCAAGGGGAATAGCAAGGGGAATGGCAAGGGGAATTGCAAGGGGAATTGCGAGGGGAATTGCGAGGGGAATTGCGAGGCAACTAGTGAGGCGAATTGCGGGAGCGGCAGCACTGGTGGGGGAAGATTGCTGGGGCCAAGGTGTGGCAGTGGCGAGTGCGGCAGGGAAGGGCAGCACCCACGGGAACCGCATTTTCCTGCTATCGATGTGAGTCACTCCTATGCACTGCACTGCACTGCACTGCACTGCACTGCATCACATGAACAACCCACCCTCCCCCCCCTTCACTCCACATCTCCCCACCCATGTCACTCGCCTTCAGCTGCCACAAGCTTTGGCACAACAGATAGCTGTGTGGGGACATACGAGAGCGGCGAGGTGTTGGGTGACAGCTGTGTGCAGCTCGGTGCAGCTCGGTGCAGCTGTGTGCAGCTCGGTGCTGCCATTCATGCCTCTCAACCACCGCTCTCCATCCATCCACCAATACCCCACCCTCTCACATCCCTTCCTCAGCTGCTGCGCGCCCTGACATGCCCCGGCACCACGGAGAGCCGCGTGGGCTCGTACGACCCTAAACCCTGAGTTCTCGGTGACAGCTGTGTGCAGCCCGTTGCTGCTATCACTGCCTCTCAGCCACCCCTGTCCATCCACTAATACCCACCTCCATCCCTCCCTTCCCTGCACACCTCGGCTGCTGCGTGCGCTCACACAGAGAGCAGAGCAGCGTGAGCACTGCTTCGTACGAGTCGGAAGTCCTTGCTGACAGACAGCTGTGTGCAGCTCGTGCAACTTCCTTCCAACCCTATTCACCCTCCAACGATTCTTCCCTCCTTTCCTTTTTCCTTTCCGCCCCGCCCCTCAGCTCCGTCGCGCCCTCACCTGCTGCAGCACAAAAGGGAGCTGCGTGGGGAACTATGAGACCGACAAAGTGCTCGGTGACAGCTGTGTGCAGCTCGCCGCTCCCATCCGCCCCACACCCTCAGCTCCTGCGAGCCCTCACCTGTCCCAGCACCCAGGAGAGCGGCGTGGGGAGTGCTCGGTGACAGCTGTGTGCATCTCGCCGCTCCCACCCGCTACCCATTCTTCTGCTCCTTCCCCCTTACTCCTGCCCCACACCCTCAGCTCCTGCGCGCCCTCACCTGCCCCGGCTCCACGGAGAGCAGCGTGGGCACATACGAGAGTGACGAGGTGCGCGGTGACAGCTGTGTGCAGCTCTCTCTTCTTTCCACTGTCGTGCCTCAACCAGCCCTATCTATTTTTTCCCCCACACCCCTCAGCTCCTGCGCGCCCTCACCCGTCCCGGCACCATGGAGAGCGGCGTGGGGAACTATGAGATCGACGAGGTGCTTGGTGACAGCTGTGTGCAGCTCGCTACCTCCTGCCACCTGTTTGCTTCTGGTGTGCCACGTCAGCAGCGTGGGAAGAGGAAGAGGAGTGATTCTCACCATGAAATCAACGGCTCCCTGCCCACGCTCCACCCCGTTAGTGGGTGTAGCAGTGTAAGCGCCCCTATACACACTAACGGCCACCCCTCCCTGCCGACATATGATGACATGCAGGTGTGCCGCTTCCATCTAGTCTCTAACAAGCACCTTGCATTCCTGGCAGTTAAAGCCGGAGTGCCTGCCCTTGTTCGCCGCAAGCCCTTTATACCCCAGGATTGGGTCGGCCCTCTCATCCCTCCCTCCCACGCAGTGCTGCTTTTGGCTGACTCCCTCTCTCACTCACTTCCCCAACCACACTCGCTTTCAGACTCCCTCTCACACTCGCCTGCACACACCCCCTCAGACTCCCTCACACACCCACAGCCACAAGCACACGCAACAGCACTTCCTGCTTCTCTCTCCCCAGCTGCTGCAACCTCCCTGAACCTTCCTCCTAGCCCCAAAGCCCTTCTGGACTCTGCCTTTGCCTCGCTGGCAGCGGCACAGCCAGCAGCAGCCGCCAAGTCACTGTGCCACTCAGCCAAAAAAAGGCTGGCTGACGTGGCAGAGGCCCTGGTGGGCGCCAGCTGGCGCTGCGGTGGCGCTGACATGGCGCTGCCGGTGCTGAGGTGGCTGGGCCTGCCTACAGAGGGCGTGGGGAAGCTGCTGAGGGGAGAGATGGGGTGGAGGGGGAGAGAGGCGGAGGGAGTGGCAAAGAGAGGGGTGGTGGGAGTTGCAGCAAAGCCAGACATGGCATTGGACGTGCCATCCGAGGGCGTGGGAGAGCTGGCGAGGGGAGAGATGGGGTGGAGGGGGAGAGAGGCGGAGGGGGTGGGAGATGGCAGAGATGGTACTGGACGGGCAAAGCCAGACATGGCATTGGACGTGCCATCCGAGGGCGTGGGAGAGCTGGCGAGGGGAGAGATGGGGTGGAGGGGGAGAGAGGCGGAGGGGGTGGGAGATGGCAGAGATGGTACTGGACGGGCAAAGCCAGACATGGCATTGGACGTGCCATCAGAGGGCATGGGAGAGGTGGTGAGAGGTGAGATGACGTGGATGGGGAGAGGGGCGGAGGGGGTGGGAGATGGCAGAGATGGTACTGGACGGGCAAAGCCAGACATGGCATTGGACGTGCCATCAGAGGCCGTGGGAGAGCTGGTGAGGGGAGAGATGGGAGCACGAGGAGAATTGGAGCAGAAGGGGAGTGGCAGCATGCACGTATGGGAGCAAGCTAGACAGCCGTTCGAGCTGACACTTGTTCCGCCAGAGAAGCGGCCTAAGCTGCTTGAAGGGGATTGCGCGCAGCACCAGGAGAGGCAGCAGGAGGAACAGCAGCAGCAGCAGCAGCAGCAGCAGCAGCAGCAGCAGCAGACTTTGACCAGCTTCTTAGTACCTTCCACCGCCAGAATGAACCCCAGGTGCCACGTGGCAACAGCTGACTGGCTGCTGGAGCTTCAGAATGTGATGGGGTATCGATTCAGAAATGAGGGGATACTGAGGGAGGCGATACAGGAGAAGGAGTTGAAGAGGCGGAGGCGGTTTGTGTTTCTAGGGGAAGCTGTGTTGGACTTTCTTGTGATGCACTACTGGGTACAAGCAACCTTTGTCACGGCCCATTCTCCTACCGCCACATCACCACATGCCACGTCATTGCACGCTGCCGTCCCATCGCACGTTGCCACATCAGCGCACGCCACCCGGCCATCCCCGCACCAGCTGACAAACCTGCGCACGGTCGTGAGGAACGCGAACCGGTTTTGCCAGCTGGCGGCGTGCCGTGGGCTGCTGCGATTGGTGCGCAGGATACAACCGGCGGCGAAGGCTACTGAAGCTTGGGCTGCTGCTGATAGGGCTTTTGCTGATGATAGGGCCGCTAGTGAGGCGAAAGGTGCTGCTGATACGGCTTTTGCTGATGATAGGGCTGCTAGTGAGGCGAAAGGTGCTGCTGATACGGCTTCTGCTGATGATAGGGCCGCTAGTGAGGCGAAAGGTGCTGCTGATACGGCTTTTGCTGATGATAGGGCCGCTAGTGAGGCGAAAGGTGCTGCTGATACGGCTTCTGCTGATGATAGGGCCGCTAGTGAGGCGAAATCTGCTGCTGACACGGCTTCTGCTGATGATAGGGCCGCTAGTGAGGCGAAATCTGCTGCTGTGAGGGCTGCTAGGGTGGCAAAGGCTGCTGCTGATAGGGCTGCTAGGCAGGCAAAGGCTGCCGCTGTGAAGGCTGCTAGGCAGGCACAGGCTGCGGTGAGGGCTGCTAGGGTGGCGAAGGCTGCTGGTGTTGTTGGTGAAACAGCTAGGGAACAGGTGCGGAAGGAGGAAGGGAAAGAGGAGGGGAGAAAGGAAGGGGAGCACGAGGGGAAGGAGAAAGTGGGTAGCAGCCGAGAAGGCATGCGCGAGAAGGTGAGTATACCAATTCAAGAGCATTCACCCTGCTTAAGCAGAGAAGACATGCTGCTCAGTTTAACATTACCTCTTCTCAGCATTGTTTTGAGGCGCCTCAAACCGCATCCACCCTTGCTCAAATTAACATTCCCTCTTCGCAGCATTTGAATCGCAGCACTCACATTGTTACTTCTAGATTCACAATTCTTGTATCACTTTTGGGAATTCTCAAAAGAGGTGCATGCATGGCTTTACTCTGACCACCTTACCTGCATCAAAGCCATACTGCATGTTTCAGCTTCTATCATCCTCTCCTTACTTCACTCCTCTTTTCTGCTTTTCTTGCATTTTGTTGCCGTCCTCGCCTCCTTTCTCCACACACAACCCCCCCCTTGCACCTCCCCTTCCATCCCTCCCCGTCCCGCTTCCCTTCCACCGCCCCCCCCCCCCCACAAAACAGGACGTCTCTGATTTAATCAAGGCCCTCACCGCAGCAGTCTTCCTAGACTCCACTCCTCCAAACACCCCTCCCACCGCACTCAACCCCTGCGCACCTCCCCCTCTCCATCTCCCATGCCCTCTCACCCGCACGTGGCATGTGGTATCCTCTTGGCTATGCCCCATTCCCCTGCTGCATCCCCTCTCCCTCCACCCGCCCTCCGCCCTGCTCCTCTTCTGCGGCACCCTTGGCCTCCCCGCCCCCAGCTACTTGCCCAAGCCTCAGGGGAATTTGTTTGTTGAGAATTCTCAAAAGACATATTCAGCTCCCAAATACTTGGCCAAGCCTCAGGGGAATTTGTTTGTTGAGAGTTCTCAAAAAACAGATTCAGGCCCCAGATACTTGCCCGGGCCTCAGGGGAGTGCGGGTGGGAAGGAGCAGTGGGGGCAGCACTGGGGGGAGGAAAAGGGGCGGGAGTGGGAAGAAGGGGAAACGGAGGGGGAAGGGGATGGGAATGGGGCGTGGAATGATGGGGAGGGTGGGGAAAGGGAAGGTGGGGTGTTGTGTGGAAGAGACGTGGAAGGTGGAGGAGGGGAGGATGGGTTGTGTGAAAAGGGCGTGAGGGGAGGAGGAGGAGGGGAGGAGGAGGAGGAGGGGGTAGTAATGGAAGTGAAGGTGAGAGGAGTGGTGCTGGGGGAGGGGTGGGGGGTGGATGACGTGGCAGCAACAGTCGAAGCAGCTTCTGATGTGCTGAGAAGAGCCAGGGTGAGTGTGATGAACGTGTGTAATTGTACTGGTGTGAATGTTATCATTCGACTCTATGTGTAAGCATTTGGAATCAGCTGCTGGAGATACGAGCTTGACTGTACCAGGAGGCAGAGGGGACACGCATGCTAGGGCTTTTGAGGCGCCTCAAAAGTTTTGAGGCGCCTCAGGAGGCAGACGGGCCGCGAATGCTGGGGGCTCTGGGCGCCTTTAAATTAGCAAGTTCCCGCCTGCTTCCTAGTTTATATTTTCCACTTGTCTTCCGTCTCTCTCCCCGCCTCCTCGCCACTCGCCACTCTCCTCGCCTCTTCTTTGCAATGTCTCTGATTCTTTAGTGAAGATTTGTTTTAAACTGGCTCTCTCAACAACGTTTTCAAGCTAAGCACACCAGGCTCCTTCCGCCATTTCTCATGGAGTTTGTTTCGTTGTCCTAAACAACACGAGTTGATGGAAGTAAGGCCTCCGCAGCCCACCTGTCCTCTTTTGACACCTCCCCGCCACTCTCCCCGCCCCTCTCCCCGCCCCTCTCCTCGCCCCCCCCCCAGACTGTGCAGGGCTTCCGGAAGCTGTACCAGGAGGCAGAGAGGGCACGGGTTCTGGGGCATATGAGGCCCTTCAAACCGCCTGGTTTCCACTCTCCTATCTTCCCGCCTCCTTGCTACTCTCCCCCCATTCCCCCAGACTGTGCAGGGCTTTCAGAAGCTGTACCACGAGGCAGAGAGGGCAGGGGAGGGAGTTGTTCCTGAGGGTTCTGTTGAAAATGGAGGGAAAATTGAGTGTGCTGGTGGGAAGACGAAGGCAGGAGGAAGGAAGAAGAAGTGCGGGAAGTCAGGAATGGTGGTGGCAACAGCAGCTGCTGGGGCAGGAGCAAAGGCAGGAGGAAAGAAGCAGAAGCGAGGGAAGTCAGGAATGGTGGTGGCAACAGAAGCTCCTGGGGCGAGGGAATTCAGGAATTTGAGTGAACGATAGAGTCAGCTCCCTACCCTATTCCGCGGCCAATCACCTGGATTACCGTGGGTTACCATCATTTGGAGCGAAGGCAGGAGGAAGGAAGAGGGAGCGAGGGAATTCAGGAATGGGGGAGGCAACAGCAGCTGCTGGGAAAGGAGCAAAGGCAGGAGAAAAGAAGAGGAAGCGAGGGAATTCAGGAATGGGGGAGGCGGCAGCAGCTGCTGGAGCAGAGGAAGGGGCGGCAGCAGCAGCAGGAGCAGTGGAAGGGGTGGAAGCAGCCGCAACAGCAGCAGCAGCAGCAGCAGCAGCAGCAGCAGCAGCAGCAGCAGCAGCAGCAGCAGCAGCAGCAGCAGCAGCAGCAGCAGCAGCAGCAGCAGCAGCAGCAGCAGCAGCAGCAGTAAAAGGGGGGACTACGATAGGTTCGGCCGCTCTGGACGCCCTGGGTGGGTTCCGAGGCTGTGAGCCAGGTCAGGCTGTTGTAACCACCCTGAATAACTTGTGCCAGGCGCGGCGATGGACAGTTGTAGCGCCTGCTCCTGCTCCTGCTCCTGCTCCTGCTCCTGCTCCTGCTCCTGCTCCTGCTCCTGCTCCTGCTCCTGGTCCTGGTGCTGCTGATGCTCCTGCTCCTGCTCCTGCTCCTGCTCCTGCTCCTGCTCCTGCTCCTGCTCCTGCTCCTGCTCCTGCTACTGTGGCTGTTGTAACCACCCTGAATAACTTGTGCCAGGCGCGGCGATGGACAGTTGTGTACAGTGGGGGATTAATATCTTCTACTTCTCAAAAGTCTTCAAGGCGAAAGTCTGCTGTAGATTGGATTGGATCTGCACACGGTGGGTCTACTGTTGGGTGTGCCTCTGCTTCGCCTGCATCACCTGCAGCGCCTGCTGCTGCTCCTGCTCCTGGTCCTGATGCTGCTGACGCTCCTGCTTCTGATGCTGCTGATGCTCCTGCTCCTGATGCTCCTGATGCTCCTGATGCTGCTGCTGCTCCTGATGCTGCTGCTGCTCCTGCTACTGTTGCTGCGCCTGCAGTGTCTGCTGCTGCTGCTCCTACTCCTGCTCCTGCTGCTGCTGCTGCTCCTGCTGTTGCTGCGCCTGCAGTGTCTGCTGCTGCTCCTGCTGTTGCTCCTGCTGTTGCTGTTGGTGGGGATGTGCCAATGAATGCTGGATCCACCGATGGTGGTGTTATCAACGGGGGTGATTCAAACATAGGTGGCTCTACTGGCGCTGCTCGTGGTGGTGGTTGGGGGGAGGCTGGTGGTGGTTGGGGGGAGGCTGGTGGTGGTTGGGCGGAGGCTGGTGGTGAGTCGGGGGCGACTGGTGGTGCCAGATGTGAACCTGCTGCGGCTGGTGATGCCACCTGTGAACTGCTGCGGCTGGTGATGCCACCTGTGAACCTGCTGCGGCTGGTGATGCCACCTGTGAACCTCCTGATGGCAACACAGGTGCTCCCAGGTATGTAACAGTGTAATCTTCCATCTCATTACATTCATTGGCTAATCAACCATGCATTTAGAAAGCTTGCTTTCTTGCATGTAGCAATTGGCATCGTCTCATTTCAAATGGGTTTAGTACAATTGAAATCTAAGCAGTGACATTACAACAATATGCCTCTACGTTATCAACGCTATCCTGCTTTCGAGGGGGGGTGGGTGGGAAAATCGGCTAAACCGTTTGAAAATGAGAGACGTGGGTGGAGGGAAATGACCTCCAGCCCACGTTTTGTACTCCAAAACGGGCGTTTAGCGCGGCTCGACGCTGCCAAATCCTACATTACAGGCAGCTTCGCTTTCGAAATACATAATTTTAAAAAGCATTACAGCTTTTAAAAATATACATATTGTGATTAATGTTTTTTCCAATTACTACCACAACCTTTTTTCTCTATTTCCAGGTTTCTAGGTCACGGCTATTGCATGGATTGTGTGGTGAAAGCAGCTGATGGATCTACGGTGGTGCGGGTTGAAGGTAAAGCAATGCCCTCGAAAAAATTGGCAAAACAATGGACAGCAGCTGCAGTGTTACGAGCCCTGGCCTCCAAAGAGTTGCCCGCAAGTGCCAATGTGCTTTTGTAAATATCAGTTAGTGATGATATAGGGATGGGAACAGTGCCCTAGATATCAGACTTTAAAGTCTGATTCAGAGTCCGTTTAGACTTTTTTTTTGTACCTAGTCTGAAGTCTAAGAATTTTTTTTATGTACCTTGTCTGATTTTTCAGAGGATTTCTTTACGAATTGTCTGAAATTTCAGCCTAATTTTATAAATGTAGGCTGAGCCTCAGACTTGTATCGGGGGTGCACTCTGCGCGCTTATCGGAGCGAAGTTTCCTGGAAGTTTCCTTTCAATATGCCCACTTCCGAGATGGCAGTGGAGTGCCAGGACGTGAGCAACGCAAACTTCAACAGCTGGGACATCCGAATCAGGGCTCTCGTTATCAGACCAAATTGGTCTGATTTTCTGATTTTCAGACATCGATTTTTGTTTTCATCTGATTTTCAAGACGAAGATTTTTACTTCGTCTGATCTGTAAGATTACGAATTTCACATCTGATTTTCCAGAGGAAGCCTTATACTTCGTCTGAAATTTCAGATAGGGGGTTGCAATTTGTCTGATATCGACCCCAATCCTCTCTCCCCCCACCCCCTTCTTCCCCCCGATCCCTTGCTTCTCTAACAGCGCAGCCCCCCATTTGATGCCCTCGCTCCTCGTCCTTATATTACTGGCCTAGTCCAGCCCTTCTCCCCCTTTCCCCCAGCCTTAGGTCCCCTCCCCAGGTCCCCCTGCTCCTAGCCTAGCCCGCTTTCCCATGCCTCTTGAAAAGTTTCGCAACAGCCCAACACCCCCAGCCGAATTCCCCGAAGTCCTTGTCTATTTCAGCTGAAAAATCAGACGTGGCGTTTGCACTCGTCTGAAAGTTCAGACCAGCTTTTTTTCCTCGTCAAAACGTCAGACGAAACGAAAATTTTTATGCATGTCTTCAGACGGGCTTGAATCCTAGCAAGAGCCCTGATCCGAATACACTCATTCGTCGGGAATATCTTCCAGTTACGCTGAGGAAATGGTTGCGTGATTACGGGATTTTTTAAGACAAAAGCTCGTCACATGTAAGTTATTGCTAATGTATTGTAAAGAATAGGAGACTTCGATGCTGATTCGCTGTAAAAACATCTGCAGCACGCACTTCTGTGCGATTGCGAAGGTCCTAATTCGTAGTGAAAGTTTCGTGTGGCACCACCTGATGCTCACACACGCCACGCCAAGCAACCATTTCTGCCTGCTGACAGCTCAGCTGCGTGGCACTTGGCCCACCTGATATAGATCGGGTGAACGATCGCAACGCTAGGACGGTAATGGCACACAGGGGAGAATTGGGAAGGACGGTAATCACACGCACGACAAATCGAAATGAGTCAGCTAAAACAACCATGCGCTGCACGTGACATCAACACCAGAACGCCGCCGACATGAGCAATGGCGATGCACTAGCACGTTGCCTGATGCGTTGGTAGGCTGTAATCAGCTTCAATGCTATTATATACGCTTTTACGAAACTGCATAAACATCTTAAAATTTGAAGTAACTCTGACAGTTCAGACAAAAAAAGTTGTCTGAATTTTCATACTAAAAAAATAAGTAACTCTGACAGCCAGACTAGGAAGAGGGGTGTACTCTGAGGCGTCAGACTACCTCAAAACGAATCTAGGGGCCTGGATGGGAATGGGTTTTATCTAGAACTGTAAGGTGGCAAACGAAACGACATGGACATACTTACTGTATAATGGTAATGCTGAAATGTAGCATTGTGAAAGCCAAAAGTGTCAAACAATATGTTTAATATATACCCTGCGTGCTGTAGGTACTGTAGTTATTATTATTAAGAGTTGGTGGTGCACCTTCTTTGTTGCTTTGCTATATGTACCTTGTGTGCTATAGTGAAACCCCTCTCCTTTCTCGTAACACACTCTTGGCACAACTCCCTCGACACCCCTTGGCCTAGGCTCCTAAGCCTAGGCCCTCCTAAACTCATACGTCCCTATCTTGACATGGTACAGAGCTGGTTCTTTCCCGGAACCTTCTCTTTTTTTTTTAAAAGAATCATGGGCCCGCCCGTACTACAGCGCGAAATGCGCTATTTTTTTTTTTCTCCCCGTTCGCCCGTCGCGCGCGCCCTGCCCGTCCCCCCGAACGTGCCACGTCGGCTGCCTCGCGGACGCCCCGTCGGCTGCCCCGCGGACGCCCTGCCCGTCGCCCGCTGCCCCCCCGTTTCGTCGCCACGCGGCCCCCATTTCGTCGCCACGCGGCCCCCGTTTCGTCGCCCCCGTCACCCCGCAATCCGCCAGCGCGGAGGCCAGCGCCGCGGCCAGCCGCCAGCGCCAGCAGCAGCTACCGCCGCCCCACCCCCCCCGCCCTCCCTTCCGCGGCTTCCGTCGTGGGGAGGGGGGAGGGAGGGGGAAGGGGTTGTGGGGGGGGGGGGGGGTGTGAGGAGCCTGCCACTCCTCCCTCCCTTCCCTCTTCCTCTCTCCCTGCAGCAACTGTTGCTGTAGGGGGGGGGGGGGAGAGAGGGTAAGGGGGGATGTGAGAGGGTAAGGGAGGAGGGAGAGATGTGTGGGTGGCGTGTGTGAGCTGCCTGCAGCCCGTCCCTCCCCTCTCTCTTACTGCAGGGATTGTCGCCGTAGAGAAGGGGGGGGGGGAGAGAAGTGCAGAAGGGTGAGGGGGTGGCGGGAGAAGACAGGTGCGGAAGGTGTGAGGTTGACGGGGTTGAGTGACGAGGGGGGTGAGGACTAGGGGGTTCTTAACGGGGGGGGATCGCATTGAGCGTGCGCGCTCATGCCCGCCTAGCCCACCTCCTCTCCTCATCGGGACTTGGGGGTTCTTAACGGGGGGGGATCGCTATGAGCTTTCGCGCTCAAGCCCGCCTAGCCCACCTCCTCTCCCTTCCCTCTCTCACCTCCCCTTTGTAAAAGGAGGTTCGTAAGCGGGTCCGCCGGTCCTGGCCCCCCACCTCCTCTCCTCTCCTCTCCTCTCCTCTCCTCTCCTCTCCTCTTCTCTCCTCTCCTCTCCTCTCCTCTCCTCTTCTCTCCTCTCCTCTCACCTTCCTCACTTCTCTGCCTTCTTCCACAGCGCTTGGTTTGCTCGTTCAGGGGGTGCTGGCTGCACCAGTTTCTACCGCACGCAGGCTAAGGGGGTGTGTCAAACAATATGTTTAATATATACCCTGCGTGCTGTAGGTACTGTAGTTATTATTATTAAGAGTTGGTGGTGCACCTTCTTTGTTGCTTTGCTATATGTACCTTGTGTGCTATAGTGAAACCCCTCTCCTTTCTCGTAACACACTCTTGGCACAACTCCCTCGACACCCCTTGGCCTAGGCTCCTAAGCCTAGGCCCTCCTAAACTCATACGTCCCTATCTTGACAAAAAGAGGGGTGGAGCTACTGGACTCACGTTCCTCTTTTGTAAGCAAAAGAGGGGTGAGTAGCGGCGAGCCGCTACCTTTGCCTTGCTGGCCACGTCCTCGCTTTCACAATATGAAATTTTTTGAAAGTGTGTAACACTTTCTAAAAATGCGTATTGTGAAAGCGCAGCTGCCTGTAACGAAGCAAAGCAACGGCGAATTACAATTCGCCGAGTATATAACCAGGGTTGGAGGCCATTCGGCCTCCACCCACGACTTCATTTCGGAACATTGCAGTTCCACTTCCCACCCACCCACCCTAGCTGTATAATTGTGTAATCCATAGTTGGACGAGAATGTTGTATTACTGCAATTGTAATGAAGCCCGTTGCCTTTGCAAGAACAGAAAGCAAGCTTTCTCAATATGAAATTTGAAAAAGTGTTACACTTTAAAAAAAAATAATTTCATGAACAACTTGAAGGGGGGGGTGAGAAGGTTGAAATTGAGGGAGGAGGAAGTTGAGGAAGAGGTTTTGCATATCGGGAGGAGGGTTGTTCATTGTGAGTGAAGAGATAGCACATCGGTTGCCATGCGTGCCAGGCTTACCATTTTAGAGTGAAGCTCACAAAGTCTTTATGCAAGCGTTTCATGGTTTACAAAATTCAACTGTACAAATTTACTGATAAAATCGCGGTACTCCGTAGCGGAATGTTGTGGGGCTACAGTTCCTGATTACAAATTTTCCCCAAATGCCACAGACCTCGAAATCTCCGTCATCCACAGAACGCACACACAGAAAGAGAGGTGCTTACCACTCCTCACTGATTCCAGAAGCAAAATTTTGCCGCGAAACACGAATCCATGCTCGACCTCCGTCGTCGTCATCCGCCGTTGGCTCTGCCTCTCGATAAGGGAAAATCTTGCAGCGGATAATAGTACGCGCGCGATTCGATAGGCAGTTAAGTGAAGCCACATGCCTGTAAGCCCACGCTTACCTACAAAAAGCGACAGGGAGCCGACTGGGATTTCAAGAGCCGCGCATCTGATTCGACGAAGCAAAAGTTTGCATTCGCTCTGCAGATTGCGGTTCAGTAAAGAGCTGAATCACTAATGAGCTGATTCTTTTCAGAGTTCTCTAGATTGCTACACCGCATTGTCATTAAGCAAGATTCACGCTGCCGTTCCTAAGAATTTTGACTCCAAATGGCGGACGCTGAAACGCCTGCTGCCATCTCACCACCACCAGCAGCAGCAGCAGCAGCAGCAATGTCAGCAAATGATTCAGCACAAACAGCAGCGCCATCAGCAGCAGCCAGACCTATTAACACAGCATGTCTCAGTATCGGTCCCTTCCATGCCTATTCTCTCCGCTTCTTCTCCTCATCCTCGACTTCCAGTAAAGGGGATGCGTATAACGGGGATGCGTGCAGCACAGAGTGCTTTTCCGGGTTCATGCTGCTGACCTCGCCTGCCATTGGCCCGCTGGATGCTGACGTGGCAAACATGGAAGTCCCTCTTTGCTCCAAGTATTTCGGAGCTTGTGCTGCTGCTACAGATGCAAGGCCTACGGCTACAGATGTGGGGTTAGCTGCTACAGATGTGGGGACTTCCGAATCTGCTGCCGACGTGACTGCTGCTGGTGTTCCCTCTGCCGGCGTCTCAGCTAAAGTTCCGCGCCAACCCCTTGCAGTCGCTTCAGGATCCGTCCAATTCTCTCCGCTTGGAGCCCTCGCTTTCTCGCCTCAGCAGGTCAGTTGTGCTCATACCATTCAGGTGGATCAGGTGGTTCAGGTGATTCAGGAGGTTAAGGTTCAGGTTCAGGTTCAGATTCAGGTTCAGGTTCAGGTTTAGCTCAAACAGGTGTCAGCACGTGGCAGCTGTGCACCCACATGCACCCGTCATTCTCCCCATTCTCCTCATTGCTTCCCTTCTCCCCCATTCCCTCAGTTCTCCAGCGCCATGTGCCACCACATGCGTCTGTTCGGCATGGCAGGTGTTGGATTTTTGGGATGGGCCCTGGTGCACCACACACCCACCCGCACCCATCTGCACCCACCCTTCTTCCCCTTCTACCTGTTCTCTCTCTGCCCCGCAGCTGGCCAGTGCCATGTGCTACCACATGCGTCTGTTCGGCATGGCATTGGACCGATGGGACCTCATGCACCATGCTCCCACCTGCACCCATCTTCACACCTCCGTCTTCCCCTTTTTCCCCATGTCCCGTTTCCCCTGTATCCCTCCCCCTTCTCCCCTATCTCCTCCTGCTCTCTTATGTTCTTCAGCTAACCAGCGCCATGTGCTACCACATGCGTCTGTTCGGCATGGCGTTGGACCGATGGGACCTCATGCACCATGCTCCCACCCTCGCCCACGCTGCCACTGCTGCTGCCATGGCTGAATCTGCTCCTGCTTCAGCTGGATTGGCAGCAGCAGCAGCTGTAGTTACGACCGATGCTGCTGCTGTTGGTGGTACCCAGCCCACGCCCATCAGCACCGCTGTGCGCCCCTTTGGTGCCTTTTGGACCGCATCCCACTACTGCCTCGTGCTGCCCTGCTTGGCGGCGGGAGGAGAGGAGGAGAGAGGCCAAGGGACAGCAACAGACTTGCGAGAGGGTGATGGGAGAGGGAAGGAAGGGAGTGGAACGGATGTAGGCAAGGAAAGCGAAGGGGTGGATACAGGGAAGCCGGCAGGAGGGGCTGACGTGAGCAGGGGAGGCGATGATGGTATGATGAGCATGGGAGGTCATGATGGCATGAGCAGGGGAGGGGATGATGATGATACGATGAGCATGTTGGTGGGGAGGATTGATTGGAAGACGGTGGACAGAGTGGTGTCTCTGGGAAGCCGAAGTTCTGAATTGAAAGGCCATGCACGTGCTGCTGATGGTGATGCTGCTGGTGATGATGCTGTTGCTGATGGTGGTGATGCTGCTGCTGGTGATTCTGCTGCTCGTGATGCTGCTGCTGCTGCTGCTGATGCTGATGCTGCTGCTGCTGCTATTTTAAACACAACTCAGGATGCCCCTGCTACCATACCTCTGCTCGTGTGTGCTCGTGGGCCTGTGGAGGAGCGAGATTTGCATGGCATGGTGGCATGTGCGGTGCATTCACGTCTGCTGTACCAGTTAGTGGGGAGGGATCCAGAGGGGCGAACAGCACGTAGTGATTTCGTGGGGCCGCAGGGAGGCACGTTTCAACACATTGTACTTCCAGAACCAGTGAGTGCATTTCCTTCCCCTTTCCCTGTCCTTTCCTTTTAACTGAAGTCAGTGACTTCGTGGGGCCGCAGGGAGGCACGTTTCAACAGTACTTCCAGAATCAGTGAGTGCATTTTCTTCCCCGTTTCCTGTCCTTTCCTTCTCACTGAATTCTGTGATTTCGTGGGGCCGCAGGGAGGCACGTTTCAACAGTACTTCCAGAATCAGTGAGTGCATTTCCTTCCCCGTTTCCTGTCCTTTCCTTCTCACTGAATTCTGTGAGTTCGTGGGGCCGCATGGAGGCACGTTTCAGCAGTACTTCCAGAATCAGTGAGTGCACACGCACGTCCGATCCCTCGATGGTGCTTCGCGTACCCCTCTGTTATCTCTCACTTCCCAACCAGCAAGTGGCAAGTGCACCCAAGACTTGGATTCAAATCCCTTGGCTTGGCCAAGTCCTGTGTGTTCCTTTGCTGTCCCGATTCATGCTGCAGGCTCGAACTGCGATGCGAGAGACGCAAGTTCACAAACACCAGAATTGTATACCAAAGCCAAGCCTTGGAATGTCAAGGTTCTGAGATTCGACGCAAACCACTAACCGTAAGAGACACCCCTAACCCCCTCTCCAGGTACGGCATATCGCTGCAGCACCCTGAGCAGCCCCTGTTCGCTGCATGCCAGCTCAAGCCAGAACTGCGCAATGCACTGCTGCTGCAGCAGACACCACCAGAATGTAAGTGTCAGTCACTGTATCTCACCCTCTTTAAGTCACTCTATACGTGTACCACTCGTCCTTTCCGCGCTTGCATGTCCTTCCAGAGGTAGTGTTTCTTGTATGCATGCAATCAGGGTCTCTAAAGCCCCTTCCCCGCCTGCAATCAGGTAGTGCATCTCCTTCCCCTTCCCCTTCTTACACCTGCCTTCATGATCCCCTTGTATCGCCCCTCTCTCAGTGGACACTTTTGATATCGTCAACCGGGCCGTCCAATCAGGGCGAGAGGAGCAGATGCCTGAACCTGCCATTGTTAGAGTGGAGACGGCTGTAGCGGACGAGGCTGTAGCAGACAGGGCTGTAGCAGACGAGGCTGTTACGGAAACGGCTGTAGCAGGTGCAGCTGCAGCAGACATAGCTGTAGTGGGCAAGGCTGGAGCAGAGACGGTTGGAGCAGAGACGGTTGGAGCAGACAATGCTCTGGCAAATGAGCCTGCAGAAGATGAGGCTGTAGCAGACACGGCTGGAACGAACACAGCTGCAGCAACCTCAGCTGCAGTAGACAATACTACAGCAGAGAAAGAGCAGCAGCAGCAGCAACAAGGCACAGGGCAGGAGGAGGCAGCTAAGGGGGAGCAGCAGGGTAAGGAGAAGGGCAGGGGTCGACAAACATCATACCTGCCATTAGAGCTACTGGTGCTGGTGTTGCCACTGCAGCACGTCCTCTTTGCCTCGCTGCTCCCATCACTCCTCTCCCGCCTTGACTGTCTGCTCACTGCCCGGGACATTCGGCGGTTCATTGTGCGGCAGTATGGGTGTGAGCGGCAGGGGTGTTGCGAGGCGACTTGTGAGGAGAATTGCAAGAGCAGCGGCACTGGTGGGGAAAGAGTACTGGGGCGGAGGTATGGCGGTGGCGAGTGCAGGGAAGGGGAGCAGCAACAGGAACCGCATTTTCCTGCTATTGATGTGAGTCACTCCGATGCACTGCACTGCACTGCACTGCACCGCACTGCACTGCACTGCACTGCATGTACCGTCAGGCCTGTTGATTACTTTTTGTTGAGGTGCTTATTAAAGGGTTTAGCTTGCATCATCCGAAGTGCTGTGGCGCAACAAGGATCATCACGAATGCGCCTCGGCCAAACGCCCCTGTCCACGCACCCGCACCACCCGCCTCTTCACTCCCCCAACCCCCACCTCCTCTGCTGCCCACTTTCAGCTGCTGCGCGCCCTGACCTGCCCAGGCACAACACAGAGCGGCGTTGGGACATACGAGAATGACGAGGTGCTTGGTGACAGCTGCGTGCAGCTCGCCGCTCCCTCCCATCCCTATCCACCATCACCCCACCCTCTCTTCCATCCCTCCCTCAGCTGCTGCGCGCCCTGACATGCAACGGCACAACAGAGAGCAGCGTGGGCACATATGAGAGTGACGAGGTGGTGGGTGACAGCCGTGTGGTGCCATCAATGCCTCTCTCAACCTCCCTCACTGCCGTTCAACCCCCCTTCCTCCCTCAGCTCCTGCGCGCCCTGACCTGTCCCGGCACAACAGAGAGTGGTGTGGGCACATACGAGTCAGATGAGGTGCTTGGTGACAGCTGCGTGCAGCTCGCTGCCTCCTGCCACCTGTTCGCCACTGGCATGCCACGTCAGCGGGAGACTGATGGGCGTGGGCAGAGTGGTGGGAATGCCTCGATGCCATCACATGCGCCACACAGCCACCCCTCCCTGCCGACATATGATGACATGAAGGGGCAGTGCGTGAAGCTGGTGTCAAACAAGCACCTCGCAGCGTTGGCACTTAAAGCTGGAGTGCCTGCCCTTGTTCGCTGCAAGCCCTTCAGAACCTCGGATTGGGTCGGCCCTCTCGTCCCCCCCTCCCATGCTGTGCTGCTTCTGGCTGACTCCCTCTCGTACGCACTCCCCCAACCACAATCCTCCTCACACGCCTCGTCACACGCCCCGTCACACTCCCTCCTCACGCACACTCAGTCACAAGCAGCAGCACCTCTTTCCTCCCCCTCTCAAGCTACTGGGACTTCCGAGAACCTTCCTCCTAGCCCGAAAGCCCTTTTAGACTCTGCCTTCGCCTCGCTGGCAGCGGTGCAGGCAACAGCTGCCGCCAAGTCAGCGCGCCAGCTGGGCAAGAAGACCCTTGCTGACGTGGCAGAGGCCCTGGTCGGCGCCAGCTGGCGGTGCGGCGGCGCTGACATGGCGCTGCCGATGCTGAGGTGGCTGGGCATGCCTACGGAAGGTGTGGGGGAGCTTCTGAGGGGCGAGATGACGTGGAAGAGGAGAGAGGGGGTGGTGGATGGAGGCGTAGTGGAGGTGCGAAATGATTGGATACCAGGAGTTGCAGCAAAGCCAGATATGGCAGTAGAAGCGAAACCGGTCGCTGCAGCAGCAGCAGCAGCAGCAGCAGACGAGGCACCAGCAGGTGTGGCAGCAATAGTGGCAGCAGGAGAATCAGAGCAAAGGGTGACTGGCAGCAAGCACGCATTGGAGCCACCTGGCGAGCCGTCCCTGCTGCCACTTCAACCACCAGAGAAGCGCCTGAAGCAGTCTCTCTCCCACCACCACCCCACAACGCACCGCCAGGCCAACCGATACGCCAGCCTGGCTTCCTAGAACCTTCTGTTACCAGATCAAGCCGCAAACGCCACGTGGCAACACCTGATAGGCTGTTGGAGTTGCAGGATGCGATGGGGTACCGGTTTAAGGATGAGGGGATACTGAGGGAGGCGATACGGGAGGAGGAGTTGAAGTGGCAGAGACGGTTTGTGTTCCTGGGGGAAGCTGTGCTGGACTTTCTACTCATGCACCACATGGTGCGAGAAATATTTGGGACGGCCCATTCTCCTGCTGCCACGTCACCACATGCCACGTCATCAGGTGCCACGTCAGCTCGTGCTGCCACGTCATCGCACGCCGCCCGGCCGTCCCCGCACCAGCTGACGAACCTGCGCAAGGCCGTGATTCACTCGGAGCGGTTCTGCCAGCTAGCAGCGTGCCGTGGGCTGCTGCGATTGGTGCGCAGGATGCAGCGGGTGGCGAAGGCTGCGGCTGATAGGGCCGCTAGGGATGATGTTGGGTCAGTTGACAGGGCTGCGGAGGAGGGGAGTGTTGAGGAGGTGGGGAGGATGGGGCAGGGGGAAGAGGAGGGAAAGAGTGAAAGGGCAGATGCCAAGGGTTCCAGTCACACGAATCCTGCTCACTCGGATTCTACTCACCTGGGAACTGCTTCAGTAAATCCCGCTCCCATTGCCCCTGCTCCCATGGGTTCTTGCCTGAATGGACTAAGAAGTCACTGCAATGGCATGGAGGTTGAAGAGGAGGATGATGGCGATGATGGCGATGATCGAGGGCAGAAGCCGTTTCCCAAGGTAACCTTTTCGCACTGTGTAATCCTGTCCTGTCTGTAACCATGTAATCATGTGGCCACAACCATATGAACATGTCGTATAACCACATGTAACCCAAAATTCGGTTCCAGATCTGCGTGTAATACCATAGTTTGCCTAACTTCACCCTTTTGCTTTCCTTCCTCCAATTGTCTCCCTCTTCCCTTCTCCCCTCCGCGCCCCCCCAAATTAGGACGTCTCTGATCTAATTAAGGCCCTCACAGGAGCAGTTTTCCTCGACTCCACTCCTCCAAAGACCCGTCCCACCGCACTCAACCTCTACGCACCTTCTCCTCTCCCTCCCCCGTGCCCTCTCACCCGCACGTGGCAAGTGGTTTCCTCCTGGCTATGCCCTATCCCCCTGCTGCATCCCCTCTCCCTCCACCCGCCCTCCGCCCTGCTCCTCTTCTGCTGCGCCCTCGCCCTCCCCGCGCCCATCTACCTGCCCAGGGCGCAGGGGGGCGGGGGAGGGGGGGAGCAGTGGGGGAAGCAGTGGGGGGAGGAGTGGGGGAAGGAGTGTGCGGGAGAGTGGGGGAAAGGGGTGGAAAGGGAGGGGGTAGGGGATGTGGCATGGAAGGTCGAGGAGGGTGGGGAAAGAGAAGGGGGGATGATGTGTGAAACGGATGTGGAAAATGGAGGGGTTGACGTGGGGGGAAGAGGAGGAGTTGAGGGAGAGGAGGGGGATGTGGGGGTGGTGATGGAAGTGGAGGTGAGAGGAGTGGTGTTGGGGGAGGGATGGGGGGTGGATGATGTTGCCGCAACAGTTGAAGCAGCTGCTGGCGTGCTGAGAAGAGCCAAGGTGAGTGTGATGTGATGCACAGATGCGAGTGTGATGCAGATATGTGAGTGTGAGAATGTGAGAGGAGTGGTGCTGGGGGACGGGTGGGGGGTGGATGACGTGGCAGCAACTGCGGGCTGGTGGCGTTCTAAGGAGGGCCAAGGTGAGTCTCTTTATGTGAATATATAGAAATGGGTTTCTTATGGGCAGTGAGTGGTACGCAGCTTCTCACAAATACCTCTGGGATATGAAGAGGTGAGTGTGAAGAGGTCAAGGCTGGCGTTTGGGGGGGGAGGATGGATGACGTGGCAGCTACTGTGGAAGCTTTTGAGACGTCTCAAAAACACCCTCTCTACACGTGAGACGTCTCAAAAATGCAGAGGATACCTCACAAATACCTCTGGGATATGAAGAGGTGAGTGTGAAGAGGTCAAGGCTGACACTTTTGGGGGGAGGGGGGAGATGACGTGGCAGCTACTGTGGAAGCAGCAGGTGTATAGGCAATAAAAGACGAGCGGTCAGACTGTTGGAGTGCTAAGGAAAAAGGAGGAGAAGAAGAAGAAGAAGAAAAAACTGCTGGGTTGTTAGTAGGCTTTCAAGAATTAGCTGGTTCTTGCATGAATCCTTTCCGGTTCCTTTTCTCCCTCTCGCCTCACCCCAGACTGTGCAGGGCTTCATGCAGCTGTACCAGGAGGCAGAGGGGGCGCGGGTGCTGGGGAACTGGAACTCTTGAGAGAACCAGCTGATGCTGGCAAGTCTCTCTGCCCACTACCCTCTCTGTTCTTTTCACGACTGCTTGACTTCTCCTCTCCTCCCTCCAGACCGTGCAGGGCTTCCAGCAGCTGTACCAGGAGGCAGAGGGGATGTGCGCGCTGGGGGCTATGAGGGCCTTCTAACCAGTTGGTGCGTGGATGATCCCTCCCTCATCTCCCCTCTCCCCCTCTTCTCCCCTCTCCCCCTCTTCTCTCCCCCTCTCCCCCTCTTCTCCCCTCTCCCCCTCTTCTCCCCTCTCCCCCTCTTCTCCCCTCTCCCCCTCTTCTCCCCTCTCCCCCTCTTCTCCCCTCTCCCCCTCTTCTCCCCTCTCCCCCTCTTCTCCCCTCTTCCCCCTCTTCTCCTCTCCCCAGACTGTGCAGGGCTTCCAGCAGCTGTACAAGGAAGCAGAGGGGATGCGCGTGCTGGGCGCCATGAGGGCCGCATGGGAGGGGCAGACGGAGGAAGGAGAGGAGAGAGGGGAGGGGAAAGATGCGAGAGGAGAAGGCACTGCAGGGATGGATGGGGTTCTGCCTGAGAGAGCCCTGGAGATTGGAGGAAATAGTGATTGTAATGGTGAGCAGAAAAAGGCTGGAGGGAAGAAGAGGAAGCGAGGGAAGTCTGGAAAAGGGAATCATGGCAGTAGAAGCAGCAGCAGCAGCAGCAGCAGGAGGGACAGCGGCACTGGGAGGGGAGAGTACGATAGGTTCGGCTGCTCCAGGGGCCCTGGTTGGGCCCCGAGGCTGTGAGCCAGGTCCGGCGGCTATATCTGCCCTGAATCATACGTGCATGACACGGCGATGGACGGCAGTGTACAGTGAGAGAATCATATCCTGTACTTCCAACACCGAGGCTGCTGTAGGTAGCAATGGGTCAGCACAATGTGGGACTAATGCTGGGAGCGCCTCAGCTGCTGATGCTATTGCTGGAGATGTGTATATGGATGGTGGATCTACTGGTGGTGGTGTAATAAACGGTGGAGATTCAATTGCTGGAAATTCTACGTCCGGAGCATGCGGCGGTGAAGGTGATGCGGCTGGTGGTGCCAGCTGTCAACCTGGTGGTGGGAACGGGATCACAGGCGCTCCCAGGTATGTGACTTCTCATGCCTTAGTCACCTCAGTTTTTTCACTGGGTATTTTTCAACTTTCCCATAAATGAATCTCATATCCTCGTTGATTTGTGTAATTCTTTTGGCATTGCAGCTTTTGCATGGATTGTGTGGTTACAGCGAGTGACGGCTCGATAGTGGTACGCGTCGAAGGTAGATCTATGCCTTCGAAAAAGGCAGCAAAGCAATGGACAGCAGCAACCGTGTTACAAGCATTGGCCTCAAGAGAGTGGCCTGCCAGCACAAATGCGGTGCTTTTATAGGTTTCAGTTCATGGTGGTGATGGTAAGGGAATGGGATTCTTGAAGGTTTCAAAATGACAATCCACTGTATGTTTTATTCTTGGTTGAAAGCAGACTCTACACTGTTGGGACCTGCAACAGCGCAAATGTCAGCATTTTGGGTTTTCCCGCCAATTCTTCCATACATTGAGAGGGCCGCGTTCCGGACCTCGAGAGACCCTAGATCCATCCCGGGATGTCAGAATTGTGTTTCTTGTTTTGGCCCTTTTTGTTGCACTAGTACCTAAATTTTGGGCAACTTCGATTCTAACAGTTTAGGGATCACCACACCATACATATTTCGATTTGAGTTCTCAAAACATCTGAAAATACGCCCTCAACACCCTGGGACCTGCAAATCTTTGCGAGCATGCTGATTTTTAGCTGCAAATGGTAAGTCATGCACATCAACATACCTTCACCCAGCCGAGCACAAAAGCTTGCGTCTACGCATTTCGCCAGGACTCTCTACTCGTGCCAGTCATGGCCTCCGAGATTATTTCCAGTCAACGCTTAATCACTGGAGTTAGTTGTGCTATGCTTAATCCAACTCGCGTCGGACCGTCCAGCACTAACGGTTGCGCGACGGTGTTCCGTGACGGTCCGGCGGACTTAGCACGTCCTGATGAAGAGCATTCTAGGCGAAATCGGCGAAGCTTTTCTTCGCAAACGGACTTGTTGATGTCGCAGCGGCAGCTTCCAGTTACCAGGTGCAATTCCAGTACAACCATTTTTAGATATTCGCAAACCAAGCGAAACTGGAAAGCGCATTCCAGGATAGCATTTTCAGATGGTATTACCCATAGAAGTAGTCGTCAGGCTATTCGGTCTTATATAAAATCCTGTTTAACGGGGACGAGTACCGGAGGAGTTTCCAGTTCCGGGTCATGGGGAAGACCCGAATTGGGGGCGTCTCGCACTTTCACGGGGACGACAAACGGCGGAGATGCGATTAGACACGCGGCGTTACACTCCGCGAGGTTACGAGCAGCAAGTTCGTTCGATGTTCATTCTGGTAACGAGACGTCTCTTAGCGAGGATGGAGATGTAGCACCAACGACGGAACCCGGTCCGTGGAGTGGCGAGAACCAGCAGCAGCAGCAGCAGCAGCAGCAGCAGAACCACCACCACCACCAACACCACCAGCATCATCAGCAGTCGCAACACCCCCTTCTCGGCCTGCTGCCTTTCCTGCGCCCCTTCCTCCCCCTCGTCCTGCGCGCGTGGCTGTGCACCGCCGTCGCGCTCACCTCGCTGCTCCTCTTCATCCCCCGCTTCGGCGCGCTCACCACCCTGCTCGCCCAAGGTGAATCCCCAAGGTGACCCTATGTGATTTTTCAAATTGATTTACCCAGATGATTTTCCAAGGTGATTTACACAGGTTAATTCCCAAGGTGACTTCTGAGGTGCCCCAGAAGGCGTGGCTGTGCACCGCCGTCGCCCTCACCGCTCTGCTCCTCTTCATCCCCCGCTTCGACGCACTCACCACCCTGCTCGTCCAAGGTGAATCCCCATGGCGACCCAAGGTGAATTCTCGCAAGTTGATCTTCCTTTGTACTTTCCCAAGGTGACTTTTGAGGCGCCTGAAAAGGCGTGGCTGTGCACCGCCGTCGCCCTCACCTCTCTGCTCCTCTTCATCCCCCGCTTCGACGCACTCACCACCCTGCTCGCGCAAGGTGAATCCCCATAGTGACCAAAAATGTAATTTTCCAATGTGGGACAGGCTGGTCTGGGGCAGGCTATCTTGAGGCAAATCATTCGTTTCTCTTTCCCCCCCACCCTCCCCTCCCCATCCCACCCCCCTCTCGCCCCCGCCCTCGCCTCCCCCCTACATCGCCTCCCCCCACCTCCCTCCCCCCACACCAGGCGACCTCCGCGCTCTCTTCCGCGCGACAGGTGTGGTGCTGGCACTCGTGACAGCGCGGTCGGCTGCGACGTACTGGCAGGACGCATGGCTGTGAGAGGCAGCGAGCGGGGTCACTCTCGCCGTGCGCTCCCAGGCATGGCTCCACCTGCTGGGGGCTGATCTGATCTGAGGAAGGCTGATCTGAGGAAGGCTGATCTGAGGAAGGCTGATCTGAGGAAGGCTGATCTGAGGAAGGCTGATCTGAGGAAGGCTGATCTGAGGAAGGCTGATCTGAGGAAGGCTGATCTGAGGAAGGCTGATCTGAGGAAGGCTGATCTGAGGAAGGCTGATCTGAGGAAGGCTGATCTGAGGAAGGCTGATCTGAGGCAAACCATCCACCCTCCCCCCTCCAGGCGACCTTAAGGCGCTCACCCGTGCAACAGGTGTGGTGCTATTATTAGTGGCAACCCGGTCAGCAGCGACGTACTGGCAGGACGCGTGGCTGTGGGAGGCAGCGAGCGGGGTCACTCTCGCTGTGCGCTCCCAGGCATTGGGAATCACAGTTTCGGGCTTTATTTCCCCCCTCCACCTCCCCTCGTCCCTCCCTGTCCCCACCCCCATCAGGTGATCTTCGCTCACTCACCCGTGCAACAGGTGTGGTGCTATTATTAGTGGCAACCCGGTCAGCAGCGACGTACTGGCAGGACGCGTGGCTGTGGGAAGCGGCGAGCGGGGTCACTCTCGCCGTGCGGAGGGAGGCGTGGCACCACCTGCTGGGGGCGGACTTAGGGTTCTTTGAAGGGCGCGGGGGAAGGGCAGGAGGAGGGGACGGTGGGCAAGGAGGGAGGACAGCAGTGGCAACAGGGGAAGCAGCGGTGGCAGCAGGGGATGGGCGAGGAGGAGGGGGAACAGGTGGGAAGGGAGGAGGTGGACGGGAAAGGGAAGGGGCTGAAGCGACGGAATCAGGTGCAACAGGAGAGGCAGCAGCTGTAGCAACGGGGGACCTGGTGTATCGGTTGACAGCGGAGGCCAGGGAGGTGGGCGAGGTGGGAGGGAAGGGGGAAGCAACTGTATCAGCAGTAGCAACAGCACCATCGGCTGTAGCAGCAGCACCATCAGCTGTAGCAACAGGGGACTTGGTGTATCGGTTGACGGCGGAGGCGAGGGAGGTGGGCGAGGTGGGAGGGAAGGGGGAAGCAGCTGTAGCAGCAGGACCAGCAGCAACAAAAACTTCGGCTGTAGCAACAGGGTCGGCTGCTGTAGCAACGGGGGACCTGGTGTATCGACTGACGGCAGAGGCGAGGGAGGTGGGCGAGGTGGTGTTTGCGGTGCTCAAGGCGGCGGTGCCAGCTGTCTGCCAGGTGGCAGTCATGCTGACGCGGATGGTCCAGCTCAGCCCCGTGATGACGCTGGCGACACTTTGTGTGAGTGGGTGACGTGGGACAGAGGCACCAGCAGGGGCATTTGATTGCGGGGACTGGTGGTAGCAGCATTGGTAATAGCAGTGGCAGTAGCAGTGCCAACAGTGGCACCAATTGCAGTAACAGTCTTCCTTCTTTCATCCTCTCTCCCCTCACACCATTCCCATCCACCTCAGGTGGTACCACTCATGTCACTCATCATCGCCACACTCGGGGAAAGAGTCCGCTGCGTCTCTTCAGCTGCTCGTCAAGGCACACGCCCTCTTATCCCTCTCTTCTCTCTCTCGCCTCTCTCCCCCATCTCCTCTATCAGGTGGTACCACTCATGTCTGTCATCATCTCCACACTGGGTGAGAGGGTTCGCCGCGTGTCCTCAGAAGCCCAGGCCTCCATCGCAGCCCTCTCAGCGCGGATCACCGAGGTCCTCCCGGCCATGCTGCTCGTCTCTGTGACCCCCTTCCATACCCCTCTACCAGGTGGTCCCACTCATGTCAGTCATCATCGCCACTCTTGGGGTGCGAGTTCGCCATGTCTCCTCAGAAGCCCAGGCCTCTCTGGCAGCCCTCTCAGCACGGATCACCGAGGTCCTCCCAGCCATGCTGCTTGTCAAGGCACACGCAGCCGAGCCCTGCTGCTGGCCCCCATGCCCTCCTCCTCTTCCCCCTGTCCTCGCTCTTCTCCCTCTGTCTTTCCTCTCTCGCCTCTCTCCCCGGCCTCTCCCGTCCTACATCCCAGGTCGTCCCCCTCATGTCAATCATAATTGCCACTCTTGGGGAAAGAGTTCGCCGAGTCTCCTCTGAAGCGCAAGCCTCCATCGCAGCCCTCTCAGCGCGGATCACCGAGGTCCTCCCAGCCATGCTGCTCGTTAAAGCCCACGCAGCCGAGCCCTACGAGGCGCTCCTGTTCCGCCACCTGGCGGAAGCTGATAGGTCCGCGCGGCTGCGGAAGAAGCGGCTGAAAGCGCTGTTTCCGGAGGCGATCACGGCGGCGTATGCGGCGGCGGTGGTGGTGCTGTTTGGGGTGGCCACGTGGGCCGTGGGGCAGGGCGGGCTGACTGGGGCGGGGATTGTCTCCTTCTTTACATCTCTGGTTCTTCTCATCGAACCGATTCAGGTGAGTGGCTGAAGGAAACAGGGTAAAAGGAGGTCTGGATTAGGGTTGAAGCGGCTCTCAAGGCGCTGTTTCCAGAGGCGATCACGGCGGCTGGTGGTGCTGTTTGGAGTGGCCACGTGGGCCGTAGGGCAGGGCGGCTTAACGGGTGCCGGGATCGTGTCGTTCTTCACGTCCCTTGTTCTTCTCATCGAGCCTATTCAGGTGAGGACAAATACCGAGCTTGTTTTGGGGCTCAGGCAGTGGTGGACGTTTCTGGGCCGAAACAAATGGGGAACCCTTTACTAGGGGTAAGGGGGCTGCGCAAGAAGCAGCTGATGGCCTTTTGGGCCTCAAGGTGCTGCTTCCAGAGGCGATCACGGCGGCATATGATGCGGCGGTGGTGGTGGTGCTGTTTGGAGTGTCTACATGGGCCGTTGGGCAAGGAGGGCTTACTGGTGCAGGGATTGTGTCTTTCTTCACGTCACTTGTGCTTCTGATCGATACTATTCAGGTGAGCAGCTGAAAGAAACAGGGCTGAAAGAAGGACTGGGTTAGGGTTGAAGCAGCTCTCAAGGCGCTGTTTCCAGAGGCGATCACGGCGGCGTATGCGGCGGCGGTGGTGGTGCTGTTTGGATTTGCCTTGTGGGCCGTGGGTGAGGGAGGGTTCAATGGGGCAGGGATTGTATCGTTTTTCACGTCCCTTGTTCTTCTTATCGAACCTATTCAGGTGAGGGACTCACTCAATCAAATCCCACCCTACACTCTGTCTCTTTCTTTTTTCCCCCCCTCAGGCAGCAGGCACTGCATTCAACGAGCTGAAGCAGGGCCAGCCAGCCATTGAACGAGTGCTTGCACTCACTCGATTGGACGCACCCCACTCCACCGCTTCCCACTCCTCCTCCTCCTCCTCCTCCTCCTCCTCCTCCTCCTCCTCCTCCTCCTCCTCCTCCTCCTCCTCCTCCTCCTCCTCCTCCTCCTCCTCCTCCCTCCCTCACACCCTTCAAGAAGAGGAAATGGACATTGGGAGGCTGGAGGGAGACATAGAGTTCCAGGGAGTATGCTTCGATTATGGCTCACTGCCCGAGGCCAGGACTCAGTCATTGACAACAGTAGCAGGAGAAGCTGCAGCCTCAACAGCAGCAGCAGCAGAAGCAGGTTCAGGTTCCCACGTGTTGTCAGACGTGACGTTTCGTGTGAGGCGGGGCGAGACAGTGGCAGTGGTGGGGCCGTCGGGGGGAGGCAAGAGCTCCCTGCTCAAGCTGCTGCTCAAGCTCTACCGCCCCTCTGCAGGTGAGCTGGAGGTGGGGTGAGGTGAGGTGAGGTTGAGTCAGGTCAGGCCAGATCAGGTCACATCTTGTAGCATGGTGAGGTGAAGGAAGGTCAGGTTGGGTCGGGTCGGGTCAGGTCTGGTCAGGTTGGGTCAGGTATGGATGTGCTGGCGTGTGCTGGCTTTGATTTGGTCTTAAGATTTTCAAATCATAGACTTCCTGAGATGTCCCCACCTCGTTCAGAATTATAAGAGATTGCCAATTCGTCCCTCCTGATTCTGCTTGCACCTGTGTGGCAGGCCGCATACTGCTGGACGGCCGAGATCTTGCAGCATGCTCTGCATCCAGCGTGCGCCGTCAGATCGGATTCGTGCCGCAGGAAACGGTGCGTGTAAGAGTGTGGTGGTTGGGTCGGTGGGACAAATGGAGTGAATGGAAGGGGTTGAAGACAGAGAAAGCTTTTGGGTGCTTCTAGTAACCATATTTCTATCCTTTCTATACTATCATCTCCTGCACTTTAAACCTCCGCTCCCCTCCGCTCCAGTAACGAGGAGCTTTTTTCCTCCTCCCCTCTCTCTCCACTCTCTCCATCCGCCCTCCCTCTCCCCTCCCCCCTCGCCTCTCCCCTCTCTCCTCTCCTTTCCTCACCTCCTTCCCTCGTTGGCTCGTCTCAGGTTCTTTTTTCGGGCACAGTGGCACAAAACATTGCGTACGGGCATCTGGAATATCTGTCCTTGGAATCTTCCGACCTGCCCGGAAAGGCAACAAATTTGGCCATGGTGGAGCGAGCTGCCCGCCTTGCCAACGCACATGATTTTATTTCTGCCCTGCCCGAAGGATACTTCACCCAGCTGGGGCCTAGAGGGGCGTCTCTCAGCGGCGGGCAGAGGCAGCGGTAAGAAAAAAAAGGTTGCGGGTTCAAAAGGTGGCTGTTTTCTTCTTTTATTTTTTCACGCCACCTTGCATTTCCAGGCTTTGTGCTCTTTCTTTAGTTGGCAGCTCTGTTTGAGGGGCCTCACCAGGTGTTTTCATGTGTGTTTGTTTCCTCTCTCGAGTTGGCAAATACCAGTTGATTCCGTTATCGTGCATCTGTGGTCTCGCATCCATGGTCGTGCATTGATTCCTTTTTGTTTGATTCCAAACTTGATGCTGAACCTCACACCATGCCTGGCACCTAACCTAATGCCGAAGCACTGCCCCACCTCCGTTCCTGCCAGGCTGGCCATTGCCCGAGCCATCTTCAACGACCCTGCCATCCTGGTGCTGGATGAAGCCACGTCAGCACTGGACAGCCAATCAGAGGCTCTCGTTCGCGACGCTCTGCGCCGCCTCATGGTTGGCCGAACGGTGCGTGTGTGGTGGAGGGGTGGGGGGGACGACAATGAGGAGAGGGGAATGGTGTGAGAATGGTTCCCTCCCTTGTCAGTTGAGTGATTTTCCCCTCATTCTCCCACTCATTCCCTCCCTCGTTCCCACCCTCGTTCTCCCTCTCATTCTCCACCTCATTCGCCCGCTCCCCCTCATTCCCCCCCTTCCCCCTCATCCCCCCCCTCATTCTCTGCAGCCCCCCATTTCATTGCCGATGCTGACCGGGTGCTGCTGGTGGCCCTCAGTCTCTCGTCCCCCCTCCCCTCCCCCCCTCATTCTCTCCACTCATGCTCCTCTCATCAGGTGATTCTGGCAGCACACAGGCCTGCAGCCATTGCCGATGCTGACCGAGTGCTGCTGGTGGAGAATGGGCGAGTGAGAGAAATCACAAATAGTCCCCCCTTGGGTTTCCCCGAAGAATTGGCCACACAAGGAGGTTTGGCTGCGCTGGACGGTACATTCTCGAATGGAGCAGCTTTAGCCATGATGGGTCGATCTGATGAAACTTCTGGTTCATCCGATGAATCTTGTTGTGACGACGGGCCACTAGCTCTGGCCATGCTTGAAGGTGAAGAAGTCTCTCTAGGGCCCCTGTTGGGCAACCTTTAAAAAGAACGCTTGAATGAATACCTCGGAGATTGTGTTAATCTCCAAGCACGGTAGTCTCTGAGATTGTACTTGCAAGCGTTGAAGAGATTAAGAATCACTTGGAAAGAATGGTGAACTAGTACATGTTGTTTGGAGCACCATATGTTAATTGTGGAAGCAATTCATGAATGGTTTGTTCGTATAGTTCAGATCTATGTAATGTATGACTGACTATCCACGTTCGTGAGACCCGTCTATCGAATATAAAAGGTTGCTTGGTGCCACAGTGCCACACTCCACTCCACAGCACAATTCCAATTGGTGCAAGGCGAGGTTTCCCCCCCCCACACCCCCACCCGCATCCACCCTCGCGGCGCAGAAATCAGCACAATGCGAGTCGCGACTTCCTACCGTCCCGTCCCACCCACCCACCCTCCATTTCAGAAACCTGGAAATTCAACCCAACAGAGGTGTGGGCGTGGCTACAACTTGGTAGGTACACTAAACCCTACCCAATCGCTCTTATAAGATGAGAGACCGTTCTAGCGCGCAACACATCTCTCCCCACCGTATCGAAGTATTGTACTTTCAGCTGGCACACGCAGCCCCCCACAAGCACGCCAGCCCCACTCACCACCTTGCCAGCACCATCCCTTCCCCTAAAGTCGCCTTCCCCCACCACCTCCATACATCCTATGCCTGTCCATCCATCCTACGCCTTTCCGTTCCCATACGTATTGCTAGGTGTCGTTACCGACCTTGCACTGATCCTTTGTGCTATTGCAATGCAACCCTTAGTCTGTTCGCTCGGTGCTTATCTTAGTACTTGCTCAGCGTCCCTTGCGTTACTCAAATATATTGAGACGATTCCAATATTTACTTTGTCTCCTCCAGTCGTTTGAATCCAGCATCTTTGAGTCTTACGTAAAAAGTGAGTCAAACGTTTTTTTAGTTACATCGAGCATTCAGTATTAGATTCGGCATCGACCATCGAGCATCGAGCTAAGCTGCAGCGCGTCATGGACCGCCGATTTTTTCTCCTCTGCTTGTCGATCTCCCTCCTGCTCCTCCTCTCCTCCTCGCCGCAACTCACGGCGCGAGCGCAATACTCGGGGCAGCTCGCGTACAAGCGGGTCGCCGACGCGTTAAAGACCAAGGGCTACTCGATCGCGCTCGACGGACTCGGGATTTCGGGACTGAACGATACTCTGGTCAAGCTCCTCCCGACGAGAAACGTCACGATTCTCGTCCCAACTAACGGCGCGTTTTACAAGCTGACGGCAGCGCCATGGAAGGGGTTGAAAAAGACGCCGGATAAGCTTCGTCAGATCCTCGCGTACCACACGCTGCGCACGCGGATGCGCTTCCTGGAGATTAGGGATTTGTCGGCTGGAACCACGGTAAGGGCGGGGCGGGCGGGGCGGTGGAGGAGGGGTGGAATTTCGCGGTAAGCTTCAGGCAAAGTTTCAGGAGAAACTCTAGAGGAAGCTGGAGCATGGAGCATAGGGCGGGTCGTGTACGGCATGGAGCATCGCGGAGTTATCAAGAGGCTTTTCAAGTCGCCCCCTCCTTCAAGTTTTTTCATACTCTTCGCGTCCCCTCTCTCCATTACCCGCTTTCACTCTTTCCCCTTACCATATGTATTTTCAACTTACCCCTCTCCCCCACATCCCCGCTTTTCCCGCCCACGTTCCTCCAAATCGCAGGTCCCTACCCTAGACTTCGAGTTTGCCATGGCACGAGTCAAGGACACGCGGCCAATCATGGGTGCTAAAGGATCTAAAATTGGCGCTTTGATTATCGACCCAAACGTGTACTCAGACCCGCGCGTGATTGTGCACGGCGTGAATATGGTGGTTATGCCTCCCAAGCTGTATTAGGGTGAGAAGGTAGCGAGGAATAAGGCCAAGCTGAGTTTTTAGACGTGTGTCTAGCACTGGTATTCATTTGTAATAAAGCTCTGTGGTTGGTCCATCGGAGTGTATAACAGCATGTTATTGTACTTCAGTACCTTATATTGGAACGTTATTCCATACCCTCTCATTCAGCAATGCAATGCAATAACCAGCAATATAGAAAGGATTGCACATGGAAAAACACTAATTTACAAGAGTGTCATTACAAAGGCTTTCTCTACTTTCCAAAATTACTTGCAATGTGTCAATCAACGTAAGGACTGCAATACCAATCACACACGCACCACCCCTTCCATCCCATCCCCCGTCCCATCCCCATGCATTACTTGTTAATCTTGGGTGGAATGATGACAGTATCCACACCATGCACGATAACCTGTGGGTCCACATAGAGGTCTGCTGCAATGATCTTAGCTCCCCCAGAAGCTCCAAGCTTGGTGAACCTTGCTGGTTTGGTGCCTGACTTCCTCATCACGTACTTGTAATCCAGGGTGCCAAACTGCAGGGAGCAAGAAGGAAAGATAGGGAAAGGTTGTCAAATGAAATTATTTTGACAGCCATCTCACTATAGTGTCGTGTGTCATGAAATTATTTTCCTCAATTTTGCACAATCGATAGAGGGAGGGAGGTAACGTGCCCTTATCCGACATCCCCACTGTAAACCCCTGCAGCGTGGCGTTGGAAATCCGCTGCTTCAAGACGTGGGTGGAATGACAGAACGTGGTACCAACAATGCCATGCTTCCTCTTCCATGCCATTCTCACCTGTGTGCCCACTTTAATCGCCTCCAGCGTAGAACTGGAGAAGCGCTGCTTCCACACGTGGAAGGCCATGACCTGCAGCAGCGCCTTGGGGTTCTTCTTGAGCTTCGAATACTGGTAGCTGCCCGTGAGCTTGCTGAACGCGCTGTTGCGCGGCACCAGTATCGTCATTTGAGACGTTGGCAGCCATTGCTTGAGTGTGTTGTTGAGGCCTGCGAAGGGAGAGCAGAGGAGTGAGAGAGAGGCACAGGGGAAGTCAGAAAGAGATGGCACCAGTATCGTCATTTGAGACGTTGGCAGCATTGCTTGAGTGTGTTGTTGAGGCCTGCGACGGGAGAGCAGAGGAGTGAGAGAGAGGCACAGGGGAAGTCTGAAAGAGATGGCAACAGTATAGTCATCTGGGATGTCGGCAGCCATTGCTTGAGTGTGTTGTTCAGGCCTGCGACGGGAGGGGGAAGGGGAGGAAGTTGCATGAGTTTGCTGAACGCGCTGTTGCGCGGCGCAAGTATCGTCTTCTGGCACGTTGGTAGCCATTGCTTGAGTGTGTTGTTCAGGCCTGCGGAGGGAGGGTGGAAGAACGAGAGAGAGAGAAACACAGGCTAAGTGAAAAAACAAAAAAGAGGCGGCACCAGCACCGTCACCTGCGACGTTAACTGGTACTGCTTGCGCGTGTTGTTCGGGCCACGGGAAACGTGGTGGGTGGGGGTGGGGAACGCGGGAGGAGAGAGAAACACGGGGACATGAGAACGAGAGAGGTGGAGAAGAAAGGGCGAAGATTGGGATTGGGAGCAGAAGTGCACACAAGCACGGTCATTTTAAGAGCAGGTAGGAGCGAGAGAAAGCGAGGCGCATCAACGGCCGCATCGCACTACGTGGCACCTAACGGTCGTTTCGCACTCCGCTGGCACCTAACGGTCGTATCGCACTCCCCTGTTAGACAATAGCAGTCGGTTCGAGTCACCTTAGAGTAACAGGGTAACGAACGAGCTACAGTCAGTCACTCTTGGAAGTTGCCGACTCGCCTCGGTAAAAGCCTCTTCCGCGAACCGCTTCACGTTATTAAGTGCAAACTCCTACAACCCTGTCCCCAGAATGCATGTCGTCGTTACCCGCAGTCGCCGTTACTCGCATGTCCCTGTTAGCGACCTGTCCTCTTTATCGCCGGTCGATCCCCCTGACCGGCTGGTTCCCCTGAACGGCTGGTTCCCCTGAATGGCTGGTTCCCCTGACCGGCTGGTTTCCCTGACCGGCTGGTTTCCCTGACTGGCTGGTTTCCCTGACCGGCTGGTTTCCCTGACCGGCTGGTTTCCCTGACCGGCTGGTTTCCCTGACCGACTGGTTTCCCTGACCGGCTGGTTTCCCTGACCGGCTGGTTTCCCTGACCGGCTGGTTTCCCTTACGGGCAATATCTGAATCTACTGTTCTGAGTCAGCCCGAAAAAATAGCTGCTCGCCTTGCCGCAATCAGACGTTGAGTTTTGCGACGTCAATATCGTAACCAGCCGGTTCCCCTAATCGGCTGCCGCACATTGCCAGCAGCTTTCAACTCACCAGACGTCTGCCACGCGGCGAGAGCCATGCTGAAACCCTTCGTTTAAGTCGACTCAAAAGCGAACCTGCTGATTTCCCTAATCTGCAGCCGCACCTTACCGTCCGTCGACTCACCAGACGTCTGCCAAGCGGCGAGAGCCGTGCTGTAACCCTTCGTCTTGAGCTTCGCTATCATCTGCTGGTACCCGGTATAAGCTGACGCGACTTGAACAAGGCAGAGCACGCTGACGGCAGCAACTAGGACGAGAAGCAACACGGGGCGTCGTCTTGATGCTCGGTCCATGGTGAGCGAAACTTCGTGAAAGACGTTCGCCAAACGTCGTAAAAGACGTTCGCGGAAAGTGACAGGTGAATATCTCGACGTAAAGGTAATCTCGCTGTATACGCGTTCGGTTGGAATGCAGTGGGATTGAGAGGGACTATGGACCAGTCTTTAACTAATGTGACTCTGTAGTGGCAGTGGTGGTGGCGTGAAACACGAATGCCTATAGGAGCAAACTACGCGACACAACGACGGGAGAACTAGATGACCGGTCCGTGTAAAATTCAACCAGGACTAGGAAGGGAGGATACGAGCGAACTACGCATGCCTCTTCACTGCACACAGCAAATGCTGAAAAACGTATCTTTGTTGGGAAGCTTGCCCTGGAGAGCTGAGCCCACGCGGATGGGCTGAAGTGTGCGGCGGCAGCAGCGGCACGATGGGATGCGATAGGGTAAAGATGGATCAAATGCGGTAGTCTAAGATGTTGTGGGTTTACGGTGTGCTGGAACGGTGGGTAGGCCGTGCTGCTGAGCGGACTAACGACCGGTTCATCAGTGACACAAAAGCGGGGCGAGCAAAGCACCGCTAGAAGCTTCCATTCGTGGGGAGGGCTGAGTTATGGCGACGGACGAGGTGCGGGAACAAAAGCTTTTGACCTGACCGGTCAGTTCAGTTCGGCGGCCCTGACGTGTCAGCTTGGCGGTGGCTGTTTCAGGCGCACGTCGGTTATCCAGATTGCTGCTGATTGTCGTAACGTGCGCGGTTCAGTTGATTGTCGGTTATGTGTTCCAACCGGGGAAGTTGGTTTGGCACAGTGATGGATTCCAGGGTGTGCCTTCACCAGCCCAGCTATGCACACCGTCAAATCAAGCCCTCCGTGCCACGTCCTGCAGCAACAACACCCGTGAACCCAGCACGGATTTCAGGCGCGTCGCTGGAAGGTTGGAGAATGTCAGAAATGCATCACAGCGCGCACACCGAAGGAACCAATCACTGTGGCTCGAACAAGCTTTGGGACCCCTAACCAGACCCGAGCGGTCACCGTACCTTTTTGTCAAGCCTCAAGCTTTAGTCCCTCGGAACTCGGTACGGGAACCCTTATTTCACTTTCATTATCATTCAAATCGTTTTTACAAACTAGGATTTAGTGCATTAATTTAGCCTATTGAACTAAAAGCTAAAATCTGAGACAATCAGGTATCAAGGCATCAAGGCATTGACAAACATCGTACTTGCCAAGCTGCCACTTAGTATTTGTGCGTTACAGCATGGTTCTTGGAATAAGGAAGAGCCTATGTGTAATCCACAATATACCCCTTATGATACTAGAAGGTCCTTGCAAAAGCATGCATGTTTCAAGTAAGAACAAAACATATGCTACCCTTATTTCTTTATTATACATTCAATCATTTGATTGCGGGTGGGATGATGACGGTGTCAACCCCATGCACAATAACCTGCGGGTCCACATACAGGTCTGGAACGACAATCTGGAGCCCTCCCGAAGCTCCAGGCTTGGTGAACTTTGAAGGCTTGTCAGCCGACTTCACCATGACAAACTTGTAATCGAGTGTGCCAAACTGCAGGAGCACGAAATGAGCGAGCAACGAGGAAGAGAAAAGCAAATATTACAGGTCCCTCAAAAGCCCCTTTCTCATTGAGCTCTGCAGATGCTTGGCACCCGCCTACACCATGACATACTTTTAATCCAGCACGACGAACTGCAGGAGCATGAGAAGGAAGGCGGGAGTAGAGGGTGGAAGCAATTGATCACACGAGCGCTTCAGAAGCCCAGTTCTTGGTGGACGTTTCACCAATTCTTGGTGAATGTTCCCATTTTCAGTGCGTCAAAAGCGGATTTGTAGAAGTGTTTCGTGAAGGATACCGAGAGAAATACACCTGAAACTCAGCCAAAGATACCGAGCTGAAGCATGAAAAATACCGAGCTGTTCCACTTCTGTTCTGTTCTCACCCGCGTTCCCACTTTCAGCGCGTCAATCGCGGATTTGTAGAAGCGTTGACTCAACACGTGGTACGACATGACTTGCAGCAGCGCCTTGGGGTTCTTCTTGAGCCTTGAGTACTGGAAGCTGCCCGTGAGCTTGTCAAACGCGCTGTTGCGCGGCACAAATATCGTCATCTGCGACTTTGGCAGCCATTCCTGGAGCGTGTTGTTCAGGCCTGGGGAGGCACGAGGGGAAGAAAGTGAGAGAAACACAGGCTAAGTGAGCTAAACCCTGGAAGTGAGAAAGAGGCGGCACCAGTATTGTCATCTGCGACATTAGCAGCCATTCCTGGAGTGTGTTTGTTGAGCCCTGAGGGGTGGGGCGAAGGGGGAGGCGCGAGAGAGAGAGAGAGAGAGAGAGAGAGAGAGAGAGAGAGAGAGAGAGAGAGAGAGAGAGAGAGAGAGAGAGAGAGAGAGAGAGAGAGAGAGAGAGAGAGAGAGAGAGAGAGAGAGACATGTGAAAGAGGCACCAGCACCGTCATCTGAGACTTTGGCAGCAACAGCTTGAGTGTGTTGTTCAGGCCTGGGGGTGGGTTGGGGACGGGGGGATGAGAGGCGAGAGAGAGAGAGACAGGGCGATATGAGAAAGAGGCGGCACCAGCAGTGTCATCTTGGACGTTGGAAGGTACAACTCGAGCGTGCTGTTCAGGCCTGGGGCGGATTTCCGGGGTGCCTCAACTGTCACCTCGTTGGAAGGTACTGCGTGAGCGTGCTGTTCAGGCCTTCGGCGCAGGGGGAAGGGGAGATGGAGAAAGGGGGGGTCGGCGCGGCACGAGAAATGAGGAAATTGACGGCAGACGAGGTGATATGGACGGCACGAGAGGTAAAATGGACGGAACGGGACGGCACGGGAGGTGAAATGAACGGCACGAGCTCGATTAACTTGGGACAGTCTTTAGGCTGTCTACGAAGTCAAGAGAGCGAGAATGAGACGCATTTTGAGGCGCCTCAAAAGTCGTCTCATCTCACGAGATTGGCTAACGCGGCACGGCTTTTGAGACGTCTCAAAGCACCCTTTAGGCCGTCTAGGAAGTCAAGAGGGCGAGTATGAGACGCGTCTCATCTCACGAGATCGGCTAACGGCGGAATCGCGTGAAGCCGCACTGCAGCGTTTGGGGGGTGACAGTTGGTGTGTTAGTATCGAAAGAATAAAAGAATAACCAGACCTTCTCAACCCCGACAACACATGCACGCCTCCGCTCGCCTGCACTAGCTCGGGCTCGCCATTATCTGTTGTTCTTCCTGTCTTCTTTAGTGACAGTTTTTTTATTCATTGTTATTATTCTCCCTAGAATACAGTATCGGAGTGGATCTCCAGGCTCCTGTCCATAAAAAAATGGTATTTCCTTTTCAAAATACAAAAAACAAAGGTGGTTCCGGAAGCTTCCGACATGTTATTATTGATCATAGAAGGGAAAAACTACACCTTTATGAAAAAAAAACATACAAACGCGGTGTACACAACTTGAACATAAAAATGTTACAAACAACGGATGGTGTTCGCAACTCACCAGACGTCTCCCACGCTGCAATGGCGGTGCTGTATTTCAACTTCGTCAGCTTCGCCACCAACTGCTGATACCCGGTATAAGCTAACGCGACTTGCGTCACGCACAGCAAGCTGACGACAGCAACGAGCAAGCGAATCGTCAGGCCTTTCGCCGATACTCGAGCCATTGCGAGTCTGATCAATTTGACGCGGCGAACGGGTGGCAGTCTCTATCTAAACACCTAAAAGGAGGTTAAGTGAAAACGAAATTCACAAGAGACGTCAAGCCGGGGAAGGTTGCTGAACCGTGAGCGTGGAAAATCGACAAAGAGTCGGGAAACTCGTTATCCTTCGTCAACACACGATGATACGTGCGCGCAATGAGACTATACCAGCAGCTCCCTTGATCCGACCAAAGTTGGAGGGATAGGACGGCAGTGACTCGGACGGCTTGTTACAAAGTGGTATCGCATATGTAAAGCAAATGGACTTTCGATTATGTCGTGGGATTTTACGAGGCATGAGTCACGGACTCTGGGGTGATGTGATGGGCTAGAGCTGATCACTAACGGAGTGATGCCAGGCGGAAGGGGAGTGGAAGACAATCGAGGGGGAAGTTCAAGGGGCGGAGGGGGGAACGGTGGGGAGAAAGGAAGGGCGGATTCGGCTACGGCGGGTCAAGAAGTGACGCGTGACGGGAGGAGACGTGTCGCGATCCCCGACGAGGGACAAACTCGTCACCTCGATGTTCGCGTCTGAATGTCTTGCTTTCGCAGGACAGGGCCGCCGCGAAGCACCGCAGTTGAAACTCCAAATGGAACTTAGTGCTTGGTAGCATACGCACGACACGAGGGTTTCTTCCCCTCTGCCAAGTCAAGCACAGAATTCTCGGCTGACAACTGTAATCTCTTTGGCAAAGTGTGTGAATGGAGCCTAACAGATGTCGGTGGTGGGGAGAAGGGGACGGGAGAGGAGGTGATTGTGGTTTGGGGGGATGGGGAAGGAATGGAGGGGGTAGGAGGGCCATTTTCGGTAGCGTTCCGTGCGGAGCGGTGCCTCCCTGATTTTCGTCTTTCGCCACGCCATCAGTGCACCGTCTCAAGGAAGCGCCTGCGACGCGGTTGACTGCTTCGGCGTCGGTTCCGCTGTGCTCTCCTGATTCCAGATCGGCCGTCGGTGACCTTTGACCAGGCTGGTCTGGGCGTGTGCAGATTGTACCCATGTAAATTGAACAAGGGCGAAATCGCGCGCATTGGCGGAAATCGTGTTTGTCTCAAAAGAATCGACCCAAATTGCTCCCCGCTCGCCACGTGGGCGTTTTTCTCAATTGATTCGACCCCCTTTCCCCCCGCCCCCCCCCACCCCGTTTTTCCCGCCCTTGCCCTCCGAAATTCGGGCACCCGCTAGAATCTCGTGAAATCACAAAACGTCACGAATACATGTTTTTTCGTAACGCTAAGATTTCAACATGCGAGCGACATCTGATTGGACAGAACACCTATGACTTCTAATGATAAATTTAGCAGTAATATGGATTTTATTAATTATGTGCCACTGCAGTAACATTTTTTTAAAATCTTTGTAATACAAGTAAATATTTTTTTTCTAAATAATATCAAGAAGTACAATCAAACAAAATATCTACCTATTTCAAAAGATATTTATTTTTATTTGTCGCGGAGCTATTATTATTACAAAATTATAAAATTTAACTCTTATTTTTTAAGTTTTCTGGAATAATCCTCATGTAGATATATAGAAAACATAAAGAAACTATAGGTTGATTCGTCATGTGTTTTTTTTTTTGCGCCCTTATCTACATTACTAGCATGGGCTAATAAAAAAAACGATACAATCAACGTGCATATGAGCCTCCTGAGATTGAGAAGCAACCGCTAAAATTATCGATTGCGAAAGCTGATGTGGCATACCACAACTACATGGTGGATTTGGCATGATGTAAAAAGCATGTATTCGTGACTTTTTGTGATTTCACAAAATTCCAGCGGGTGCCCGAATTTCGGAGGGCAAGGGCGGGAAAAACGGGGTGGGGGGGCGGGGGGAAAGGGGGTCGAATCAATTGAGAAAAACGCCCACGTGGCGAGCGGGGAGCAATTTGGGTCGATTCTTTTGAGACAAACACGATTTCCGCCGATGCGCGCGATTTCGTCATTGAACAAGGCACGCCGTTTGTGTGCAAACAAACGCGCCTCCAGAGAAGAGAGTGCATTGAACGCATTAATCTGCAAGATAGGATGAATTATGGATGAATTCTACTGTACGCTGTATTCTCCTGAAACTTTTGTGCCCAGAAAACATGAGAAGCCCTCCAGCAACAACGGGTCGCGTTTGTAACATGTCAACGAGTCTGTAATGAATGTGAAATTCATTACTGTAGAACTGTCCTTAGCGAGGACAGCCCCGAGCAGTTCGCGTCAGTGTGGCTCGGCCTACACTTTCGCACCGAACCAGCCCCGAGTCGCCCCGCACCAATTGCGACATTCCCGAGCCACGCACATCGAGGTCCTCGCCTAGCACGGTTTCGACACTATAAATGCATGCTTCTTTAACATTCTCGTCATTCTGTAATTCTCATCTCTTTTATAAAGTCTTCCGCGCACTCTTCTTAGTACAACTCATAACACTTGGTATCAGAGCCTAAGTTCCTAGGTTCCCCGTTTTTTAGAGTGTATTACCCCTCGGGGGGGGGGGACAGGGAAGGATGCCGTGGTGACAGGAGTAGCGCAGTAGCCGGCCAGGAGAACGGGTAGTTGCTCCTAGCGGCCATGAATTTCTCTGGCGCTCCTGCGGCACCGACGGATCCTTGCCCTCGACGGTCGGGATTGACCGTGGCCTCCCTCCCCCCGGGTGGCGGACAGCTTTTGCTGTCGTCGCATTTAATGCGTAAGTTAGTTGCATGGCGTTTTCGTCAATTTCCGAGTTAACACTGTGTGGCAGCTGACGTCGAAGGAGCGTCGTCTCTGCATGTCTGAGCTTGACGGGTGGCGTCGGCACGTGGTCGACAACTGCACGCAACGTTTTCGGAAAGAAGACTTGCGCGAGTTGCGTCGGCACGTGGTCGGCACCAACGCGCGACAATTTCGGAGACAATGCGTGCGGCAAGTGGCGTCGGGCGATTTCGTCACGTTGCGCACGAGATTTTCGGAGGTCTTCAGCACGTGGCGATCGTGGTCACTGTGCGCGAAGATTTCGGGTAGCAGCACGTGGAAAACGACTGCTGTGCGAGCAGCCAGGCGCATGGTGATTTGCGTCAGAAAATGCAACGGCGCGGAGTGACGGCGTGACGATTGCCCGATGAAAGCGGGGGTTTACCGTCGTCCAGCCCGGGTGTGGCCGGTGTGGCTACAGGAGGATGCATCGTTGGCGTTTTCGGCAGGAGCGGCACAGTGTGGGACGGAAGTCATTTTCAAACCACCGAAAAGTGCGGAAAAGGCCGCCTACGACTAGACTGTTTTCGTTAGGGTCACTTCTGCGCCTGCAACAACGTCGGCCGAAATTTTCGGAGCAACAGCAGCAGCCGACACTGTACTTCAGGCGGCACAGGTTCCCCCTGATCAAGGGAAGTTGTGCTGCAGACGGGGCAGTACACCGACGGGACAACGTTTTGGCGCAGCGTCTAGACACGTGAATTTCGCCTAGTCTACCGGCTACAATAAACGGAGTTGCGACAAATACGGGTCTGGCGAGAGAAACGGATTTCGAGCTTCAGGAGGGGAGAAAACGACCTACTGCGACGACTTTTTGCTGAGGCCGAGTTTTGCGGCTGTTACGAATAGTAACATTTGATATTACTGTGCACTCCTCACCGCAGCAAAGAGAAGCACGCAGTAACGGGAATGAACGCGAACCGTCAGACGGTTGGAATTGACTCGAAGCGACGGACAGTTGGAACGCATCTGGACCGTCGGAAGCAGACGGCATCGGGCAGCTGCAGGCAGGATGGTTTTGGCGGGAACAGTTACGAAACTGTACGCGCCGCACGGTTGGGAGTGAATTTGAATAAGGGAATGTACCCCTTAGAGTACATGGCTAGATAGGTCTGTTCGCATTCCCTTGTACTCTTATTTATATGACCTTGTTTGCATGTTTTTATTATCTCAAGCATTTACATTCACTCTACTATTGAGGTCAAGGGCCCACCAATTATTTCACTACATGCGAACCTTCCTGGGTAGATCCCGGGCTACGATCAACTTCTGATCGCAGCAGTCTGCGGCTAAGCGGCGGTAGCAGAAGGAGCTCCCTACCGGCCAAAGTCCACCGACGTTTCGCATACCCCACGCCCAGAAGGGCTCGAAGGCAATGGTAAGACCGAAGAGCCACTGGATCCAAAGGTGGGGCCCTGTGTTTAGCCCTGTGCTGGTTTAAAAGGCGCGGGTGACGCTGGTTCGACGGCAGGGCGTACAAGAAATATTTCGTGGTGCGGCACTGTTCGGCCCCGACAAAAACGGACCATCGGCGACAGTTACCCTGCCGAAAATGTCGGGACTGAAGAAATTGTGGCAGCTGTCGGGAATTTCTCCTAATTTACCGGTCTACCCAGTGGCGGTGTAGCGGCGAAGACGGAGGCTCCGAAGCTGTGGAATTTTAAAAGCGATAAGACGCGGTGGGCAAACGAAGCGGCCGGCCCGACGGTTTGATCCGATAAACCCGATCCAGTTACGATACATTCGCGCCTACACCGATGTCAGAAAAATCGCGGGCAACACGGAGTTATACCTCATCCGACAAAAGCGGACGCTGGGTGAACGGCGGCAAGCGAAATTGTCGGGGGGTGAAGACAAAAACAAATGGAGGGAAATTTGTGGGTGCTCCAGCAGATCTCCAGAGTGAAAGGTGGAGCTCGTACACCAATCTACCGCGAATTTCGGGGTCTATTCGGTAGACCCCCGAAAGGGTTTGATATAATGACATGGAGGCGCGGCGAGCGGTGTATCGCCAAGGATACCTGGGATTTGCTAAATAATTTCGACGGGTGCGAAGACGGGTGAACGTCGGAGTACCAGGGTTAACGGCGGAAACGTCGGGGTTACGCGGCGGAAAATACTTCGGGACTGCTTCAACAACCATGATTTTCAAGGTTTCTTTCCTACGGTGGGAGACGGCTGAACGTCTGCTCGCCAGCTGTTTATGCGTTTTACGGTGTACTTCAAGAGGATACACTGCA